TCTCACGGCTACTAGTAAGATAAAGTTTCCTGCTACGCCTATATCTAATAGTGCGTTTATCTTATATTTATCGAGTTATATTCTAATATAATAGTGCCCTATACTACTACGTGTTATAGAGTATATCTATTAAGTGCCTTTTATATACTCCTAGCGATAGTATACTCTTAGTTTTTTACCCGTTTAGCTTAGTGTTCGAGGGATGTTTCCTTATCTAAGAACCCGTACTGTATTAAAAGTTATTCTATCCGTCGTAGGCATTTATCGAGGGCCTAGAAGCGTGATTCCTAAGCTTCTTAGTCTTATTCTAGTCGTCGGACTTTCTTAGAAGCGTGTGCTACGTAGCTAGTAGTATTATATCTATCTAACCAGTGCTCGTAGTAATTATACCTAGGTAGTCGATTATCCGATCCTCGTAGGCTCGCTGCCTAGTCGGTAAGAGTGTCTCGGTCCTCCTAAGCGTGGTAAGGTCGCTAATATACAGCTCATTACTATCCCCCGCTAGTATTTATCGGTACTATACGGGAGGCTTTACTAAGGTCCGGCTTAGTGAAACGGACTTAGTGGGTTTATCCTAGTGGTTCTTCCGCGAGCTAGTCGAGTACCCGTAGCTAGATAGCTTCCTCCTCGACTAGGTCGGCTATCTTTATAGGTTAACACTAGAAGTTCGTGTTATTATCCGGGATTCCGTCGGACTCCGTTTCCTAATCTTGCTTTTCGAGCTTAGCGATTCTCTTTCGGGTACGATCTTCTCCCTCCTGGATTTCTAAGGTCTGCTTTTATCTCTCAGCTTCTTCTTTCGTCTATCCGTATTTTTAGAGGATCTCTACGATAGTTTATAAAGCTAGTTCATCCTTATCCCAGTCGGGGATCTTAAGGCCATAGTTATTATCGTACTCGTTACTAGATACTATAGCGAGTATCTTCTAGGGTCTCTTAGGGTAGTACCTAGCTCCGTCTTTCCCTGATTAGTGTGCTAGATAATAGTTATCGTAGCAGGTTATCTAATAGAGTTTGACGTGTGGTATTTTATCCCTATGAATTTCCAGGTGTCTAATAGCGTTGATTTCCTTCTAGGGTCTTCCTTTCTCGATCGCATTCGCCTATCGTTACGGTCGTTCTTTCTTAGGCTTATAACAGTCGCGTGCGTAGTGACCTGGCCTATTATAGTTATAACACTTGACTTTTATTATATCCCTTTTACCCTGCTTATCGCTCTGTCGGTTAATATTATCGAGCTTTATAGGTCTATTATAGTATCTATATAAGGTATTTCCGAACTAGTATAGGTATAATTATTTCTTCTTCGAATTAGCCGTGTAAAACGGAATACTTATTTAATACTTCTTCTAACGGCGTTATTTATAGTTCCGGTTATCGATACGAATTACTAATATAGTATATTCGCTAAACGTCTTAGGTCGGTCTAATCGGTATAGTTTATCCTTTACTTCTTCCTTAAGTCCTTAGTAGTACCGATTTATAAGGGGCTTATCCAGGTAGCTAAGCTTTAACGAGATTTACTAGAATCTCGTAGTATAGTCTATAGCTAACTTAGTCTAATATAGCTAGCTTAGTCGTTTAGCCGCGACTTATTCCTTATCGGGCTAGCCGAAGATAGCGTTAAGTCTCTCGACGAATACGTCGAAGTTCTCGAAGATTACCGTGGTCCCGGGCTTCCTTAGGATCTCTATTCCTATATTCTCTAGGTAGTCTCTATAGATAGACTCGAACTATTTATACGTATCTCCCGTAAGGAGTGCCGCGGTATAGAGTACCTTAGTTTCTTCTGTACGGATACTATCCTAGTAGAATAGGAGATAGCCTCTAAGCTAAGTAATAAAGCTCTAGAGCTATCCTCGAGTCCTGTCGTACTTAGGGGGTATAGGGTATCTATACTTAGCCCTGATTCCAGGATAGTTTAGCTAAGCTTTTAGGATCGTGTTCTCCCCCTGAAGCTGAGTGATTATGTCGCGAATCTGCTGAAGGTCGTTGCTCCCTCTAGTGGTAGTGGTAGGCGTCGCGGTGCTTATAGCGTTCGTGGTACGGTTATTATTGTTCGATATATTGGAAGAGTGATTGCTAGCTACTTCGTCGTCTTATTAAGTTTATTCTAGTCCTTCCTTTTTATCGGAGGAACTGGATTCTTTAGACGATAATTCTTCTTTAGATAAAGTGACTTCTTCTTCCTTAGGCGAAGTAGCTTCTGCTTCGGGCGTACTACTTATTAGCTATTAAGGTTAGCTTACCGAATAGTATCGATTAAAATATTACGACGGCTTCCGGTCCTCTATAGTATAGCGGACGATAGGGGACTAGCGTTAAGGTTTTAGTTTAAAATAAGAAGAGGATGTTAACTAAAGAGTAGTAACTATTATTCGTAGTGTTTAGTCGTAGTTACGTCGTAAAGACTAAGCGTCTTCTTTATAAGGTAGAGTTAGGCGTAGACTAATAGTCTAGGTGAAGACTTAGATTAATCGATGTCTTATTCTCTAATAGAGGTAAGACCTAGGATATACTGGTATATATATCTACGGGATCACGGGTGTCCTGGTAATCTCCTGGTCCGGGATCACGCCGGATCACTTCTCGGACTAAGTAACCCTTGGTGATCCCAGTGATCCTCCTATGCTAATAGGTTCCCTGTGCGGGTGCACACTATACCGGTCATCCATCACGTGACCCGGCACGTGATATCGTCCTGAGTCATCTTCTAGTTACGCCCTGGTGCGCTAACCGCCCTAGTACGTTATAACCAGTATGTCCTTGGTGTATGTTAGGTCTGCTGGCCGTAATAACTATATAGCCGAATAGCACCGGGGATCCCGTATAGAAATTCTAGGGCTATACCTATATCGTACCGACTATATAAAACTTATCTTAAGAACGATAGCTTAAAGGAGGAAAAGAGGAAAGGAGGAAAAGAGAGGAAAAGAGGGAGGGTTATAAGAAAAGGGAGCGGTAGATTAGCCTTACGAGTCACTATGCCTTTTAGGGAATAGTAGCCACGCCCGGTCTATACTATAGCGCTTATACTAGAAAGCCTATATAGCGTGAGTAAGGGAGGTATATAACTAAATAAGGGCTATTATAAATAATAGGTATATAAAGGAGGTTTTAGAATAAATAATAAATAAAGGAAGGAGTAAGAGGGGGGTAGGCGTGCCCCCCCCCTTATAGAAGGGAGGGAGGGTATAAAAGGTGCCGCGACGAGGGAAGAATAACCTCGCCGGATCCGGAATAAAGGAAAGGACGGCGGCGAGGGACTATAGCGATAACGCACCGAGGGCGCGTACGACTAACACGGTACCTACTAAACTAACTAGCCGACTCCTATTAGCTATTAGCCCGGAGGTAAGATCCGGTTTTCGAATAGCGATAAAAACGGGGCCGCGGAGCGATACCATAGCGGCCATGTATAATAAAACTATCTATATAATAAGAGCGTAGGGGTTTTTATCTATTAACGGTTTCCCCTTAAGAATTAGAGAAGGACTATTACCTAGGTGGCTAGCCTAGCTTAGCTAAGCGAGAATAGCGTAATAAATAATAAAAAATAAAATATTAACACTTATCTCGGAGCTATAAGGGTAATCGGTCACTTTAAGGAGAATATCGGGTAGGATATCGTATAGGATATTATAATAGTGTTTTAGGCGGTTAGATTCAGAGTTATGGTATAGGAAGTAATACGTTAAGGTTTACGATATCGCCTACGATTTTCTATATAAAGTTATATACAAAATAGGTACGGTATATATATATCTTAGCGGCGGGTTTATAGCCCCACTAAAATATCACGGTTAAGGTCTTGATATTAAAACGTGAGGTCTCTCTATTAAGTCCCCTTAATTATTAGGGAACCTACGGTACCTTAGGTAGGAAAGGTGCCAGCAGGAGACAAAGCTTTCGGGGAGCCGCTGACTAATAGTCAGCGAGGGTTACCCACAACAACGCACAACAACGGCAGACAGCAACTGTCTTGGGTAATAAGCACTACAGAATAAGTGGAGCGTTGGTAACGGTAGGCGGGGCAAGGCATACACGTACAATGTAAAGCAGGTACTTCGGGTACATCTCCTGTTCATTATCCGCCATTGTCTCTCTTCGACCTTCTCTTTCTCACCTCCCACGACCCTGCCAAAGACAACATTCCCAGTCAGCGAGACCCGGCCAGCTTCCGTTGACGAAAACATAAGAAGCGGAATTATTTCTTGCATCGATCCTCGGTGAGGGCAGGCTACCTATGTATTCGTACATTCGAACTGGGGTTTCCTATTCTAATAATAGGGTCGATTATTTCCCCACCGTGTAGGGTTTGTTCCGAGAGCTGTTCCGAGAGATGACCCTTCCCTGGCTCCATACCGCCTGTGGGGGGAGCTCCCTATTCGTTACTTACAGGGGGCCAGGCAGAGATGACCAAACGGACATTTGGAGATTAAACCCGGGGGGGGGGGCGGAAGGGTTCTGTTCAGACTGAGAGAGCCTTGCCATCAACGTCAAAGATGAGCACACGATTTTACTCAGGATGGAGTCCGGACACGAACATCATAGGGGTTACGACTAAGTATCAATTCCCTTCTTTTGTCGTGGAACCTTTTCGACCCTCACTTCTCCACGTCCACGCCGCGTTGAAGAAATGGAACACCCTCTGCGTCGTTTTCCTCGTCCGCGCCGGGGACCTGAGGGGGAAAGGGGGTGTAAAATTCCCCCCCATCCATCTGGGAAGAGAGCCCAGTCGTCCAAATACACCCCCGATAAAGCGAGATGGCTCAGCTCCTGCACCCTGCAAGCCACGCCAACGAGCCTTGCTTCAATTGGTCCAAGATGAGCCATGATGCTTGGCATTCTGATCTTCAGGCCAATGTCTCAATTTCTCCCCCTCCAACCACACCATAGCGTATCATCCCAACGGGGCTTAGACTAAGCCCGTGTCCGCCTCGCGCGTTGGATTCGAAAGAAGCTCCCCCAAACGGGCTAACAGGCTTGCAGTTACAACGTAGATCTCGGTTGATGCCCTGCCCATCGGAAAAAGAGGAAATGAGGGGGACGGGGGGACCAGGCTGACCCCCTTTCATGGGGACGCATGTTGATTCTATCTACCTCTCTTTTTGTCTTTTTGTCTCTCTCTCTCTCTCTCTCTATCTCTCTCTTGCCTCGTCGTCGTTCCATTAAATCCTCGTCCTTTAGGTGCATCATACGGAGTGCTGGGCAGACCTCTTCTCGTCTTCTACCAGCCTTTCGTATGCCTGGGACATAGATAGAATCAACACATCCCAGGTTTTGCGAAAGATCTATCCGGCATCATGGGGAACGTCAACACCATTTCATCATCCCTCGCGGTAGGGGCTTTGCTCCTCACATCCGGCGTCAGAGCTCGCCTTTACGAAGTCCACTTTCCCCATGCCACCACTACTCTCGAGTTTCCCGCTCTGGAGGGGTTTATTCCCAGGCCGACACCAAAACCCACCCCCTCCTTGGACGTCCGCCGACGGCAAGCCGATCTGGTCGAAACGCTCTTCCTGGCCCCCGACAACACCTGCGGCTATGTCGACGGCAGCACAGATCTGGTCTACACCTGCTATACCGGCTACAATTGCGTGATCGCAACAGCCATGGCTGACGAACCTGGCGCAATCGTGTGTTGTAACGCAGCAGAGTGTGGCGGCTACCACCCAGCGTGCTACGACGACGCAGAGGTTTCGTCTGGTCTATGTAGCGGCAACTGCCTATTCGACACGGAGACTCTCAAGTGGTATGTTCACCCCCTATTTCTCCAATCTACGTTGATGGTCGTCGAGGTTCATCAGTACATATTGCCCGTCGCATGCAACCGTAACACCTGACGAGGGGGTTTTTTTTAATTTTTTTTAATGTATAGCACTGGCGCGGCCGGCCCCTACTGCAACAGCATATCATTTTCGTCCAACATTTGGGACTATTTCTGCGCCGCAAGCCCCGGATTTTACGCAGCCACCACGACTTATCATGGTCAAACGGATGCCGAGGAGTGGGCTGAGATTCCCGTCACCCTGAGCGATACGGAGCCGAGCACCGATCTGGACGTGAGTACTAGGGCCGACGCCACGGGCCCCACGCCCAGCGACACGGACGGCGACAACGGCGACGACGACGACGACGGCAACGACACTGGCAACGGCACAGGCGACGGCACAGGTGACGACAACGGCAATAGTGGCGGTGACGACAGCGACAACGACAATGACGACCAAGGCAATAGTGACGAGGGCTCCTCGACACCTGTTGGTGCCATCGTCGGCGGTGCCGTTGGCGGTGTCGCGGGGCTCGCCCTCATCGGTGCCCTCATCTGGTTCTTCTTCCGAAGGTCCAAGAAGAATGACGCGCAAGCGCCACAACAAGAACAACAACAACCTCCCATGCCGCCCCAGATGCAACAGTCGGGCCCTCCTCAGGGCCCCTATTCTCCTCCACCAGGCGTCGCCCCCATGATGCAACAACAGCAGCATCCCGCCTCGCCAAATCCGCAACAGCCCTACTACGACCCGACCAAGTTCGGCTACGTCCAGGGTCCCCAGCACACACCGTCCCCGGGACAGACTCCGGGGCACGAACCTCACGGGCAACCAGGATACCAATACGCGCCGACGCCGCCGGCACCGCAGCAGCAGCAGCAGCAGCATGCGTATTATCCCGCAGCCGGCCTCGCGCCGCAGCAACCCGCGGACCGCAATAGCGTCAGCCCGAGTTTCGTGTCGGCCGGCTCCAACCGCATGAGCAATATCCCGCCCGTCAGCCCGGGGAGCACGAACCAAACGTACCCGGCTGTAGCGGCGGGTTCGCCCCCCGGACCGGGGCAGCAGACCATCTATGAGGCGGGGACCCAGTCGGATCATCATCGGGGCCAGATGCACGAATTGGGGTGATTGTCCCGTGTTCGTCTGGAGCTGCATGGTCTGTGGTCCTAGCATGGACGTGAAAAACAAAGATAGTGTAGATCTTTTGTTTTCATCATCTCAGCTGCAGAGTAGGCTGATTTTATTTTATTTTCTATTGCCTGGAATCAGGCCACTGGACTTGGTTTTCTGGGGTTTCTTGTTTCTTCGCCTCCCCCCTTCGGTCGTTGTCACTTTCTTTGCACATAATGTGGGACACGTCTCAAGGTTAGACATAAAAACCGAAAGGGAATGTTTATGGGATAGCACCAGGTTCAGAAACTCCTTGGGTCTCTCATTGTCAATCAGGCAATGTCGAATATACGCACTTCGTAGTATGTTGACCATGATGGTTACTGAAGAGGTCGAATTGCAGTCATTGCTGAATATTCGCGTGAACAACTGAACGGAACTCAGGAGACGATGGGGGGGGTTCTCACTCAAAATACCATTGCGAGAGCCTTTGAAGGCCTTTGGAGTTGAGATTGAAAGTGAGACAGGCGTTGGCTTGCCCTGTGGAGGTTGTGGAACTCCTCGGGTCACTGAGTAACATCGTCTGTGGTGATCATGGAGATCGATGGACGGGGATCGCCAAGGTCGGGATGGTGGGGTGGAACGGGGGAACGAGGCCCCCCACGGACGAAGGGATAATAATACATACGGATACAGAGAGGGTGTGCACAAGAGAGGCCGCAGTAATCGTTGTATGCATGAAAGGCTCTTCCCGAACCTCTCCGCTCCTGTCACCGTCACCACGGCGTTGTATGCATCATGCAATGCAACGCCAGGGTGATACTCAGCATCAGACTTGTCCACACGACGTCCGACTATCGCTAAGGATTATGAACTATTGGCCGGCTGGGCTGCAAAAGTTGAAACGAAACGTGCGTATGACGATTTAAAAAAAAATGAGAGGAATAAATAGAAACGGGTATCCAATTTTCTCATCAACTGGTTCGGATATTGAAACGCTATCTCGTTATATATCATGACGACAGGTATTCGAGGGGAAAAAAGGTGGAAGAAATAAATAGAAGATAAAGACAATCCGAAAGGCAATGAATAGGCACGCTCCCTATGCAGGTGGTGGGTGGGTGGTGCGGAAGATGCAAATGCACAGGAGCTTCAAATACTGACGCGACAATTCGGAAACGTGTAGTGGGTGCAGACTAGTAGTCAATCAGCCGAAGCTTCTTGCCCACCTCCCTACGGCGAGCCTGCTGCGCCGCTGCACGCTCCGAAGCCCGCGTCTCATTCGGGTCGAAAGCCTGACCACGGGCTTTGAGGGCCTGCAGGAGCATACCGGCGTCGAAGAACCCGTCTGTAAAAGCGTCAGCAAAAGGGAATCTTCAAAGGGATAAATGGACTTCCGACTTACATCCGCCCAACTCGTCGTCGCTCATCGTGAGGCTCTCCTCGGTCGGGGACAGCGTCCCCGTCGAAGTCCGGTTGAGGCTAGGCCTGATGCCGTCGGTGGTGATGAGCCGACCGCGGGACTTGAGGCGATGCGCGACAGTGGTCTTGGGCCGCTCCGACGACGCCTCGAGCTCGCGGGCGCGACTATACCTGGCGCCGACCGAGGTCTCGGGACCCGAACCGCGGCGGGTGGTGATGCGGATGATGCGGCGCACCTCGAGGAGGTAGCTCTCGAGGGTGTCGACGAAGCGCTTGGTCTGGCGGTGCTTGCTGGAGACGCAGATGCTGATGCTCTCGTCCTTGATGATGTAGCCGATGCCGAAACCGTCGGCCGAGGTCGGGCCGAAGCCGAAATGGCGGAGGCACGGGTTCCCGCAGTTCGAAGTCGAGAGGATCGTGTTGTTGAGCTTGTCCCAGCCCGGGTCGGCGAAGAGGTGCGGGAGCGGGACGCTGCGGCTGCGGGAGGTGGTGCTGTCCCCGCGGACCCGGCCGGAGGTGGTCGTGACCCGTTGTTGTTGCTGTTGCTGTTGCTGCTGCTGCTGCTGCTGCTGCTGCTGCTGCTGCTGCTGCTGCTGTTGTTGTTGTCGTTGTCGTTGTTGTTGTTGTTGTTGTTGTTGTTGTTGTTGTCGTCGTCGTTCTTGTTCCTCCCCTCCGTCCATGCCCTCGAGGGATATCTCCGAGTCTCTGCTCGGGCTCCCCACGACAGACTCCGGGTCCCTTTCCGAGTAGTAGCCGTCGGCGGAACTGGAGTAGCCGTTGGAACCGAAGCCGCTGGCCAGCTCATCGTCCACCGACTTTTGCCAGACGCAGAAGAGCGCGTAGAGGTGGCGGTCGCAACCCTGGGCCTTGGCGCATTCCCGGGTCCTGTTGACATGCTTCTGGCAGGCCCGCCTCAGCGCCTCGACCTTCTGCTCGACCGGGTTGTCGGCCCAGAAGGTCTGTACGAAATCGACCGACTCCTCCGAAACGGTGCGGATCGCTTCGGTGCGGCCGTGGAAGAAGGTCTTGGTCATGGCCGGCTCGTACGTGCACTCGACACGACCGTACAGCCCGTAGTATGCAGCCTGGAAGGCCATCTGCACGAAGGCGTCGGGCGAAAACCCGGTCGAGGTGATCAAGTTCTTCCCGTAGTGCTTGAAATCGAGCGTGCGGAACTCGTTCTGTTCGATCAGGTCGGCCAACCTGGTCTCGGCGAAGCGGACGGCGATGTTGAGCTCGGGCCCCATGTCCCATTCGAGCTTGTGAGGCGTGGTGTGCACGTCGCCGAAGCTCGCCGGGTCCCGCTTGGACGGGTCCGGACTGGCCGACGCCCACAAGGTCGGGGCTTGGCCGTTGATGGTCCGTGCGAAGCGGAGTATGGTGTCGGTGTAGAGGTCACTGGCGAACCGAAGGACGGTGTGGCCGTCGACGCCGGTATGCTCAAAGTTGATGCCCGCACTGCCGTTCTTGCACACAATGATCTGCAGCTTGTCGTACCACCGGTTCGTGCAGGTACCGATCTGGACCCCTCTCTCGACGTGGCTGGTGCCGCAGAGCATGTTGCCGCACAGGGCATCCACGTCAGCGGGCTCGGTGTAGTCCAGGCAGAGGACGAACAGGGCCGAGTCGACAATGTTGAGGCTGTCGGCGTTGTTCGACCCTTCCTCCCGCGTGAGGACATCCCGGAGTCCCGACCAGACTTTTCGATTTTCCGTGCTCAGGACGCCGAGTGCCTCCTTGGCCGCTTCTTGTATGGGGGTCTGGGCGGCATCGTCGATGATGGTTTGCAGGTTGACGCAGATGTCCCTCTCGGTCATGATGAGGTCCGAGTTATCGTCTAGGACGTCAAACCAGTACAGCTGGCCATGGCACATCACAACGATGTGCTTGGCCTCGGGGTCCTGCACGATCTGGCAGCCGTCTTCGGTCGGGACGCGGGCAGTGCCGAACAGGCGAGAGAACTGGTACATGCACAGTGGGGTGCCCTTGACCGTGTCGGGCGGGAGCTCCTCTCTCCTGACGGCCCTCACAAACTCCAAAGCAGACACGACCAGGGAGGCGGCACGCGTGACCTGGTTGTTTCGTGCGGGTGTCGGGTCGTCTTCCAGCAAGAAGAACGGATTCAGGTTGAGGACGACGGGGTTGTCGAAGTTGAGATAGGAATCGTACCAGAACTGCTCGATGTAGCTCGTCTTGCACTGGGCATACCGCTGTAGCTTCTCCTGAAGCTCGGGGCCGTCGTGCTCGAGAAACTCTTGCACGGCATGTCTGGTCTCGGCTTGCTCGCGCACCGTCTGGAGAGGCTTCAAGGCGGCTAGGTACTTCTGACAGGTGGATTCGAGGTCGGGAATGGGCAACTGCGGCAGCTTATCCTGGGAGGCGTAGGTCACGCCTTCCTCCATTGGCTTGTCATCATAGACAGCCATGCGAGAAGTGTTCTTGTTGTCCCTTGTTACACCGTGGGTACCGTTGGCGCCGGCTCTGCGCTGAGTGCCGTTGGTTCCGTTAACGCCAATGCCAATGCCAACGCCGTTGGTATGTACTGGTTTGGGAGACTTGGACGGGGCGGGGAGTTCTCGGCTTTGCTCCGGGATGACTGCGAGAGACCGAGGGACCGATGAGGCCGAAACGGATTCTGCCAAGGTCTCGTCAAGGGATCTGGGCCGATTGAAGATGCGGACTTGGGTAGGCATGCTGTCAGTCCTCGGTAGTACTTTCAACAGTATAGAGGGCAGACGATGGTGCTGATGTTCAAGCCACGCAATGCCGTGCGGTAGAAGTAGTGACAGCTTTGGAGACAGTAAGGTGGCATCACTTGGAACTAAGGTAACTAATATACGAAAAGGAGTGCATGGAAAACTAAACTCGGTAAATAAAGGGTTCAAGATGAGGAGGGAAGGCCGGGATATGCGAGGATAGTGGGTGGGAGTAATGGTAAGGAGGCCCGCATCGACGGAACCCAGAGTGCCCCAGAGAAGGGGGCCGATAGAGAGGAGGAGCCCGTGGGAATATAAAGACGGCCGGTCGTACGGGGATAAGGAAGTGAAGTCTCAGATGGGAATACGCTTATGACAAGGCAGTGCCGGTGAGATGGGGAGATGGGGAGAGGAAGGGGGGGGAGGGGGAGGAGGAAGGGATCAAGTGGGAACATGCCGAGACTAGTGGGGGAGAGGAATCGACTTGTAAGTGTACGGAGTGGGTTGAACTTTGGAGTTTGTCTTCCTCTTTCACGTGTGAGATGATGCGAGGGATGGGCATTGGAGCGTTGGAGCGAGCGTTGGAGCGTTGGAGGCGCTGGATCTCGTGGTGTGGTGAAGTGCAGGGGATGGGCACATGATTGGGGTATTCCCCAAAAGGGGGTGGGTAAGGTAGGGGGTTGTGTGGTAACTTGTGTTGTAACTTGTGTTGTAACTTGTGGTGGTAACTTGTGGTTGTGTGGCAGGTCAGGGACAGACTCGAGGCTCATCCGCAGGCCCGACAGGTCACTGACCCATGTGGACCAGAAGGGATGCTCGACTTCCGATGATGTAAAATGCCGAGAGGGCGCTTTTCTTTCTTCTGTTTCTTTTTTTTTTCCCCTTTTTTTTCTTCCTCTGTTCTCTTCTTTTCTTTTTTCCCTCGCCTTTTTAGTCCCCCCATTTTTTCCATGGTTCGGGCAACGGCATGTGAGAGGGATGCATACGGAACAAGAAGTAAGAGCCGAAACGAGAATATTGAAAGCGCAAACATACGAGAGGAATTCAGGTCAGGCTGTCGATCTTTCGACAATATCTGACACCTGGGCCGAGATGAAATGGCTCGTCTCGTCCATCCAACGTCGAACGATGACGTGCGGCGGGTCTGGTTCACCGAGAAACTGACAGTACGGAGTCAGAGTATTTCGGGAACTTCTGGCATCCCCAAAACCAATGCAAGGCGCGCATGAGAACGCCTGGGAGCCTGTCGTCACACGTGGGTTAGCAGGACATGGAACCTGGTGCTTGGGGCGCTCACTCACCAGGCGCAAGCTTGTAAGACAGTGTCGGTAGTGGCGGGTAAGGAAAAGACAGGAAAAGCGAAGACCGAAAAGGCGCTGTCTGTGCAAGGTAAAGACGAGATAGTGGGAACTATTAGAGTGTACAGGTAGGTTCAGGTAGAGAGGTTACAGGTACGGATAATGTACGAAGTAAGGTCGAGGTAGAAATGGTAGAAATGGGTCTACTTCGTAAGGTACTTCGTGGTCGAAAGGAGGAGACTCGGGAGTGAGACAGGCCCATCAGACACATCAGACACCCCACGGGGTCGAACGGTGACGGTTACGTCGTGGGAATGATGTCCTGGTGCGGTCCGTCCACGCTACTAGGAATGCGCGAAGTACGGAAGACTTCTAGACTTCGGAGAGCTGAGAGCGCTCGGACGGGCGGATGTTGATGATACCTAAGAAGGATGAAAAGAGGGGGCCGCCTTCGAAGTACTGTACGAGTTACGAAATACTTCTTCTTCGTGCGAATAAGAAAAGGAAAAAAAGGGGGGGGGGAAAAACCCCGTTTGCGGGGCGGGCTTGCGCCTTTGCCCGAACCAGTACCTACCTACCTACTTCGGATATCGGAGAAGAGCGATGATTGGAGGGCCTTCTGACGTGCCGACTGCGCTGACATGTGCAAAAACAGTATAATAAAGGGACGCGAGCCAGACTACAACGGGCGTTCGCAGCTCGAAGAGCAGAAAAATGACCACATTACCTCATCGCAGCGAGCGCGCCCCTTATTTTACCATCCCGTTCGGCTCACCTGACCAACGAGATTCGACCGAAATCCGACCACTGACTGTCAGCCTGCCAGCCCAACGAGCACGAAAGTACACATACCTTACCCAGCAGGGGTTGGATGTGGTCCGTGACTGCTAAGAGGCGCTTTCCCTGCCGCCTCGAGTTTTATTCCTTTTCTGCACACCAAGGCCAGCGTAGATCGTGATGCAATACTTGGTGCTGGTGAGATAGGTATGATATGACGGACATGTGCTCTCTGTCTCCTTCGGCGAGAATACAGTTCATAGGGAGACGGACCGCCGAGCGACAATGTCGCATGTCGGCTATCAGTTAACTAAGACTTGAGGCGCGTCTACGTGTAGTGTAGTTGTCGGGGTATCTAAGGTAGGTGAGCCTGTCTGAAAGTGCAACGCTTCGCAAACGTATGCCGTGACATCACTCGTGGGAGCGGAACGTTCGGTCTTCAACCTCAGGCCGCCAGCTGGTCCCGCTGAAGATGTTGCAGACAGAAGAAGTACCGTACGAATACCTAAGGTACCTAGGTATCCAACCTTATGGAGGTACCTGACTTACCTAAGCAAGCTCAGGCCGTTGAACGGGTTCATTGCTTACCTACCCATTACGCGTAATAAAGGACTCGTGCTCGCGTCTTATCAAATCGGGCGACTCCATCCGAACCCAAGTTCCCAAGCGTCGTCAATCAAGACTCGGCAAAGCGGCTGTGCTTGCGAGAATCGCGAGTCCATGGGAGCTTCTACCTGTACTTCGTCTGCTCTCTCGAATGACTCTCAGTATGAGTGGGCTATGCGTTTCTCATCCGCAAGCAACCTCTCGAGCCTCTTAACCACAGCTGTTCACCAGCTTGAACCTAAGGCGCCGCTTACTCACAGTGATGTGATCTGGTAAGACATCGAACAAGATCGCATACTCCATACGTCGTACGCCTCACGCCTTGGACTTGTTCAAACCCGGGGTTGGAAAGAAATGCAGACTTTGCTACCCGCACACACACACACACACACTCTCTCTCTCTCTCTCTCTCTCTCTCTCTGTGCAAGGCGAAGCGGACCAACTTGAAGGCCATCTTACCCGACACCCCAGAGATCGTCGCCATCAAAAGCCTTGGCTTGTCCCTATATGTTGCCTAATCCGGCATTCCATTCGAGCTCCCACTGATACCACAAATATGATTGGACGTTCCCCCGTCTTGCTTCCCCGCCCTGGGATGCCTCCTGGAGTCCTGGTGTCTTTGCGCCCCTGCAACCAGCAACATGGCTCGCTATCGTTGGAGGATGCCCCTACGAGAACCTCCATTGCTGATGATCCTTATGGTAGTAACCCATATTACTAGGTTCCCTGATATACTCCGTACTCCGTAATCGAGGCTGAGCTCTTGCCGGACCAGCAAAGGTCACCCTGTCCAGTTAAACCGTCAACATGGTTCTTAGCACAAGGAGATGAAACTAATTTCAAAGTTCTCAACCGGCAGATTGTAGACATGGCGACACACAACCTGACCGTCGATAATTACGGATACAAGGAAATCAACGCACCTCGAATGCATTTCCCTTTTTGCACGTCCTGTCTTAGGAGGCAGTCTCGGGCCCATTCTCATCCCAAGTTGTTTTAAGTAGGGTTGATGACCGGTCGGTCCGTCTGGGACCTCTGTCATGGTCCATATCATCCATTTAGAACTGTCTTGTCTGCCTTGTCCACTGTCTTCCCCTTTTCGAAAAATATCGTTCTCACACTCTGCCTCGACTGTTACAGGCATCCGACATACCGTCGCGAGATTTGGAAAAGGACGCCAGGGACATGTTCTCTATGGGAAAGATCAGTAATACTAATTTCTACACCCAGCCGAGTAGCATCGATGGAAATAGCCAGAACAGCACCATGACAACATCGACGTCAACAGCGACACAAGAGCCCAAAGGCAACCCATGCCGCCATCGTCCAGATCCCGGACCCGAACCATGCGCGACTTGCAAGTCTGAGCGCCAGAGAAAGCTCAAATATCGGTGGAAGATCATCCTCGGCCTGTTTCTCCCCTTCACCCTCTCTGCCCTCGACTTCACCATCATCGCCAGCGCCCTGCCCTGGATCGCCTCCGACTTCGGCGAGGTCCCCCAGCTCAACTGGATCGTCTCGGCGTTCAACTTGACCGCCGCCGCCTTCATTCCCTTCTGGGGCCAGATGGCAGACATCTTCGGCCGTCATGCCGCCATCCAGGCCTGCATCTTTCTGGTTGTCATCGGGAGCGCCATCTGCACCGGCGCCCCGACCGACGCCTTTCCGCTCCTCCTATTCGGCCGCGCCCTGCAGGGCACCGGCTGCGCCGGCATGAACGTCGTCATCCGCGCCATCGTCGCCGATAAGGTCTCTCTCCGGGAGGACGCCAAGAACTGGTCCATCTTCTCCATCGTCGGCGGCTGCTCGTATGCCTTGGGCCCCGTCATCGGCGGCTATCTGACCGAGACCCATTGGCGCTGGTGCTTTGGGATTAACTTGCCCGTGGCCGTTGTCGGGATGGCCGTCATCTTCGTCGTCCTCCGAAAGGAGCTGCTCGGTCCGCAGCCCATGCCGCAGCTTGACGAGACGACCGAGACGGGTCGTCGTACCACCTTCGTTCGCCGCCTCCAGACCATCGACGTTGGCGGCCAGGTCCTCTGCATCGTCGGCTTTGGTCTGCTCGTCCTGGGCTTCACCTGGGCTGGCGCGACCTACGGCTGGGCCAGTGCCGCTGTTCTGGCCCCCCTCGTGATTGGAGCCCTCGTCATCGTCGCGTTTGTGTGGTGGGAATTTGAGATGACCCCTGGAAACACGCTGGCGCGGATGTTTCCGTGGCAGCAGGCCATGATTCCCTGGGAAGTCCTCCGCAATCGCGACATTGGCCTCCTATTCTACGCTTCCTTTGCCACGGGAATGGCCATGTTTTCGGTGAGTAGCATCCGAAAACCGCATGGAGCACAAATAACTCCTGGGTTTCTCTTCCTATCTGTACGCACCATTTTTTTACTGACGGCCTTGACTATTATTGTTTCTTTGTGCCTAAAAGGTCCTGTATTTCTGCACGTTATACTTCACCATGGTGAAACATCTGGATGCAGGCGATGCCGGTAGACAGCTCCTGTTATTCGTGCCGGGCCTCGGAGGTAAGACATCACATTGCGACGGAACACGGTGTCACGCAATGGATCCCGTGTTTCCTTTTCCCCATGTTTTATCATGCGTTTCCATAAAGCATGCGCTTCCCCTTTTTGACTAACCCGTCGACTTGCGTGCAAAGGGGGTGTTTGGATGGCCATCTTCTTCTGCAACTCGTACCCTCGACAGACGTGGCACCCCATTTTTCTCGGCTCCGTCATCGAATTGGTAGGCATCGGGGTGCTTGCCTGGGCACTGTGGAGGGAGCACGACCCCACTGTTTACGCCATGATGGCTGTGACCGGTGTCGGCATCGGCATGCGCCTCATGCCCGGTAAGTCCCCCCCCAGCTGCGGCCACGGTCCCAACTAGCTCCGGAGCGATCGGTTGGAAAGGGAAGACTCTGCTGACACCAGAATGCCATTTTCATCATAGTTCCCCTCCATGGTATGGCCTACTTTCCGAAACGAATCGCGGCGGTGATTTCTTTGAGTGAAGTATCGGAGCCGCTCGGTGGTACCATAGGCCTGACGGTTATGACGACCGTGTTCAACAACGTTGCGGGTATCGGCAGCGGCCCTACCGACGGTAGTTTGACAAGTTTGTCTCAGATGCTACCCGAGGAGCTGGCTGCCCTGTCCCAGAATGCCAAGGTACGACAACCTCCTACGCGGGCGTTCTTCAGCAGTGGTGGGCATGGACTGGTTTTGGCTAATTGGTGCTGCGAACAATAAGGAAGGTATCGTCTGGGCTTACGTTGCTATTCTTCCGTTCATGGTACTGGTAAGTGTATCCGTACATCGGGATCAGATCATATTTATGGAACATGTGAACGACGAAAGGAACGCTGACTCGGCATCTCTCCGTTAGTGTGTCATCGCGTCCGGTCTTCTGGGCAACGTGTATATCAGCACAGACACGAACAACGAAGACGAGCAGACCAACACGATTTACCATGGGGTCTACTTGTGGGCGCTGCTCCGGGGTAAGGGCGGGTCGGCGGCAGAGAATTCGGACAAGGTGACAATCACGCGGCGGGCCGCCTGGCAGGACGGGCGACAAGTTCTTCCGCAGGCTAGGCCGGACGCTACCTGATAGACTGACGAGAAAACGGGACACATTGGGTCTCCAGTCCCTATTGCGCACGTCGATGGACGTCCGCGTTGAGGATTGAAACCAGAGGCCTGGCCTGCTCCATCAGCCCTAATAAGTAGTCGGAAATGCCGTGCCTACCAGGAGGAGGTATAATTCCCACTTTGCTGGTCTACCTAAGGTACCACCTACCTACCTTACCTAGGTCAGGTACTAGGTCCGGCCCAACGTCCCTTTAACTCCTTTGAGCTAAGGTTGGTCGTCGGTTCGACCGCGATCATCTCTTAGCGTAACAATAAGGTATTATTAGTATTAATCAAAACGCGGCTCAACTCAACGTTCCTGTCTAATTCCTTCAAGGTTCCATCCATTGGGATGATCTCGCTATATTTTTTCGACCTTTGGGGGTGGTATATAACAGGTCTTTTTGCTTTTCATTTCCAATATTCAGCACATCAATTCGAGATTCACGTTACTATCTTACTTGGAAGTACCTTAGCCGGACAGTGCAGACGTTGAAACTACTTTGGAAGTACCTTAGCCGGACAGTGCAGACGTTGAAACTACTTTGTAATTACAACGTACAGCACCTGCTCCATAAACGGTATTCAGGGAGTGTGGGTTGGGTATACGACGGCCTTGGCGGGAATACTTGGCACCCAGAATCATCCGTGCCAACTCCATGAGGCGCAAATTGCCAACCTACAACGGGTTGCGCATAAAACTAGGCGACTTCTCATTGGCTTATTTTGTTTTCGGCTACCTACTGCCGAGACTGAGCTGAAGTCTGATGGGAGTCACGATACACTATGGAGATTAGGAAGGCGCAAAAAAAAAAGCCAGGGGAGGGAAGGAGAGACCAGGGGCAGTCACCTCACAGGCTCACAACCAACCAGAGTCTCATCCTATTTCTTGGAAGTTGCGCGTTCACTTTTTCTCTTTCCCTCCCTTCTCCCCGCTTTCACCAGGTCGCCAGCTTGTCGTCATTCCATTAACTGACTCTTGCAGTTTCCTGTCAAGACGTAACCAACTTCCTTGAAAATCTTGGAGGGATCCATTTCCCTTGACATTCGCTCAGCACAGATTACGTCGTCCATTCTCTTGTTATTTCTCTTTACGTTCTTGTCTCTCTTTATAACTGCATTTCGGTCTTCTTCAGTGTCAATTCCCTAGACTCTCCATGTCTTTGCGCACTGGTTCTAGGAGCTGCGGAACATTGTCAACAGAATCAACACTTTTGTTGTTATAAGAACCTACCTAGGATCCATATTTTTGGCTTTGGCAAAACACGCGCTATCGCCATGCTTGTAAGTATTACTACTACCCATTCTGTCTGTTATTTTTGTTACCGCATTGCCCCAGTACCTAGCTCCTGGAGATCACGGGGTGGACACGAGCGAGAGAAGATCTTTTTCTCTTTCCTCTCACTTTTATCCACCAGTGTAGCAGATGGATCGATCATTAATCCCTCTTAGCTATATCATCACATCCACCCCCCCTTTGATATTCACCTTGAGCTCCTACTAACAATACCTGTTCTCACCACTCCTAGCTCCCCTGTACGCTCGTCGCCCTAGGCGCGACCCTCGCAGCCGCCGTCACCCCTCTCGAGCTTCGTGGCAATGCCTTTGTCAACCCTGACACCGGCAATAAGTTCCAAATCGTCGGCATCGACTACCAAATCAATGGCAGTGCCGGCTATAATCCCGAACACGGCTATGATCCCCTCAGCATCCCCGAGGTCTGTCTTCGCGATGCCGCCCTCATGCAGGCCATGGGTGTCAATGCCCTCCGCGTCTACAATCTCAACCCTGATCTGAACCACGATGCCTGCGCCTCCATCTTCAACGCTGCCGGCATGTACATGCTCCTCGACGTCAACTCACCGCTGGTCGGCGAATCCCTCACCGCCTTTGAACCCTGGACGAGCTACTACGCCTCGTACCTGAACCGCACCTTTGCCATTGTCGAGGCCTTCAAGAACTATCCCAACACTTTGCTTTTCTTCTCCGCCAACGAGGTCATTGACCATCCGCGGACCGTGGAGCATGTGCCTCCCTACCTGCGCGCCCTCACTCGCGATATCAAGAGCTACGTCGCCAAACATTCCGACCGCAGGATCCCCGTCGGCTACTCCGCCGCCGATGTCCGCAGCGTCCTTTTTGACACCTGGAACTACCTCCAGTGCGCCATTGACGGTGATGAGGACGACATGAGCCGCATCGACCTCTTCGGCCTTAACTCGTACTCGTGGTGTGGCGACTCCGACTTTGAGCGCTCAAGCTTCGTCGATCTCGTCGATGGCCTCCGCAATACCTCTGTTCCCGTCTTCTTCTCCGAGTATGGCTGCAACCAGGAACTACCCCGCCTCTTCACCGAGGTTGGGTCCATTTACGGCCCCAACATGACCGACGTCTTCTCCGGCGGCCTCGTCTACGAATACAGCGAGGAGCCCCACAACTATGGGCTTGTCGAGGTCTTCGACAACAAGTCGGCCCACCTGTTGCAGGACTACCGCACCCTCGCCGACCAGTTCGCCCAGCTCGACTTCGAGGAACTCCAGGGTGCCAGCCCTGATAGCAACATGCCCAGGCCTCCCACCTGCTCCAGCTCTCTCATCCAAACGAGCACCTTCCACAGCAACTTCACCCTCCCGGACATGCCTCCAGGCGTCAAGGAACTCATTGAGGATGGCATCAGCCCCAAGCCCTCAGGCCGCATCATCGAAATCTCCGATTGGGACGTTCCCTTCACCGTCTATGACACTAACTGGGAGCCTATCGAGAACCTGGCCGTCAACCCCCTCGACGATGGCGAGGTCAACCGTCCCGGCAATAACAACGCCGGCGGTTCGGGCTCGGATTCCCCGTCCGATGGCTCTGACGATGATGACGATGACGATGATGATGATGATGAGAACGCCGGTCTTTCGCTGCGGCCGGCCTTGGCTATTGCTCTGGGACTGCCTGCTGCCCTCCTCTTCTTGTAGACGATAATATTGGAAGACCACGTACTTTGGAGCTGACATCTGGTTACATGGTGGACCCGTTTTCTCTTTCAATGTAGAATACTTCATTCCCCATCTGTGTCTATACTGCGATGCCAGGGCATATAGAACGTAGCCGTTGGGATTTTTATTAATTTCTTTCTCCCCCCCCCCTTTCGTTGTGCCGTTGTGATCAATTACCGGTGTTGAGAAGTAAGGGCTAGAAGAGGCATTCTGCAGCAGCTAGGAAGGCCCAAACATGCTTTCGGGTCTCCCCGAATCTGCCTGGGCTGAGTGGAATGGCTGATGTAAGGACGATAACTCTGTACAAGACTATAAACTATGTTCAAAACGAGCGTGACCACCGGTTTTGCAGTAGAACTGCTGATGGATCCGAGGAGTCGCGGGATTCGGGATGTCGTAAGGCGTTTTGTCTTCTCACAAACATTTACCTGCAAGACACGAACTTTCTGTAGCACAGCAGTACACGTCTGGTTAGGCCGGCGAAAGACAAGAGTAACGGAACACTGCGTAATAAATGGAATTAAGAGGGCTCGCCTTAAGGAGCGTCTGGCTGCGGGTTTTTTGCGAGGGTGTAAACCAGAGACGAGAAAAAAAAAGAACAGTGGAGAGAGAATAAACTACACAAATGCTGTTTGGTAAAAGAAAAGAAAAAAAGAAAATAAGACACACACCAACGACCATGAGATGAGGCCCAAGGTCGGGGGGGTATTGACCATTATCCTCGCGCCGCGCCATTGCACTCTTTTTTTGTTTGCTTCCACTCCTTTCCTACAGACCCACGTACCCGCTGCCCGCCTACTTTATTCAGCTCGTGTGTCCAAGGTTCAAGTGTCCAGCGTCGCTCGCCACATGGTATTGTGCATAAAAAAGCACCCCAAGTCAAAAAGTGTTTTCAAAGTCATTAAGAGGCATCCCCCATTCCGCGGACGACTTCTTGCGACGTGCCGTGCTAGGTTTTAAGAGACCACAAGGCCTCGAGAAACATCAAGCTGCTGCATTCGCCGTTGTCTAGTAGCCGTTCACTCTTTGGGACCCACGGCTCATCTCACGCTCAGCAGCAGGGCTGATGGGCCTGCTACCACCACCATGCGCGCTGCTCTCCTTGAGCGCAAGGAGTTGCTTCGCGCGGAAGGTCTCGTAGTGGATCTGGGAAGTGGTTTCAATGAGGTCCTGGAGGTGTGTGCGAAGCAGGAAGTTCCGTAGGTAGATGAACTCGCAGTGGCTTTCGTCCTCGACGTTGATAACGCCCCAGCGGTTCTGGCGGCCGCGAACCTGCTTGCCGTTGACGATAATGGACTTCTCCGAGCCGACGACGGCGAAGGGAATCATGGCCTAGAAAAAAAGACGGGTTAGCTCTCGAATCTAGAGGACGTGGTCGCTCCAAAAGTGAACAAGTCCATGGGAACAAGCGACTACGTTTAGCGCACCTTGATCTGCGAGTTCACAGCCCGCTCCTCATCGTCAAACTCTTCGTTCTCATAGGGGTACATCTTCAGGTTGTGGAAAGCAAATTCCTCCTTGATACGCGCCTTGAACTCCTGACGCTCCTCGAAGGTGAGGGAGTCAGCCTTGGCGATGACGGGCACGACGTTGACCACATCGGAAAGCTTCTTGAGCACAACAATATCAATGGGCTTGAGAGAATGGCCGGAGGGCTGGATGAAGAAAAGGCAGCAGTGGATGCGGGTGTCCTGGATATAGCGCTCGCGCTGGGCCGTGAGCTCCTTGCGTAGGTAAGCGGAGTGCTGATCCTTGATATACTTGACGATGGGGTCCCAGCAGCGGTCGTTGTTGACGAGGTCACCGTAGCCAGGGGTATCGACGATGTTGAGCCGTAGACGAACGCCGTTCTCCTCAATGATGTGAGAGACACCCTTGATCTCGGTGGTGGAGCGGATGGGCTCGTCAGGTTGCATGCGGCCTTTGGAGTCGATCAGGTGCGACGCGAAGATGGTGTTGATCAGCGTTGACTTGCCGAGTCCAGTCTGGCCTGTAGCAGGAGAAGTTTGTGTCAGCATTCCGACTGATATGATGGAGACGCGGAGAAAAGGTAACATGGGACGAAGAGACGAGGGGCAATTGCGTGGAACCACACGTACCAACACAGATGACATTGAACTGGAATCCCCGTTTCAGCAGCTTCTTCTCGATTTGAGAAGTGATGCTGTCGAAGCCGACATGGGACTGGGGATAGATAGTGCTAGGGGCCTGCTGAGTCTGCGCCATCGTGTATAGTCTTTTAATTGATTTTTTTTCTTCTTTCTTTCGACCCTGCCTTGGACGCGAGCGAGTATTGGGGGAACGAGTGCAAGATGAGACGCGGAAGTCCTTCGAAGGATAAACGCTATCGATTACGCGTCTGGGACGAGTTGTGGGTAAGCTGTAAGAGAAATAGAACGATGAGATCCAGGTGGGAGCGGCGGGTTGTGTTGTGGAGGATGAGAGAGTACGGAGGAGGAGGAAGACGAGGCTAGTGGTTGAGAAGATAGACGGGACAACTGGACAGCCGGTGAAGCCTTCCAAAGGGGGTCAGGAACGGTTGGGTGGAATTTCTGTACTGTTGTTTCCTTTTTCCCCCAGTCACAGTCACCCAGCAAATACAATTTCCGTACAGGGAGAAACAGGGGTTCAGGGAAAAAAGGGGAGAGGCGTTCTGGTTATTCTGATTGGCTGAGACGTTGTCTGTGCACCTGGACTGTACACGATTGGTCGTCTTTTCAATTGATTGACCATTTGCTTGTCGGGAATTAGTTTCCCCGCATACCGAGCTGTCAAGTGGGTCCCGAGTAGGACTAGCAAGAAGTACTTCACGGATGGGACAAAATTATCGGCGCGAGATCGACCTTTGCCATCTGCCGCGCAGTTCGATGACCTACTACCTCGACGATACACCACGCCGTCCGAATTCGCGGAGTTGAATATATATCCGTACGAAGAGAGACTATCTCTCATACTGTTTGTGCCAATTTCCCTTTTCCGACATTCTATCTCATTACGTCCGATTCGAGTCTACCCGGCTCTGCCCTCGATACACGAAACACAATGGCGTCTGCAGCGATAGTAGCGCAGCCGCTTCGGTTGCCCTCCCTCCTCCCCCGACTCTCTCTTCCGACTCTTCTTCAAGCACCCAGTGCATGGTCCCACAGTTTGCGTCAATTCACACACCCGCTCCTTCCGAGGCTAGCAATAGTCATCCCGGCGGTTCAGCTCAACATCCCAGCCTGGCTGGGCGATATTTGGGAGTCGATTCTCCGAGCCGTGCCGAAGAAGAAGACGACGCACTCGAAGAAGCGCAGTAGGCTCATGGCAGGCAAGGCACTAAAGGATGTCACGTCGCTTTGCAAGTGCCCGGGCTGTGGTCAGGTCAAGAGACAACACGTCCTCTGCCCTCACTGCATGGAGCGTAAGTTTCCACATTGGAGTGTTGAATCGAGAACATCCTTCATTTTGCTCGCATCCTATGCTGACATATATTTCCTTGTTGCAGAGATTAAGACCATGTGGCGCTCTGAAAACCCAAGCGGGAAGTTTGTATGAGGCAAACCAGGCCACTGGTCAAAAAGAGGGCGAGGCGAAGTGTACATCATCTGTATATCCAACCACATGTCACAATATTCACAATATTCAAATGTTCATTCTCTTCAGATACATCTGTCTCTGATTCATCTGTTGGTATGATCATCGACGACAGTCTTCCCTAAGAGGCTGTCGCATGCTTTGCATCGCTCAGGCAAAGAGCCATGATCTGCATTGAAGAGGTCATCTCACGCGAGACCCAAGGGCTTCACGCTTTTCCGTACAACCGCCCGCTCTTCCTCTGATGTTCAATGTGCCTCTTCTTCGGGGGAGCTTTTTCCTTAATAGAGTGAACGATTAGCTTACAATATCCTGATTAGATGTTACTCGAGACCCTCTGTGTGTCCCAGTATGGGGATTTGTTCATTTCTCGGCGGAATCTCGAGCGCAGGTATTCTCCTAGATGGAGATATTACAGCCAACTCTCTAGGTAAAGGCAATGGTGCTTTCAGGTACACGATATCAATTCGATGCCTATACCCCTGGCCGCCATGGACCCTCGAGTCTGGAGCCAGCCCTCGATCGGCAGTTGCAGCTCTTATTACGCTCGTTCAAAGGGCGAGCACTCTGCGGCCCGAATAGCGTCTTGATCGCTGCCTCCTTGTATTGAGGGAATCGCTGGGGGAAGGTGTTTTTGCAGAATATGTCGCTCTGGGTGCATACTTTTTGAATTAAGAAAGGCAATCTCATCGGTAGCTGCTCGATCCAGCGGGGTTTCAAACAGAGATATCCCTTGGCATGGTGCGAATGTCTCTTTGCCATTGCCCGAGAGAAACGATGCATGCGAACGATGCTGTAACTCGGCTTACGTGATCGACATACTTCCTGGGTCGGCAGGTCCTGAGGGGTACGTACCCCGTGGTGAATTCGTCCACACGTGTACGATGGTGATGCATATGACGTCAACATCGGCGATGCAGCGAACGGACGAGGAAGTAGCTACCTCACAGGGTCTTTGGGCAGGGACACCTCGTCAATACAGGGGAAGGTGCTAGTCGGGTGGTATACTTTCCCTGAACCCTTCGTCCAGACCAGACCACAATCCACACTCTCCCCGCTCCCAACTCACTTCCAGCAGTTTTTCCTCATTCAAGCAACACACCGCACCGCACCGCACCGCACCACGACACGGCCAGGTTCTTCAGAGACAAAAGCAGAAAGGCCACCGACATAGAAGACCTCGAATCGCATCACTGCGCACGAGAAGAATCACCATGTCGAACATCAACATCCCCACGTCCACCTCGGTCCTCGAGAGCGCTGTCATCCGCGCACCCCTTTCCCACGTGTGGCACCACATCAAGCTCGCGGAGTTTGGAAAGTGGCTATCCGTACTTGAAAAGTCCGAATGTGTCAAGGGCGGCACCAGCCCGGACACGGATATTGTCCGCTGGGCCTTCAAGGACGGCACCGTCCTCGAGATCAAGCAGGAGGAACACAGCGTGAGTTCTGGTCCCCTATCCCGTTTTCTATTTGAAGCAGGTTCTATTTGAAGCAGGTTCTATTTGAAGCAGGTTCTATTTGAAGCAGGGAAAGACGGTTTTACTGACAGCCGATGCGTTTCCAGACGATTAACCACTACATCACGTACAGCGTCATCACCTCCCAGCCCGAGGTCTCTTACTCTTCGGTCCTCTCTACCATCCGTTGTTACCCCATCACCTCCGGCGAGTTGGAGGGCTCCACTTTTGTTGAGTGGAGCGGTCACTTCTCCAGTGATGCTGATGCTGGTGAGTTACGGATGTCTCCCTCCTCAGACTGATATGATGCGCTTGATGCTGATTCCGCTTTCTGTAGGTGTTATCCAGGATGCCAAGTTCAAGCGCCGTGATGGACTTGCCGACTTGGCCAAAGTGGCCACCCAGAAGTAATGGGTAGTATGAGACAGTGCCTCGACCAAAAGAGGAAAGAAACACTGAAGACATTATTATGGAGTCTCTGATAAGGAATCAAAACGGACTTTATGGCTGGAGGGGAAATATCGGACCACCAACACCGTTGTAATGAGCTGACAAGGCTGAAATTTGCTAGTTATCAATATCCCATGGCTTTTGTAACGCACTGATGAGATTGGAACACGTCGCGGCTGGCCGACATATTACCACGAGGATCCTAACTATTAGGCCTGTTCTGTCATCACGGCTTACATTACATGGGTTCTATGGCCATCCACCACCTACTACTCGTAGCCTTCCTTGATGCAAAGACAAAACTCCCCTTCAACGAATATATAAAATTCAGAATCCCAACAGCTTGCTCCCATACGCAAGAACCGCAGCTTCTCCTCGAGATGTCGCAGTCACGACATCGAACGGCGCGTAGCCAGCTCCCCGTAGACCGTCGACTTCGGAAATATCTTTCAGTTCCTGGATTCCAGGACGACCAACATGCTCGCTCTCGCCCTTACCACCGGGGAAGTCCGGCGCAGGGATGCCCTGCTCGAAGCAGCGGCGCTGACGCACCACGTAATCGAGGTTTGCCCGGGTTGTCGGGCAAGCGGGGATGTACATGACGCTGGAATCGCGTTTACCACGATGCAAGGCGTCGACGGCGTGAATCGTGTCGCAATGCCAGGCGACGTAGTCGCCGGGTGCGATACGGGGAACGTGCACCATCGTGTTAGGCAGGTCGAGGTGCGGGTGCCAGCGAGGCCGCAGCTCCTGGCAGTGGCCCGGGGAGCTGCCCTGAAGGTCCGGCGTTATAGGGTTTTCGAGGGTCCAGTTATGGGGGTCGAGAAATTCGGGGGAGAAGGAGGTGGCGGGAGGGCTATGCTTCGGGGTAAAGAAGGGTCGAAGGAGATAATAGGCGGTGGTGAGGTTAAAGAGCGGGTTAACGAGAAGGGTGCCCTCGTGAGGCCCGGTATAGGACATGCTGAGCCAGCCCTGAAACATGCGGAACATAGAGCAGGCACCGGCGCCCTGGTAGAGGTCCGAGACGGCGTCGAGGCGGGTGCTCAGCTCCCAGGGGTCGAAGTCCTCCCAGGCTCCGTCGAAGATCTTATCGTAGACGCGGCCCCGGCCATAGCCTTCAGGTTCCCAGCGCTCGACGCTGCCTCCGTCGACATGCGGGCCGAGAGCAAAGCCGGCGTCACCCGGCTGGCGGATTCGGAGACGGTCGGCATACATAAGGGGATTTTGTGTCGAGCATTCGGCGTCCGGGTTTGAGGATTGGTAGTATGACATGAGGAACCTCTGCGTCTTGATCATGTTCGGGTGCGCTCGTGCTGTGAGCTGCGGGCGGGACCAGTATAGCTCAAAGACTTGCGGATCGTGAGGGGGGAACGCTTTCGTGATGTTAGCCTGGGGAAATTGGGAGCAAGAAAAGCGGCGACAGGCCTCTGGTAGATGGGTTGGCAGCAATATATTTCTCGGCGTCCTCCTTGTAGGATCGGGCCTCCTTTTCCGGCACAACGTTGCGTATCACGGCGACGCCGCGTTTCTTGAAGGCCTTGCTGAAGTCCGATGAAGGTTTGTCGAGGTCTGAAAATTGAATTTCAGGGATAATGGTCGGCCGCTTATCTCGGATGATCCTAATGTCCTCCTGAAGGCGCTGCAGAAGGCGGTTCCAGCTGGCGTACAAGACATCTCTGTTTTGTGCCCGGGCCAGAAGACTTCGCTTCACGTCCGCAAATCGGGGGGGAAGGGATTCCGCATGGCTGCCTCCGGAAAGCGATCGGAATACGGAGGAGATATCACCGTCTTTTTTGCATTCTGTTACCGTCCGCCCTGTCAAAAAGAGATGCTGACACTGGGAGACAGCAGGCCAGAGAGAGCGTGGCCGCAACTTTAAGCTTGTGGTTCTTGTTGTCGAGAGCATGGTGGCGGAGATCCGGATAGGTATTGGGTGTCGATGCGATGCGATCGGATACCATGGAAGCTATCCTTTTGCCCGGTAGAGGACTCGGACCATCCAAATCTGCTGTTAATATACGTGTGACGCTGGCCCGTAAGCCGGCGGCTGAGCTCCCCCCTTCGACAATGTTGTGCTTCGTAGGAGCCCGCAGCTGCGTCCCCGACACGCCGCACGTCGTCCTTTGCCTGTTACGGAAATCCCTATAGCGCGGACTTCCACTAAGAGCTGGACGGAATTTCCCTAAAAGGGACATGTCCGCTTAGCTCTGCCCCACCACCGGCACTTGGCATCCGGATTGCGGGGGTGGGGAAAAGCCACATCTCCGAAGTGCTCCGTACGTAACAAACATATTTGGCTGACGTCATGTGATGTGCTTTCTCATTCCTCGGACGCAATGCTCCGTAGGTAGACAACGACAGTCTGGCCTGGCTGGAGCATTGTGGGGGGGGTTTTTTTCTTTTTCGACCGTCAAATCTCAGGGCTGTACGCCGAACTGCGCATCATCTATCCACTCGGTAGGAAGGAAAGGCACTGCCGGGTTTAGGTTGGCAGAGAACAAGGCGTCAACCCGATCAAGCTGAAATTCAGGGTCGAACTCGTCGAAGATTCCCGACACGTCCGAGAAATCCAGGCCTTGGAATATGCCGGGTTCTAGCTGCGCTACTGATACGGGTGCCACCAACGTGGGCTGCGAGTTGTAGACAGCGCTGACCAACAGGTTGCGTCAGGGGGATCGCCACCATCGTTGTTGGGCCGGGGGAAACCGGGGATGTCGAGGTTACGGGCGGCTGCGAGCATGTCTGCACGGTGTTCTTCTCGGTCTGGGGTTCCGTTGAACCACGGCCGCTCGGTGCTGCGGCTCCCTCACGAGGTTTGATCCTGTTCCTGTTGACCGAAATACGCTCAACCTCTTGCAGGGTGTCTTTGGCCAAGCGCGCCATCATGCGAGCGGACCGGAAGGCTTTGCCGAGGTCGTCCAGCATGTCGCAGCTGGCTTGCAACAGCCCGTAGGCTCGTTTCCGGTGGTAGGGGATGGGGCTGTTTCGGAAATTCCGGTAGGCCACGGACGAGGCCAAGGATACGGCATACGGCACCACGGCCCAGAAAGTGAGAGACGACCTGTACTCCTCCGAGGCGATGGATATGATGCTCGCCGCGCAGAAGGTTTGTGCAGATGAACAGGGCGCCCGCCCTGACGCGATCCCCTGTGGTCTGCCCTGTAGTATGACAACGGCATGATAATACAGTTCCAAAGAGGCTGGCCGGGAGTCAAGTCAGCTGAATGGAACCTAGAGTTGCGGGCATAAGCGGGCCAGCGCCATGGGTGGGGGTTATCGGAAACAACATCAAAATGCGAGAATCGACTGACTAACCAAGCAACGAGGCTGTGACATCCGCAGCACGAGCCTCACAAACCAGATCATCAAATGACGGCGTCTCTAGTTGTTGACTCTCGGGCGGAGCATGTGGGCGATATTTCGATATAACTCGGTCCAGAAACCGCGAGATGCGAATGAAAAGCTGAAAGGCGGGAATCTGCTCGGGCACGGCGTCCAGCACCCTCTTGTCCATGTCCTGATGGTGGATAAAAATGGGCCGACCATTAGCGGCAGCGTTCAGACGGTCCAGCGTCCAGACGCACCAGAAGACGCGTTTCGACTTTTCCGTGGTGCCCCTATCGCCGGGCCAGCCGAGATGGAGACCCATCATCTGGGTGAGCTGGACGGGCTGGGCACAGTACTGGGCGGAGAACTCGCCCGAGCTTGGCTTGTCCGCGTAGAAGGACATGAGGATACACACCTGGAGCTGGACCATCTTGTCGTGGATGAAATCGGCGTCCAGGGCCAGCTTGAGGGCCATGGCGACGCGCGATCGGAACTCCATCTGCAACAACACGACGCCATTCTCGTCCTGTCCCAGACGCAAATGGCCGCGAGCTGAGGGATCTAGGGCCGCTATCAGGCAGATGCATTGTCTGAGGACAGCGGCTTCCATGGCGTCGTGTTTCTCGAGGGATGCTTCTTCTGCGTGGAGGACGGGGAAGATGGTGTCAAACTTGGCGTAATAGATGTCCAACAGGCGGTCGAAGTCTCACTGGGGAGGAAGCACCGACATGCACTCGCGGCGAAGATGGGGATACAGACTGTTGAGCCCCATCAAGGCCCGAGAGGCGGGAAAAGGTCCCGTGTGGTTTGGTTCTACGGTGGCGACATCTGCACCCCGCCGGGTATCGGACGGGGCATCAACACGGTCGTCGGGTCTTTGGCCAACCCACACCCCGATCTCACCCCGTCTCGGTGGCTGGTGGCCTCCTGCGCCTCGGTCCTGGCCGCGGTTGGCGAGGAACGAGGCTTCGGGGCTGAGGTCGCCGACGAAGTGAAGATGCGCGGCATCTGCGGTCCGGCTTCGGGTTGAGGTCATTGCCTCCGACGAGGGCGGAGAAGCCGCTGAAGCATGGGCTGAGATTGCATCCGGAGTTGACGCGGTGGGTGTGCGCCTCACGTGCGAGCAACGTTTCTGCGCCCACAGTGAATCTCTCCGCACGCGAAATATATAGAGAGCGACAGGGGAGAAAGGTGTGTGAGGGAGGCCCTTTTTTTTTTTTTTTTTTTTTTTACCCTCTCCATTTATTAGCCATTCTCAGGGCGTGGGTTCGTTCACATACATGGCGCTTCCTACAAGTCTCACATGCCTTATTGGACAACTTGCGTTTCGTCCCAACACCACCGACGCTGTCGGACACGAATTTGAACATTACCTAGATAGGCCATGGGACTTGGTGAGGATTTAAGGTGTTCATGGAGGAGAGTAAAGATGTGCATCGGGTCTAAATTGGAAGTCACAGAGGAACAGAAGCTTTGACAGAAAAACCGACACGTGACTATCTTTTCGAGGTGCTTACATAATCACAGGTCGGTCACCTCGTCTATGTACACCGGTATCCGGAGTCCGCCGTTGTACGGGAGGTCGGTGCCTCTTCAATCCGTTGGCAGAGTGGTCGAGATATTCGATCAGGTCTTGGTAGCGGGCACGAGAAGAGATGATGTTGTCCACAACTACCGTGGCACCGACCCTGAGGCGAGGGTGCACGAGTATGAGCGCCGGCAAGGCGAGAGGAGCCCATACTGGAGAGAAAGAGAAAGTAAGCATAAGCACGGGGATTTCGAAGTCGAGCAGCAGCGATTCATCCTTCTTCATGTATCTGGCGCGACGATCTCTGTGACGCAAAAAAAAACACAGTCGGTAGAGATAAGAAAAGCCACCGAAAGGTTAGACCTCTAGGGTGTCTTTGGTGAACTCACTGTCGAGGAGCAGAGAGTCAATCTGGTCAGGCAAGTCTGTTGTAAGGGTCTCCCTCAAATCACCCTCGCGGAGCTCGATCCACCGGAACGGCTCGGGGCGGAAGGCCCCGGTTCATGTACAACGTACGGTACCTTATCTACTCTAGGTACTTCGTAGAACTGCTTTCTGCACCATGTGCTCCGAGCCATCCGGCAGCCCCAGAGCGACAGCAAACGACTTATCTTATGTACACAGCCTCGGACTCTCACCTCTCACCTCTCACCTCTCACCTCTTACCTCTTACCCACACGTGCACTCTTGTAGGTGTTTTCTCCGGCATTGGTGCTGCTAGGAGCATCCCCATTCCCCAACGCCCTCAAGTAGAACAAACCTTCTTTCTCGCGGTCCCGTCGTACAGTTAGTTACACGTGAGTCCGCCTCGTCTCTTCGGAAGCCCCGGGATCGATCTGCTCAGTACCCGTGGATCACCTTGCGTCCTCCCCAACCTCCATGGTGAACGGGCTAACCAAGTAGCCGCGTCCGTTCTAGTCATGTCCGCTTCCGTCGCTCTTCGTGCTTCATCCGCATGCTAATGCCAGCGTGTTAGATCCGCAACCCCCAGGGTCGGCGCATCATCAGCGAACTTCTTCCCGTCTTCGGCCCTTCGCTTGTCTGGGCGTCGTTCGAGATGCCATTCCAGAACCCCCTCCACTCCACATGTCTCGTCTTGCACTCTCGCATGCCATCGTAATATACATGTACAGACCTCGGGTATTATATTACTTTCCTCACCCACACCTCTATGTTCTCTTGTCTAGCTTTTTCCGGTGTGTTATACTGCGCTGGGCTTGTTCATTAGTACTGTCCCAGAAGATGCACCACGTAGAAAGTGAACATATATTAGAGAGCTAGATGATCGACATCTTATCTGGTCATATCTTACTCGTTAATCCCTCCAACCCCTCCACACCTCCCTACACAAGTCGACTTGAACCCATCGCCATGGCTCAGGAGACCGTGCCCATCCCGGAGCCTAAGGCCCTGCCTCTCCTGGGTAACCTTTTAGCCATTGACAGCCACTTTCCCCTGGGCTCTATGGTCTCGCTTGCTGAGCAATACGGCGAGTAAAATTAGTTCGGCATCTTCATACCCGATTCGATCCTCGCGTTAATCAACTCGCTCTTAACCCCCAGGTGAAATCGTGAGGTTACGCTTTCCCGCGAGGACCATCGTCCTCGTTTCCACCCAAGCTCTCGTGGATAAGACGTGCGACGAGAAGCGCTTCAGAAAGGCCATCAACGCCACTCTTGCCGTACGCTATGCTTTCCGTCCCATCTAACGTTCCCCGACCCTCTCTCTCGCTAAGTTATCGCGTTCCGATCTGACCCCTATCCCAACCCACAGCAAATCAGAAACGGGATCCACGATAGGCTCTTCACTATACGTTCCACTTTTCCTACCCCTCTCTCGCTTTAATCCGTGAAAAGAAAAAGGAAAAAAAAAAAGGAGAAAAGAAGAAAACCCTTCGCGTCCTAACCCAATCTACCCACCAGGCCAAGGAAGGCGAGGAAAACTAGGGCATCGCCCACCATATCCTCATGCCCGCCAACCCTTATCGATCCGCAACATGTTCAACGAGATGCACGACATCGCCTCCCAGCTCGCCCTCAAATAGGCCCGGTACGGCCCGGACCACCCCATCATAGTCACCGACGACTTCACCCGCCTGACTCTCGACACCATCGCCCTCTGCTCCATGGGCTTCCGCTTCAACAGCTTCTACTCCCCCGTCCTCCACCGTTTCATCGAAGCCATAGCCGACTTCCTCGCCGAGTCCGGCGAGCGCGCCAGGCGGATGCCCCTCTCCCCCGTCTTCTATAGCGACTTTCAACTTGCGTCCTCGGCGGGCCAAACGACTGGGTAATAGATCTTCTTCTCATCCCCCGGAAGTCCAGTCCCCAGTCCCCAGCCCCCAGCCCCCAGCTACCAGCTACCAGTTCCCCGTCCACCCGTTCCTCGAACGAGATCCCTGACCCGGCTGATCATGTGGCCCTCCCCGGAGCTCTCTTTGTGCAGTCAGAGAGTATGAATATACAGAGTAACGAGGTCTTGTACAGACTAAGGTATCGTTGAATCGTTGTAGGTGAAATCAGGCTTCTATGTCGCCACACCGCAGCAACTCAGACAGCAAACGGACACGGAGAAAGCATCTCTTCCCTGTCCGGGGGTTAGTTCTTCGTCCATAGTCCAACCACGGCTACCTCCGTCCCTGAAAGGTGTTGTTGCTGGCCTTGCATGAAAACCAACCCTCAGTTGCGGGATGAGGTCGAAGTTGAGGGTGAGTGAGGAAACGAGCCGAATCAAAATGCATGCCTTTACCCCATGCGTAGTCCTTTCCAGCGGCAAGCCACGATCTCTCTCTTCTCCCTCATCGGCATCTTCCATGGCTCCCTGGTTCTTCCCACTCCTCCCCCTTGGCCGTGACAAGGAAGAGACCTAGCGAAATTTAGGAAACTCGGTGTCTTTCTGGCCGCTCCAGAGGCATCGACATCGAAAACAACATGACACCCAGTTCCCCATTACCAAGCCTTTCTCATGACTAGTCCAATGTAGGGCTGAGGCACGGAAAGGCGCATGCATGGAGCCTGACGGAGAGCTACCGGCGGTTCAGCGGCTAGGATCCTTGTCATCCATCTCACCATATCATTATTATGTTGCTGCTGCTGCTGCTGCTGTTGTTGTCGTGATCCATCGTGCATGTCGATGGCCTCGATATAAAATATAAAATAACCGCATCTCCTCTCGTGGGCTTCCTATCTTGGTCTGTCTGTCTGTCTCACCCAGACGCCGCCGCCTCAATAACCGCAATCGGAACATAATCGAACTCCCTCTTCCCTAACATACGCAAATGGTAATTATAACTATTTTCAGCCTGACTATTCCTTCGTCAGACCTTTCCCCATCTTATTGTGCGCCCTGTCCAGACTAACGTGATTTTTGCCTTCCCCTAGGTGGCCTTTATACCCGCTTGAATCAATACGGCAGCATGTCCCCCGATCTGGGCGATTTTCCCGTCACTGGAGATTCCTGGGAGCTAAGGGGTAAGTTTCCCTCCCTAGAGCCTAGTAGTACACCGTTGCAGGAGAATAGAAAGGGAAATGGGGCAGAGAAGGAAGTGAGATCATCGGGCCATCAAAGAAGAAAGAATGACCAAGGAAAGAGAAAGGGAAAAGTAAAAAAAATATAATACTGACATTCCGCTCTCTCTCTCTCCCCCCCCAACATTGAGTATCGTTAGCCATCGCGGAATCACAAAACAGGAACCCCCACGCGGGTACGCCAGAATTGGCTTATGATTAGAACCAAAGTGTCCTACAGCGCCTCGCCCATCGCAATCCTGGAGTCTCATATGCCCGTTTCCTCATGCCCATGACCGAATACCAAGTCCCATACCCTTTTAAGACTGCCAATGCGTGCAAGAACCCAACGCCAGAGTGGAAAAGAAAAAGAACAACGAAAGGCAAGAAAGGGAAAAAAAGGAAAGAAAAGAAGAAAAAAACCCTCCACGCAATCAAACTGCTGGCCCCATTCTCGCTGCAGCAGCTGGTGCATCTCCCATTTATACATGGCCGAAGCCAAGGGAACAACAAGGCTAATCATACACTGAAAGAAGGACAGGTTCCAACCCTTTAATCCGAATGAAACCCCCAAGTCGGTTTTCTTTTTTATGAGGAAAAGGAGGTGGGTTGAAATTCCTGTGCATTTCACCAAGGGAACCGGATTGCTTAACTTGCTGCAGTCCTTGAACTCGCCCGTCGCAAATTTGTCATCATTTGCATAACCAGTGCCGTTGAATCCTGTGGCGCCTCCAGGAGCCCGCAACCTGCTGCCGTCGCTTGCGCGAGTGGAGCCGGATCAGAAGGAAGTGTTGTCGATGGCTGCGCATCGAACGTCGACAACGACGAGGCCATAGAAACGGTCGCTTTCCCAGGTAGCGGCGGTAGAGGAACCGGGGATTCTTGGGGCACGCGGGGACCTTGTCCCTGCTGCTGATGCTGCTGAAAAGGAGTTCGTGATGCTGGCGTGTGCTGGTTGGTTATCTGCGACTCGGTTTCGTGTGGCGGTTGTGGCGAATGGGGTACTGTATTTGGTGGAGGTGCTGAGCGACGTGGTGACGCGCTCCCGGAGGTAGTCCGGGATCGCGGCATTGAAGCCATGCCCTTCGGTTGGGGTATAGGCACTGGTGTCTCCGAGAGCCGCGGCGCCTTTGCTGTTGTTGGGATCGTCGCAGTAGGCCCAGGGTCTGCCGAGACCAGCTCATTGTTCGCTGAAAAAGGCGAAGTTGGGTTTAGAGAGGCAACCTTCTTCAACTCAACACTAATCAACTGGTCCGAACTGGGGTTTGTCGGAGGTGAGGTTGTTGCCGTCGTCGATGTCTTTCTCATGGCCGCGAGATACATTGGGGGCAGAGGCACCGGTGTTTCTTTCTCAGGTATCTGGCCTGCTGTTAGTTGTCGATGCGAAACATGGCTGATCTGGGCGTGCCCGGGATTGCACTACCTTATATTGGACTTTCGGGCCCACCGGCCTTGGTGCGGAGAGATTTTTCCCGTCGATGAGGTGCGTCTGGTGGGCAGCGGCCGGGTTGGAGGTAGCTAATGGACTATGCGAGTCCGAGGGCGGAGATACGACGGCGGATGGATCGGGTCCGACGGTTGACGTACGCAGCCGGCTGGTCATGCTGGGGCTGTTGGACGTCGGCGTCAAGGTTTCCCCGGAGGCCGTGGCCTGATTTGGAGATACATCCTGTTTTTGAGACGGGATAGGAGGCGCCAACGACGCAGAATTCCCATTTGCCCCAAACTGTAGTTGACTGGTGGTCGGGGTAACAAAGGCACCAGGCATCCCCATCCCCTGACAAGGCTGGCCCGGGCCATCGAGAGCCTGAGTATGGGCCAGTGCCGGCGATCCCAGTTGTTGGGGCCCAGTCAAGCTGGCATCAGATGAAGCCGATGAAGACGCTGCATTCCCTGCCTGGCATTGATGCTGCCCCGAGGGACCCGGCGGGACTGGAGACTGGGACGCCTTATGGGAAACGGCAGACCAATGGGACGTGGTGTTGGTAGCGTTGTTTGATGACCCGGGACGAACGGTGCGGTACAGCCCCGCAGCCGTGGACTGGAGCAAGTGAGCCCGGAAGTTGCCTTCATATCCGTTGGTGAAACCGCCTCCCAGAGAACTTGGAATATACGGCGTCCTGTACGTGCTAGAGTCACTATAAAACCCGAGTTAGCTGGTTTGCCTCTTGTCTTTAGCGCCACGACAAATGGGATGTACCGATTGTGAAGAGCTCTGAAGAAGGGGTATTTCTGGTATACTGACGGTTCGTGTTGCGCGGTGGAAGCGTGAGTCGTTCGCCGTTGTGTCGGCGGTTGGACAGGCCGACTTGATAATGCTGGGCGAGGTTGGCTCGCCGGGGCCGGGGCATGGGCCGGCTGTTGCTTCGAAGCGTCCCCCTGAAGAACCTGGTGGGGTTGGCTTGGGATCTGTCGAGCGTCCTGTTGCTGACTACGCGGGGCGTGATATTGGTTCTGCTGTGGCTGCACCGACTGCGGGGCCCAGCGTGCCTGTGGCGGTGTCTGGCTTACCGGTGCGGCTGCAGGAGGCAGACCGGGCGGGCTTGTGTACGCCAGGTAGGTCGGGTGCGTAGTATAGGAGGATGGTGCGAACACGAACTGGGTAGCCTGAGAGCTTTGGCCATCCTGCCCTTGGAAGCGTGGGTCGGTACCGCACCCGAGCTGCTGGCCGGGTGGATACGGCGAGCTTGACTGCCTGGGCGCAACCTGCTCCGCCTCGAAGGTCTGAGATGATGTGTGATTCCATGTGGGCTGGATGAGTTTCCGGGGTTTGTATACGTAAGGCTTTCTCGGATTGACAGCAGCAGCAGCAGTATTGGCTGAGCCTGGCAACGAAGTAGCATTGGCCAAGGGAGATGGGTGTTGTGGCACATATGATGCGCGCCGCTGAGAGTTGACCTGTTGTGAGGCCAACTTCGGTGGCTTCGGCGGTTTCGGGATGCTGTCGAGAAAATTGCTCCTCGGGTTGTGACGTGAAAGCATCGGGTTTTCGGTATACTGGGGCTTGGCTTCAGTAGACGTCGCTCCAAGATAGTACCAGACCTGGTTGTCCTTGGCCGCCAGGTCGATCTTCGCCTGATCCTTGTTCTTCTGGAACTCGTCGCAAGTATTGAACTCCGCCCAGGTAAAGCCCCCGTCCACAAACCGGTCGTCTTTCCTCGGAATCTCGTCCAGTACACGCTTCGCGTTGAGTCGATCCTTGGCTTTCTGTGACGACGGTAGAGGGATCGCGTTGACGGAAGCCTTCGGAAGGCGATAATCGGCCGGATCAGGCAGCAGAAGCCATTTCCACCCAACCTCCACGAGGTCCCTGGTTCTCATCAGCAGATGATCGTCTTGTTCGTTGTTGGGTGTAACGTACCTGTTGGGGATGACGTCGAGGAGCAGTGTCTCCTCCGATCTGTTATTCTCGACGACGACACCGGCAAATATGTCTCCCCTGTAATACTGGACCTGACAGATGTCGCCCTTTCGCAAAGCCCTGGCGGCGTCTCGAATGCGCGTGTCTTCTTCCAAGACGTGCCCTCCCAGCTTCCTGTCTCGCTTCGTGCGGTGGAATCGGCAACTGAACTCGAAGGCTTGTTCTTTGTACTCGGTGCCGTCTTCGCCGAAAACAGGCACTTCGGCCTCTTCGACAAAAACACCAGCCGCGGCAGCACAGGTGGCATGGTATGCCCTCGCACATTTGTTCTGCGAGCATTGGAAGCAGGCGCCGCGTTTCGACCGGCAGAACAAGCACTTCAGGTCCATACGATCCTTGTTGATATTGGCGACATTGGCAACCACCTCCTTACCATCCACGGTGTCAATGTACGTTTCTGGCAAGTACAAGGCGCACATTCGGTGAGCCTTCCGCCCGTCATCGGTGGGCAGAACCTCGGCACCTGGCAAATCATTGGGGCAGAGACAGCAAACTGGCTCTGGACGAGATTTGACGCGGAGACGGATCTTCTTAGTCTTCTTCTTCGCATCCTTGTCCTTGGCATCGCGCTTCCGCTTTCGAGAAGGTACCTTTATCTTGACGGTGTGACTAGATGCAGGGCTTGGAAGACCGGATACCATCTCTTCGTCCTCGTCTTCTCCTTCCTCCTCCTCCTCCTCCTCCTCTGTCTCTTCGAACTCGGTCTCCTCGCCCCGCAGCTTGCGCTCAATGTCGTATACATCAACCCAGACGCTGTCCTGGGCCTGGGCACACTCGCACCGTTTGGCGACTTTGCCCATGGGCAGCCAAGAATCGAGAGCGAAATTTACGGCCTCGGCGCAGTTGTAACCCAGATTATAGCCCGAATGGTAGCCATATGGATAGGTGACGACGAACTCGCCGGGGTAGGATACGCACTTATTGACGGTGATGTTGTAGTGCTGTTTGAGGTGCTGCGGAGAGATCAAGAAGCCTTTGTGGCGGAGAAACTGGTTACAGGATTTGGCTTCAGTGGGCCAGATGTTCTTCATGGCGGCCTCGAAGCGGGGGAGATCGGCTTGAGCGATACTATACCACTGCTTGGGTGCACCGAAGTGGAGATAGTTGATGCTGTAGAGGTCGACATCCTCGAGATGCCAGGCGAAGGTAGCCTTCCACATGCCGAGGTAAAGATAGGCCGTGTTGACACCAGGAACCTTCGTCCCCAGTACATCGAGGAGGTTGGGCAGCTTGTTCAGGTTCCACGTCTCGGTCGATTCATCGAAAAAGGTGCCCATGAGGTCGGCGCCATATAGTGGAGGCGCGTAGGTGAGAGTCTTCCAGTAGGCTCTTTCGAGCTCCTCGCACCTCTCCGGGGTGTACTCGGAAGTGTCCATATCGTAATCGAAGTCCTTGAAGAGCTCCTCGTCGATCATTGCTGAGCCCTCACGGCGGCAGTACTTCCGGCGGGCAGAAACGGTCTGGGTCGTGTCCTTGGCAGGTTTCGCCGCACCGCCCATGCGGCCCATACGACCCATCCTGCCCATCCTGGCCGTGGTAGGAGTCGGCTCGTCATCCCCGTCGAGTTCCATGCCGGGATCATCGTTCTCGACGGATTCGATCGCTTCTTTCTTTATGGTCGGCTCGTCTTCGTCGGGTCGGGGGGATTCGGGGGTCAACGGACGGTCTTCGGGCTCCGCTTCGCGCTTGGGACGACCTCGGCCACCCTTCTTCCTCCCCCGTCTCCCTGGACCACGCGTCTTGGCAGGGGTGGCGGTAGTTTTGGCGACGGCCGCAGCGCGGGGCTTCGGCGCAGGCTTGGGCTTGGGCTTGGGCTTGGGCCTATCAGCCTGAATGCGGCGCTCGCCTCGTCGAGCCGGAGGTTGATGTTCGCTCTGATCGCAGAGTTTCCGCCACTGGGGCAGGTTGTAGGAGCGTTGGTGTAAGATATTGACTTGGCGGTAGGTGCCGTTGGAGCCCATAATATCCTGTTTGATCGGATCTCGAACCCTGATGTGTTTGACAAGCGCGTCGAGCTTGGGGAGGGAGTCCTTCCACTCCTTAGGAGGGACGACTTTGACGATGCCTGACTTCATACCATAGCTGTCGATTTTTTCCATCTATTCGATTGACGTCAATGTCAGTAAAAAGCATAGACGGGTCTTGAGGTCAAGGGGCGGAAACAAGTAGCAAGATAATAGGAAAAAAACGGGGAGCATGGGTCGGGACAGACAAATCGTTTGAAGTCTTTGAACTGATGCATGGTCGGCCGGAAGATGGGAACTTGGCCAGACCAGTCAGCAGGCTCGATGTCACCGATGTCATCTTCTGCCTTGAGTTCCTCGGGCTGGGGGACGGGAACGGGGACGGGATCGGGGACCGAATCGGAGACTGGGGCGGAGTTGGCATCAGGCCCGAGGCCAACGGCATCGTCGTCGAGGTCGCTCAATTCCGAGTCGGAGGCTTCGGATTTTGCCATGTTGTTGCTATCAGGGGGCGAATGAAGGAAAGCGGGTTCGGCAGGCTCGGCATCAGCAGTAACGTCGTCGACGTCCACAGCGGCATGGTTGGCTGTAGTTGCAGGCTCACTCGGATTGCGGTCGGAGTCGTGATGATGATTAGCTCTGGTCGAGTCGTAGGTGTTGTTGGAAAGCGCGGGCTCCGAGGTAGAGACGAGCTCTTCTTGCGCGGGGGCGCGGATGGCCTCGGACGACATGGTCTTGAGGGCCTACATGCGACCGGCCATGCAACTGCGTTGGTTGGGCGACGATATCAAGTCGATAGGGTCTCGAATGAACAAAGGTGTGTTTTTGTTTGTGTGTTTTTGCAACGTCTTGGGTGTCGGAACCAGTGCTGATAATGATAGGGTGGCAGTTACGAAAAGGAAAGAGGTCGTAAGCTGGTTGAGGGAGAAGGGAAAAGGCGAGTGTGGGCGTGGATTGGGGGGCGTACTTTCCGTATGGAGTACGTACGTTAGAGAGGGAAAAGGGAGCAAGCGAAAAGGTACACCAGATAAAAGGTACCGAAAACGTCGTTCGACAAGGGCAGGTTAGGTTTGGGGGAGAATGAGGGGAGAAAACACCAAATTTACAGTGGTCGTAGCAGTCTCAGTACGGGGCTCAATTACCTTATGAAGGCTTCAGAGGTACGAAGTACAAACCAGGTTGACTCCCCGGTACCATGATAATCCAAAGCCTCCAGGGACAAACCCGCCTGATAATTGTGACTAAGAATGCGATTTCTTTTGTACAGATACGGACTGCCATCCTACGGTAAAGGTGGTCGAGGTGGAGAACCCAATATTAATTAGCTAACATATTTGTCAATGGTTATTCGTACATCCGGTGCAAGACAATGTCAGGGTGCTACACTGAGACTCGACTCGGCCTCAAAAAGGTACTGCGAACACGGAGTAATTACTTCGTAGGAAGGTACCGCTCCCGGTACACTTATACAGTACCTTATCCTTGTTGCAAGAATGTCGACGCCTGAGGCTGCAACTGATAAGATCGAAAGTTCCAATGACGTGTTCTGGCTCTACCTTCTCCGCATTTTCAGCCCTGTGAGATGGATAATACCTCGTACCCTCAGTCTCCGAAGCACGAATAAGAAGCGTCCCTCTCCGTAAGGTACCTACCTTAATGAACTACCTAACGTAGACACCGCTGTCCTCGAGTAATTTTAACATGTCATTCGTTTCCATTGTTCTCTTATGGTCCGTTAAATCCCGTAAAATTCTCCTGGCTTTCGTTTGCCTTCTCATCATGCTGGCAGTCTGGATGATCACCGTGACATAGATAAAATATAGCGGAGGAAGAAGGGAGGTCAGCCCTGACAAGGCCTTGCTCATCATGCAGGGACGCTTCAACAGCGCCATAGAGACAGAAATATCGTGGGTGTCACCAGAAATGTTCTCAATAGGGGTAAATACGGCAAAAGCCCTTGCCAACTAGGTACACAAGACATCAGGAGTACAGTCGTGCAACTTGTCCTAAAAACCGACGCAGCATGGAACGGCGATCATTTTCAGAGATGCTAGAAGGCCTCGCTCAAAAACGTGCCCATCGACCATCGGTAATGTTCACTGGCCACCTCTTCAACAGGGAGCTACTGACGGAAGAGAACAGATGGTTCTCATCACAATCCAGCCTTCTGGTCTTTTTCATATTCCAATTGAGTGGAGGGGGCCAAATTCAGAATGAGACGCAAAACTCGCCGAGGTAATCTGCCATTTATCCAAGGCTTTGGTCCTCCACGTTGCACATCCCAGGTCGGTGTCGGTTCGTCATGCAAGAAGAAAAATGCCCGGTTCATGCAGGAACATGCAGTCCTACTCCATAGCAGCCCTAACCGTCTCTGGCTACGCCATCCCAAGACCAAGACACTTGTCCAAAAACGGCCCGCGGGATGCCACCTACCAACACAATACACCGTTCAGTCAATCGCATCATTTAACTCGGGGATAGGTAATTATTCGTCGCAGACAGAACCTTCTTGCCAAGGTTCGGCGACGAGTAGGTCATATTCCACTAGACCCCAATGCCTTAAGCAACATGAAAGATGATCTTTCTATCCGGCAGTTTCGCCTCCCTCATTCAACTGCCTCCGTGGAGGTTCTCAACCAAAGAGACACCAAAAACAAAACGAAAAAAAAGGGAAAAAAGAAATACCTATAAGAATACCAATAAAGATATCGGAACTGTGATGTCACGTCGCCTTTCCTCTCCCCAACGCCGTGCGGTAAACGACGGTCCCAGACTCATAAGCCGCTCCGCCATGTGTAGGTCAGATATACACCTCTGCCATGGAACGACAAACTCCTTTCCCCTAAAGAGAGGACCCTAAGGCATAATAATTGAAAATTCCCCATGTCTAACCGCCCCTCATACACTCCAAGAGAGGAAAAGAAAACAGAAGAAGGGAGAGTGAGAAAAGAAAACAATAGCCCGGCATATAAGGCTGCGAGAAGGGAAAGAATTAAGGACTCAAGGATGGGGAAAAGAAAAAGAATTCCGACTTCTCGCTCTTCCGGGGTTTTTTTTACGCCGTATTCTGAAGATGTAGGGAACCCAAACCCACGAATTCGAAAAGCAAGGGGATCACTTCCACACCGAGCCCTGCAATTCCTGTTTTTGGTTATAGTTGTCAGCGTCTGTCCGTTTTATGTGAGAAGAAACAAGGGAATATCGAAAAAAAAGGGGGGGGGGGAGAAAGTGAGAGAGAAACGCACCTGCATACACCACCAACTTCGTCACCACCTCAACATCATACCTTACCCGCGGTCGTACTAACCGCGAGAACATCTCTTTCTCCTCTGCCGCCTCCTGCGCCAGAGTGGGAAACTGGGTTGAGCCCTCCTCGTCCGGATGCCCCAGCACACCCCCCCTTCCCATCTTCTTCTCGTATTCGCCCAGCGTCCCGGCTCCGGGCCCATGCACACCCGAGGCCGTGGCGCCGTTGCCGTTGCCGTTGCCGTTGCCGTTGCCGTTGCCGTTGCCGTCCAGGTCAGGAACAGGACCACCACGTCCTCCCCCGCGTAGCTCGAACATGCTTCCCTTGCTCCGCAGGCTGCCGTTATTACTCTCCATGCTCTCCCGCCGCCGCCGCTCCCGGTACGCGAGCGTCTCGTAAGCGTCCGCGGCGCTCTGCGGCCCTATGGAGACGGAACGCCCTCGCTTCGTCGGGTTGCGGATCGACTCGACGGCCCGGGGCAGGTCCCGCATCGACGGGAGGAGCGTGTCCATGCGCGAACCGGGCGGGACGAACTTGTATTCGGAGGCGCGCTTGAAAAACCGACGCGGCAGCGAGAGCCCCGCGCGCTCGATGAGGCGGAAAAGGTGCGGCAGGGCCCGGAGGAGCGTGGGCTTCATGACCTCCCGCCAGGCGAAGACGATGGCGACGCCGAAAATTATCCGGGCGATGAAGACGACGGGGCCGAAGGCGGCGATGTCCTGCGACCTCACGCCGTGCGCGTTGGTATCGAAGGGGTCACCCGGTATGCGCCCATAACTCCAGGTGCCGAACTCGAGGCCGATGACGACGCCGGCGAAGGCCACGCTGTCGTCGAAGCAGGGACAGTCGTCCGCCGGTTCCGGGTGGATGCGGACAAGAACGATGATGACCAGGGCCGCCAGCACAGGCGCCACCCACGAACTAGCGTGCATGTACGCGTCGAGCGGGGGCCCGTAGTAGAACTCGACCAGGCCAATGGCGGCGCCGAGAATGGAACCGACTATGACGTCCAAAAAGCCATGCATACCACAATACAGACGGCCCACCACGATGGACAAGGCATAGAAATAAGAGACCCCCTCCAGCAGCAGCTTCGTCGTATCGGACATGGTGTTCCCGGGGCTGCGGAGGAGCAGGATGGAGTACACAGCAACGGAGACGGCATTGGCGCTATGGGTGGAAGGGAATCCGTATTCGAGAGCGGCAGAACCCGACATTGTAATTCGTTGGAGAGGTGGCGATAGTGGTCTGGGGAGGGAGAAGAGGTCCTTGACGAAGCCCGTGAAGAAGACGCCCGAGGCAAGAATATGAACGAGTCTTGTCGGGAGAGTCAGACGAAAAGTAGTGGGGTCGCGAGAAGGAAGCTGGAAGCTATGACACTCACCCTTTGCCGAACGAAGGAGACCCGCACCAAAACAGAATGGGCAGCATGACCATGAAGAATGTATGTGTGCCCAGGTTTGCGGTAATGGCGAAGTAACTGTCCAGCGCGGGGCTGCGGGCCTTGTCTTGTAGCCAGGCCAGGTAGGGGGTCTCCCATCGGATCAGTGGTAGAATACTCTGTCGGAGGTTGTATCGCCAGGTCGGTAGGATCATTTTGTCTATACAGAAGTCATGTCAGTCGCAATTCCCAGCACCATCGTTGAAGAGCCAAGAATCGGGCCCGGAGTTGAAGAGAACCGGCTGACGATCGGTGGTCGGTGGTCGGTGGTCGATGGTCTCCCCCTCCCGCATCGCTCCCCAGGGGTTCTCCCCCGAAAATGGGCGAGTAAAGAGCCCCAATGCGCTGGTAGCTGAGATGGAGAACAAAGGACAAGCACATACAGTGATTCAGACTCCTCAGTCCTGCATCGGGGACGGCATTGGCGGACTGCCCTTTCAAGGGCTTGTCCATCTTCGAAGGTCGGAAGTAGGAAGTCGAGAAAATGTTAGGGAGAGGGGTCGTGTTGTCGAGGATTCGGACTACTGCGCGGTCGGCGTCGGCGGCATTCGGCGGGTGGAGAGAAACGATAACGAGAACTTGGTCGAAAAAATAATAATTACAGGATTAAGGAGGGTAGACGGTATCGCAGGACATCTGTGAGGAAGCCGGCACAGAGGAGGCCACTGTAGGATTTTGGCTTGGGCGAGGATTCGGGTTGAGAAAAAAGGGTCCCATTGCGGTCGGCAACGGAATTATACCCCCCAAAGCTCCGTTGAGTGGACCTCGACTCGGTGGGAGGGCGGAAAGTACATGTACAAAGTAAAACAAAAAGTTACTCTACGAAGTACCTACCACCCTTTGTGCTTGTGGCTTATCTCTGCGAGAGAGTGGAGGGTTTGATCAAGCCACCGTGAGAAGACCCTGTGGAAGTGCCCCCGGTAATCAATTCCCCATGCCCCTGAATATCCGTACGTTTCTGTGCAAGTGTCAGCACACAAAATAAGGTACGCAAAAGATGTGTGTGTGCATTGAAGAAGAGTAAAAGATACTCTGCGGAAATATCTAACTATAAAGTAAAAGGAGGGGAAATTGATGTGGATACATCGGTCGGAAGTACCCTATCCGTCTACAGAAATAGCGTAAGTCACACCCCGATAAGGTGGCTATAGGCATCTAACACACCCCCATAGAACTACAGGATTAATCCTGACTATTCTGCTTAATTAAAGCCGTAAATCTAGGGTAAAATAGAGGCCTAGATATTAATCCAACGATTAAACGGCTTATTGAAAAGCGCGCTCTTTTTATGCCTAAAAACGTTAAAAACGTCTAAAACAGATGGTTAAATTAACCCTATAATAACGTTAAAAACGGGTGCCTAAATAATAATCTAAAGGGCACTAAAATAACGGTTAATCTAGGCTATAGATTATAAACTCAGTACTACGCCTCTTATAAATTACCTTAAGCCCCTTAGCTTAGGACCTCTATCTCTAATAGATATATAAACGCCTTGTATTTCTGCGGGGAAAGTACTTTAATTAGCCTATTGCTAACTATCTCTTAGGTCGAGATCCAGACGATTAGGACCTTCTTCTATTAAACGACCTATCGGATCTAAAGGGCGTGGATATCTAGATGCTTTAATCTAGATATAACTTAAGGGCGTGGAGCCTCTAATAGGATCCTCGTTTAGTCGTTATCGTAGTATATCGTTAGTGGTTCCTCCTTAAAGGTTAAGGTTAGGTCCTTAATTACCCGTCTTATCGCGATATACTGCCTAGTAGTAGTAGAAAGTGCTATAAGCTCGGCTTTAATACTAGAGGTTATAACGCTCGTTTACTTATTGACCTTCTAGTCTATAGGACCCCCGAATAATAGTATAGTATAGCTCTAAAAGCTATACCGCGTCTCACGGTTATATTTAAAGGCTATGTTAGAAGCATAGTAAAGTGCGTGCTATAAGTGGTTATTACGTGGTCTAAAGTAAAGGTATAGGGACTTAGTAGAGACGAGGTACTTTAAATACCTGTCTACGGTATCGTGATACTATTTTAACGGGTTAGTATTAAATTCGGTAAGCCTTAAAGCAGCTTTAGATACGTTAGGCCGGGTCTAATAGGCCGCGTAATTAATAGAACTAACCTTCCGTAAATGTAGGTGGATTAACTCTGTAGAGGCTTATTAGTTAGTAGTAGATAGTTTTAAAACGTTAGGAAAAGGAAGAGGGCTTTTAACCCTACGCCTATTAAAGGGGAAATCTATCCCTAAAGCCTTAATCTTTTCGGTAATATAGTTCTTAAGGGAGCTATAGCCGACGTTATTAGCAATCTCGAACTACTCTAATCCCTAGGAACCACTTAAGTAGGCCTAGGTCCCTTACTTAAAAGTGCTGCTATATCCGTTATATAAGAGAATTAGCAGTAGATTAATATTCCTTCCTATAAATTAGAATAATATCGTCCACGTAGAAGAAGACGATTAGTTCCTTACTTTTAAAGACATAATTATCTTTAGTTGGTTACTTTAGGTCGCACTTACCTAAAACGGAAGAGAGCTATTCGTGCTATAGTTTAGGGGAACGCCGAAGACTATATAACGCCCTGCGTAGGCGTTATATACTGCGTGAAGGTGGTCGCGATAGCTTTAAAATAGCCTCGAGGTCCTTATCGCTCTTTATACCTTTTACTGCTTAAAGTAGCGGCTAGCCGGGCGGATCCTTAATGTAGATCTTCTTATTAAGGGTGGCGTTAGTAAAGGCGTTAACGGCATTAAGCTAACGTGTCTCCAGGTCAAAATAGGCAGTAATAGCTATTAATAACCTAAAAGTCCTACCGGCGAGGGTGGAAGCGTAGGCGTTAAGGTAGTTTTTAGGCTATTAATCGCCTCGCACATATAACTCCGCCTTAAACTTACTAATATACCCCCACGGGTTAACCTTATACTTAAAGACCTATTTAAGGTCTAAGGCACGTTACCCACCCTAGGGTAGCTCTACTGCTTTAAAGGTGCCTATTAACCTAAGTGTATCCATCTTTTATATAGCTGCCCTAAACCACTATAGCTTATAGGGGCTCTTAAGCATCTAAGACTAATTCAACAGTTCCTTAGGTATCTCGCGGCGTAATAGCGGCTTTTTCGGCTTCTTAAAGGTAAAGTAGGAGACGTAATCGTCGTATCTAAAAGAAGGTCGGTGATTACGAGCAGGCCGCCCTATAAGGGTAGGCGTTAAAGCTAAAGCAGGTGAATAAAAGGTTAGTTATTAGGCCTAAATAGTAATAGTAGTAGTAGGATTAGACTTAGCTACTAAAGATAGGGTTACTACTTATGGATTAGTTATTTAAGGAGTAGCGGTAATAGCTATAGTCTCTTTAATAACGGATTAGTCAGGTAACAATAATCCTATTCCGACGGTATTATCAGTGGCCTCGCCTATAGCCTCCTCTAAGGTAAAGGAAGATCCGCTAGTATTATTAGATTCCTCTTAATCGCTACGTTTAATTACAGGATCGTTAGGAGGTGGCGAAAAGGGCGTATAAATAGGCCTTAAAGAGGAAGAAGAGGTTATTAAAGAGGGTAAAATTAATACCCTTATTAAAGAGGGTGGTAAAATAGCAGTTAAAGAGGAAGAACCAACGGCAGGAATAACGGCAGGTATAACGGCAGGCACTATGCCTACCGCGGCCGTGGCAGCCGTTCCATGTGATACCTCTTAGTTAGCAACCAATTGGTTTTTAGAGGCGTTTTCAGTGGTTTTTACGTTAGTAGTAGTTTTTAATTCTTTACCACCATCGCCGGCTATTACCCCCCTATATTTTGACGATTAAAGTTATTATTAACGCCTCCTTCCCTCTTCTAAAGCCTCTATTATAGAGTTCTACTACGTTACTATAGGTATACCAAAATCGACGATATCGGTTATAACACTAAAAGGATCGTGGATTCGCCCTTAATCTAATAGCAGATTAAGCTCTTTATATAGCTCTAAAGGCACGTTAGGCTCCTCTCCCCTATTTTCATAAAGGACTAACTCGTCGAATATAACGTCCCTTATACGCAGGATCCTCCCTAATTTTAGCACCTAAATCCGAAAAATATTAGTGCCCTCGTAACCGATTAAATAACCGATATATACCCTCGGCGCGAGCTTTTTATTCTTATACCTTCCTCGCAGGTAGTTAGCAGTTAACGTGTACGCCTTATAACTATACCTCTTTAGGTGCGTAATTAAGGGATTAGTGGTTATAAAGTTAACGATACCCTCCTTTTATAGCCACGCGTTTAACGCTCCCTCGGGGGTTTACTAACCTAGATCCCTGCGTGGAATCTGGTTATACAGATACGTAGCTACTATAATAATCTCTGGCTATAAATCCTATTAGAAGCCTAAGGCATCTACTAATACCCTCGCGATAGCGAAGATAATATACCCCTATACCGTTCGGCGTTAGCGTTCTATACGGCTATATAAGGAGCCGATCTTTCTAGCAGGATACCACGATCTAAAGACTAGTTATCCAGCTTCTTCTATAGCGCCCTCTCTCCATTAAGTCTAATTATACTAATAAGCAGCTTATACTGCCTTTATAAGAAGTGTTCGAAGTTAGCTATCGAGAATAGTACGTGTTATACCCTAGTATCGTTTTTATCACGTTTTTATACGTGTAGGGATCGTAGAATAGGGTAATAGTATCGTCGCCATTAGCGGTAGGATCTATAGAAAATAAATCCACGTTAATCCTCTAAAAAGGCCTTATTAGTCTATAGATAAGTGGATATCGCGATACTATCCTTTTTGTCTTACTAATAACGTAAGCTTCGTAGTCCACCACTAAAAGTGCCGCTCTTCCTTCTTTTAAAGCCACGATACCTCCTACGCACCCTTTTTCCAGCTACGCCAGTGCTAAAGGGTTTACGTGCCCTAGCCTTTTATACTATAAACGGGCGTCGGCCACGCTTATAGGCTTTGGTTCCCTTAAGCTGTTAAAATAGCTCTATTACTATAAGTGTTATAGCGTGCCCTTAGTAGATTTAAGGATATATTAGCCGTTAAGGTTAATTAACGGTAGACAGGTATATCGATCTATTACTAAGATATCTCTGCCGGTTATAAAAACAGCGTTCTAATCCTTTTATAACCTATGTGTCGCTAGCAGTGTTATAGGATATCTATCTATAAACGCCACGCTCTTTAGTATAAGGGTATAAGGATATCCTTTTATATCTTTAACCTAAAGATATAGGGTGCCGTATCCCTTTACTAGATTAGAGGTACTGCCATCTATCTAAAATCTAACGATAGTGGTAGCAGGCTAGAAGTCCTTAAGTAGGTGGCGTTGATTAGTTATATACCTTAGGGACCCCGAATCGATTAATAACTAATTAAATAGGTCGTTACTAACCACCTGTTTGGTCTGTAGGAGCGAGAAAACCGACGGCGAGGTCGACGATACTACCTTTTTTCCCACGAAATTAGAGGTAAAATATATATCGTAAGAGCTATCGTTAGAATCCTCTTCCCTATTATTAATGAAATTAGATACTTCCTTAGACTAATCTTTCTCTGGTAACTTAGCTTTAGACTCTTTTGCCTTATTTTTAGTCTTATCGATATTCTTTTTAATATACTCCCTAAACTTCTTTTACTTAGAAGCACTCTAGCTTTTAATAACGCGGTCGTAGCGTTCCACCACCTCCTTTAAGGGCGTAAAGCCCTTTTAGCAGCGCGTTAAATTAATATTCGGGCAGCTACTACACGGGTAGTAGTAGCGTTTAGCTCTTTCTATCTTAATATAATCGTAGATATATTCCCTAGGTGCTGAAGAACCCTCCTTTTCTTATTACTGCTAACCTCCCTAATTAATAGGCTACTATCTGCTATCTTTATTCTTTCCTAGGAATATCGCCATATAGAGCGATAACGCTATAGGCTTCTTATTAAGCCTATAGGAATATCTATAGCGTAACTAAACCGTATATTCGTTTATAACCTCTTCGATAATAGGTTAGTCTTCCTTATCTTCCCTTAAAATCTCTATAAAGCGCGCCTCTAACTACTCTAAAGCTATAGTACCGATAGCCCTAAAAAACACGTTAAGTTAATCCTCTATAGTATTAGGAGATCTAACGCTATAGGTCTTCAAATCTTAGTATAGCGATATAAAGTCCTAAAGCTAACGCTTATAGGATAACCTCCGTATATTTTATATATATTCTTCCTATCTCTTCTTAACTAAGGACTTTTAGGCAGCGTTAGTAGGTTTAAGATAGTCCTTTAAAGCGATTAGGATATCTTTAACCTCCTTCTTCCCCGCGTACTAATCTTTAAGGTTAGGATTAACTATCTTCGCGATATAGTCGTAAAGAGTAGTTAGACCACGTTACTATTACTAATATTTATTCTCTTTTACGTTCTATAGCTTGAACTTATGATCCTAGGCATTATCTTCGTCACCTTCTTCTAGTTTTAGAGGTTCCGAGGATTCGAGCTTTTAAGGACGTTTAGATTCCTTAAGGTCTAGATTAATAAGGTTAGAGACCTAGTTAGCGTAGGCTATCTATATAATAGCCTCAATCTAATAACGCTATTCTTTTAGTAAGGTAAGGATTATATAGCCTATCGTGGGTAACGCCGTAGTTAAGGCTATCGTCTAACTAACTAGGATTATAGGAAAATAAACTATCGAAACCGACTATAATAGACCGATTAAACGAGGAGCGATAGAATGATATAGGACTTAAGCGAGTTAAGCGATTTGAATAAAAGGGAATAACGGAATAACGGTTAAAATAAAGCAGGCGGACGTAGCTAATAATACTTAGCTAACCGCTATAGACTTAAGGCTATTTTAACTGCCTTAAAGCTATAGGATCTATCGAAATAGCTTTATTTATCAGAACGCCGGGCTTATAACTATTAGCATATAAAATAAGGTACGTAAAAGATATATATATGCATTAAAGAAGAGTAAAAGATACTCTACGGAAATATCCAACTATAAAGTAAAAGAAGGGGAAATTAATATAGATACATCGGTCGGAAGTACCCCATCCGTCTACAGAAATAGCGCAAGTCACACCCCGATAAGGTGGCTGTAGGCATCTGACAGTAAGGGACTTTGAAGTTGCCGGATTTCAATTGGCCACTGATCAGACATTCTGGATCCACAGATCCACAGTGGGCATGTACGTGGTGTAGGTATCATCATGGAATTTCAATAGCAAAACAAGGTATTAAACTTCCATCGTAACCCTACGAGGTACCAGTACGTCTCGGTCTGATAGTACGTTGTAAGAATTCATTCGCATTTTCTCAACAACGCATTACGTAGGGGAACACTACCTATTCATCCGTCCACCATGCCCGCCTCCCGCGCCCTCCTCCCCCTTCGAGGCCGTCACTGCCTCATAACCGGCGCCTCCGGCGGCATCGGCGCCGCCATAGCCCGCCGCTTCGCCGCTGAGGGAGCCCTCGTCACTCTCACCGGCCGCAACGAGTCCAAGCTCCGCCGGATCCTTGCCGACCTCCCCCCTTTCCCTGACCAGGCCCTCTCCCCCGTCCATGCCGCATCCAGCCCCAAGTCCGTCCCTCCCAGTTCCCCCGAGAATCTCTGCCACGCGTATCGCCGTCTAGACCTGTCAAATCGGGGGACAAGCCATAACCCAACACGAGAGGACGCCGACGCGAATGAGACGTATAGCGAGCAAAACACCGTTCTCGACGCCATCTGGGACCGCACCGGCCAAATCGACGTCCTCGTCAACGCTGCCGGCGTCGCCCAGTGGCAGCTCATTCAAAAGACCTCCCTACAAGATGCGAGGGAGGTGCTCGACACGAATCTGCTGGGCGCCGTGCTCACGTCCAAGTATATGGCGCGTCGCATGAAAAAGCGCCGCGCTGATCGAGATGGTAAGTCAATCATAGTACGGAATATAGGGCCCAATCCCTTTTCTTTCGACATTTGCAATGGCTCAAGCTTGACTGTGGACGTGTACCCGGATTGTCCAGCAGAAGAAAACTAACCCCCCCGCCCCCTCGCCCTTCTATATAGCCTGCATTATCAACATTGCAAGTTTGCTAGCACAGAAAGGCGTTCCTGGAGCAAGTGTCTATGCAGCCTCCAAGGCCGGCCTGCTGGGTACGTTTCGTACATGTTTCCATTCCATTCGCCGTCTTCTCTACGTGGCTTCCCTGAACCCAGACGGCTGCAATATTGCTCAAGGGATCCCTTGCTCAAACCCCCTCGTCAAGCCACCACGCTGCTAACCCTGGATGCTCCCTCCCTCGCACATGCTCTGGATATAGGCCTGACACATGCTCTTGCTGTTGAGTTGGCCCCGATGCGTATCAGGTCTAATGCCATCGTGCCTGGATATATCGAAACCGAGATGATAGCAAGTCAGTTCCCAATGACGAGGCTATTACACTCTAGCCTCCACTGGTTTCCCAACTCCATCCATGCCCTTGCTAATGTACAAGCTCGTCCGCAGACATGTCGAAGGAGCCTCTCGAAAAGAAAATACCTCTCGGGCGGCTCGGTACGGCTGAAGAGGTGGCCGACGCTGCCGTTTTTCTTGCCCAAAATCCTTATGCCAACAATTGCATCTTGAACCTAGATGGAGGTCTAAGTGCAGTATGAGGACCATGTACACCTGGACCAGTTATTCACAGCGGGCGGGCCCGTCATAAAATCCATGCCAGTTATTAAACTTTCAGTCATCGAGAACAACGACGCCCTGGCCAGTTTCATCGTCATCGATGACGATGACGTCGTCCCGGCCTGACGGGGCTGTCTTCGCTTTTTTGGCCTGGGGCTCTTCGGCCTCGCTGGCCGACCTCCGGCGTTTCGTGCTGGGCTCCGCGGCGTCTGGCTCCAAACGACGCTTCCCATTTAACTGAGGCGCTGTGCCGTTGGCAACAACTGCAACTGGCTGCACCTTCTTCGGCCTTCGAGGAATTTGCGGCTTCTGATCCGCAGCCACTGCCTTGATAGGCTTGTCTTCCACCAGATCCGTTCTATCTGTATGTTAGCAAAATGCTGTACAATATGGATACTCGAGAGAAGGGGGTAAAATTAGGGGTTTGTTGTTGAAGTTGTTCACATACGCCTCTTCGATGTTAATGACGACGTTGACAAATGGGTCTTCGTCGTCTTCATCAATTACCGTCAGGTAAGTATCTCCCTTGATCCCAAGTTCACTGAGCTTCTTGGGCAAGTTCTCCGTCTCTTCGGGGTCGTAGAGGGGTCCTAGTTCATTGCTGACGGCGAACTCCTTGTCTCCATACCCGAGTTGCAACCTTACGAAGTCATCAACGAGGTCGTTGAGGGTGGCTTTTGACAGGTCCACAAAAACACTAGTCTGGTAGACGCTGCAGACGGGACAATCCGGGTTCGGGAGAGAGTATCGGGTGTAGCCGATAAGACGATTGAGGTTGCTTGGAGCCAAGAACAACTGCGATGTTTCGTTAGACAACGGCCGCTGTCTATGTTGTTGATTTTCTTATTTTCTTAAAGAAAACGGGGGGGAAAGGGAGCAAGCTGAGAAAAATGGAACCCACCTCCTTAGTTTGTTGAAATTCTCCCCTCAAGACCTTAAAGGCCTGAAGCACGGAGAGACTAGCCACAATAGCGTTGGTCGTAGCAATAGCAGGGATGATGTTACCGGCCATTTCCTTGATATCAAAGCGCGACTTGGGCTCGATGCCAAATACGGCCGACCGAATATTGGCTGCGGCGGCAACGAAGTCCAGAGTATCCACATCATCTTTATCGAACTCGATGACGGGCTCGGGACCGGACGCGCCCTGGTGAGCCTTCTTCAGCTCTAGCATGCGCTTGCTGAGTCGGTCGAGACTGTCGATGAAGACGACAAGGTTCTCCTCGAGGGACCAGCATCGCTGGTCGTCACGCAAAATCTGCTCCTTTGAGGCTAAAGCGCTTGAGGATCGCTCCAACAGTGTCCTGTAGTCGAGCGGCTGGGGCTTCTTCCGTGACTTCCAGACATCTTCCATAGACGCCAGCCGGACGATGTCGGCATTGAAAACTTTGTCAAAGAGCAGCTGGGGAAAGGCACCTGTACCCAGCGACTCCCGAATCTCACGAAGAGCGGCGGCTTCCTTTTTAAGCTCGACTATTTCCGCCGCGTTATCTGCATCCTCGGAATGGTCGTATGCGGCTTCGTCCTCGCTGGCGCCGAAGACTTCGCTCAGGAGATAGCTCTTGCCCCAGACGATGCAGTGTATGGGCTGGCTCGGGGTGCTCCGAATTGTACAGACAGGGAAAGACTTGGGAACTGGCTTTTCCGTGCAATCATAGCACGCCGTCACACCCTTCTTGATGACCTGAACGTTGCCATTGAAACCTGTAGTCCCGCTCTCGATCAGAGGCACGTCAGCTGCCAGACACATCCAGTTGACGTGCCTCCTCGCCTCGAGGTTGTCGAGCGCATTGAAAACGAGGGTGAAGCCGCGGAACCAGCGAACGTTGAACTGGGAGTCCTTGATGTTGGCATGATGTGCAACAATGTTGACTTGTGGGTTGAACGCTTGGGCCGCCTCCTTGGCCACCAACGCCTTCGACTTCTTGATGTGTTCGTGACGGAAGAGAAATTGGCGGTTAAGGTTGCTCAGATCGATGGTATCGAGATCGACGACTTCGATTTCCCCAAAACCGGTGAGGACGAGGTTCTTCAGTAATTCGCATCCAATGCCGCCGGCACCAACCATAAGGACACGGGCCTGCGATGATGTCAACATGGACGAAAAGACGTTGCACTCAAGCGGTAGATAGTCCATGGCCGTAAAACTGAATGATGAAAACAAGAAAAACCCTCGAGCTCTGACCCTTCACAAGGGAGAGATAGAACTGTCGAGGGGTGGTGGATGTTTTGGATGGCCGTGAACAGTGAGGGTGACGAACCTGTTTGACATTGAAGGTGGCGGATGGACCCAGGGACTGGAAATAAAACTTATCACGCGGCTTTGGCGCGGGCCTCTGCCGCTGAAGCGCTCGCGCGGGAGGTGTTGTACCAGCAGGTGTCGTTTGCGTAGACGTGGACGAGGGCGGAGGCGCAGGCGCACCAGCGCCAGCACCATTCGTCGCTGGCGTGGCGATCGCTGGCGTCGACGCTTTGGTTTGCGGAGGATCCATGGTCGGCAAGAGCTATCGGAAGGGTGCGGAGAGACGCAGTGGGATCAAACGCGCGCCGGGACGTAGATGGTGATGTACGTGATTCAGCGCATACAATGAATGAGCTCAGAGGAAACGGCGGATCGGATGGCTGCTGAAGAAAACGTGTCTAACGGGAGTGGCTTAGGCAATTATAAAATTCTCGGGGAAAAAGAAAAAAGAAGAAGAAGAAAGAAAAAAGAACAGATTATATTGGAAGAAGAAAATAAAGAGACCGTTTAGAAGAAAGAAAAAGGGAAGAAAGAGAGATGTTGTTGGCAACTGAGGGCGAGGTGAAGCCCCCGGAAACAACCAGGCTGTTGAGTCTGTGAGGCAGTTCGAGCCAGGGAACCTGGAAGGTAGCAAGGTTTTGTGTTGGGAAGCAGGAAGGAGCTATAATACGTTTCGGTAGTTCTTTGCACCCGTACCTTGAGGTACGTACCTTACATGAGAAAAATTGACTAAGGTACAAGGCACTGCGGATTAAGGCTTTTGTATCCATACTTTGTAAAGTCCTCTTAAGCCGAGCCGATAGTGGGTATCTGGCAGGTGTCAAGTCACGATACTTCGTACGAAGCGACGGTACTAAGCCACTTACGCACAAGGTGCCGTACGGTGCGGAATCTCCGCGCTTGAGCTGCAATTGGCCAATACGACGGAACGTTGGAGGAATTAAATCCCCAAACGGTTCCCTGTGATCGGTGCTGCGATGCATGACGAACCTCGCGAATAATGACGAAGTGCCTGGTCTGGCGGGACGAATTGTAGTACCGTGTACATACCTATACGTCTTTACTCGAGCCGTCTACACCTCTACCAGGGTTTAGTAGGTTAGCGTGTGACTTTACCGAGTCGGTTCTTAGGGTACATGTCACGTGTGTCACACAGCCCTTGTTGTAGTGCTTTTTAAGGTAGATAGACATTCCCTTTGAGTACCTTTATAGAACTCTCCAAGGAACAAGATTTATGAGTTCGCGTACCGATATTCTTGTTCTGACACCGGAATCCGGACGGACCTGTCCAGCAACAGACCTGTCCGATCTAGAATGCTGAAGAATTACCACACGCGTCTCTCGCAGCCTGGGAAGATATTGAATCCTCGAGGCCACGACGGTGGAATGCCACAGCATATCTATGTCGTCGGCACGTTCGCAACGAATATACGAATATATCCGTGCCTGCTTAAAGAGTACCTTAGCGTCTCGCTTTATGCGGGTAAGTGTTGTAGTAGCAGTGCGAAAAGGTATAATTTACACATGTTGTACTTGTTCCGACATGGTTGTCACACGATCTCCGGTAGGTAGATACCTTGTATATTCAAGTGTTCGATGGAGATCGCCATGCAGAGAAGCTCATAAAGCCTGATGGACCTTTACCCTTAACCACAAATGCCATGATGGAGATGGAGATGCCAATCTGGCCTCCGCGGCGTAAGGTATGGAATGGTCGGGGATCAGTGTGACAAGTCAGAGCTCCACCTGTTTTATCTCTGTGCAATGATTAGAAGGCGGTCAATGTCATCGTCTCCTGGGTCGCCCCGCGGCCAAGACACCGCCAGCAATCTCTTTGGGCTTATTCCGATTCCTCAGGAGACTTACATTTCAGACTCAAACCCTCTGGACTTTGCAGGACAGAAGAACTGAGGGACAGGGGTACTTACATTCGATTCCCGACAAGACCGCTGCCTCCCCGCCATGTCGGACGACGAAGCCGACCCAGAGCTGCTCGCGCTCCTTCGGCAGCACTTCCTGGGCAAGCCCGCCGCCGATGCGGAGCCGAACACGGGCGTACTCCAAGATGCCGAGGCCGTCTACGATGACTCCATCGACGTCGCCATCGACATGCGGTCCACCAAAGCCGCCGCGCAGACCATCCATGCGCAGATGCAGCGCAAAGAATTTTCCGCCGGTTCTTGGTCCTCCCACGAGCTGCACCCCACCCCGTCCGGCCCCGACGACGAGGAAACCGTCGCTTTCGTCTTCGTGTTGGATCTTTTGAACTTCTCCTTCTGGTCTGATTTGCCGGACGAGGAGCGCTTTGCCATTGAGTACCGTGGCCGCATTTGGACCGGCTATTGGAGCCTCGTCGCCGCCCTGCGTCGTGCCTTGGACGAAGCGAACGACGCCAATGGCTCCAGCAACGGCGCCGCCTATGATGCTATTGATGGTGAGGGCGACAGTGGCATTGATGATGCTAGCGGTCTCGATGGTGCTAGCACTGGTGAGGCTGGTAGTGTCAGCGACGGTCGTGGTGTTGCTGACGGTGGTTTTGCCGGTGAGAGTGGCAGTGCTGGCGAGAGTGGTAGTGCTGGTGAGGTCGGCAGTAGTGCTGATGATGGTAACGGCGCCGATGATGGTAACGGTGTTGAGAGTGGTAGCGATGGCGAGCATAATAGTGGCATCGACGAAACCGAACAGGCTGCCATCCCCAAGAAGAGGAAGATCGCCATCACCTCGCCCGACTTCTGGAAGAACGAAGACGAATGCACCCTCGAGATCCTCCGCCACGTCTTCCGTTCAGCGACCGAAGAGGAGATGCCCATGCTCGCCGAGCGCCTCGACTGCCTCCGCGATGCCGGCCGCGTTCTCTCTCACCACTACGACGGCAGCGTGGCCAACCTGGTCCGCGCCGCCGACGGCTCCGCCGTCCGCCTCGTCAACCTGCTGGCCCGCGACTTCCCCTGCTTCCGCGACGAGCATTTCTTTGCCGGCCGTCGCCGTCCCGTCCGCCTCCTCAAGCGCGCCCAGATCTTCGTCGCCGACGTCTGGGCCTGCTTCGGCGGCCAGGGCTTCGGCGCCTTCCGCGACATCGACAAGATTACCATGTTCGCCGACTACCGCGTTCCCCAAATCCTCAACACTCTGGGCTGTCTATATTACAGCCCTTCCTTGGCCGCCACCATTAGCCGTGGGGCGCTTATCGAGAGCGGCTCGCGGTGGGAGGTGCAACTCAGAGGTAAGAATGCTTTGGCTTTCGTTTTGTCTCACGACCTTCATCTTTTCTGTCTAAACAACCCCCGCCCTCCCAAAACGACTTCCCTTCTCTGGACTCAGTAAACGGCGCCTGTTATTGGCGAAAGCTGGGCTGACGGCATTAAAAATAGCCTGCAGCATCTGGTGTGTCGAGTTGTTGCGGCGGGAAATCGTGAAGCAGCACCCCGACGCAAAAGTAAACGCCGTCTTGATTGATTTCTTCTTGTATGATACCATGAAAGAGATCGAGGCCGGGGGGAAGGAGACCGTTCGTCATCATAGAACAAGGAGCATCTGGTACTGAAATAGGTCGGAATTTCGAGAACTGCATTAGAGACCCCGGCATATGACGAGATAGACAGGTGGAATGTATATGAATGGCACTATTGCTGGGGTATCTCACAGGTAGCCACATGGACAAACCCCTTCCAGCTGCGAAGATATCATTTCAAGATGTGACTGGACAGTCGAGCAGAATTGTCTTTTGAAGCTAGAGGTGAAGCCAGCCCGAACCCAGCAACGCCAACTTTACCGCCCAAACTCCATCCACCAGCTAAATCATCGGCACCGTCGCTCGGTCATGAGAAATGGTCAACTATGGTCTGGCCTCCATGGCCACACAGTGTCCGACAGCCCCGTGAGAGGCCGCAGCCAATATCCGAAACCGAAGTTAAAAAGACAAATGGTATCGCACAGCCAAGCTCCAAGCCAAGAGAGAAGAAAGGAAAGAACAAATAGAGAGAGGAAGAATCAAGCGAAACGTCCATTCCGAGGGACTATTTCCCCTTATGCGCCCACAGCTGTCGAGTTGAGGAGCTCATCCATATGCGCCTGTTGCTTCCCCGGGCTCTCCTGTTTAAGAAGAACGGCAAGGACTTCGATGGGCGGGTTCAGGCCCAGTTTCTCCGCCCGTTCCCAGCGTTTCTGCCTTTGGATACCGACACAGGGCTGAGCGACATAGCAAACAAAGTTAGCACACAACCCTTCTTTCTCCCCCGGGGGAATCCACGGTAGGCTTCAAAAGAAGGGCAGATATTGGGCCGAAGAGCCAACAAAACTCACCCCATAATGCAGGCTCACGTCAAAGTGACGCAGAATCTTTTCCCCAAGACTGACGTCCTCGACATGAACCTGTGGCGCGATGCTTTGCGCCTGGACGTTCTTCCAGTATTTCGCAATCTGCGCATCCGAGATCTTCTCTGCCCGGAGTTCGGCCTCGGACTTGGTTGGCACTTGCTCCTCCTCCACGGCCTCCTCCTCAGTCTCCTCCTTAGTCTCCTTCTGTTCAACTTCGAGAGTCTCTTCAGGCTCGACCTCGACCTTGGTCACTTCCGGGACGTCCTCCTCGGCATCCTTTTCGGTAATAGGAGAAACAACTGGTTTCTTGGCATCCTGTCGCGACACGGACTTGGACACCCTGTTGGAAAAGCTGAGAGTGGATTGACCCTTTCCTGGGCCGTGCTGGGCTCGGGCGCCGCCAGTTGCTCTACGGGTAGTGGGCATTTTTAATTTCCCGAAGGTAGTGTCGAAGAGAGCCCCACTGTGTAAGCTTGCAATCGGGTCAAAAAAATAATAGAAATGGCGATGGTATGCTGGGGACGGAGGCGATAAGAAGAATTGATGCAGGTTTCGTCTCTGGCGCTCGGTTGATGTTGGATGACGGAAGGTAATTCTGGAACATTGGAGAGAGACAACACTGAGAGGGGTAGTTTACAAGTATCCCGCATGTACCTATATATGGCCCCATTGGCGGGGCAACGCGAGATAGAAGCGTGGTCACGTGATGTGATACGTTCAATTGTTGGATTGACGGGCGTGTGATCCGGCCGGAGCAGAGATTCAATAGATATATAATTGTATTCGTAACATAAAGGAAAGAAGAATAGGAAGGTGTGGGTGTTCTAAATATATCTACCCCTTTTCCACGCGAGGAATATAGGGCTAATCCAGCTAATAGAAATATAGAAAACAGGCTCACGTATTTTTAGTGCGATATACCCCCTAATTACTATACCCTGATTAGCTTAGTAATCACTTAGCCTAACCTCGCCGGCGCCTTATAGTTAATCTTAAAATAGCCTTAAAGAGTAGTTATATATCCTTTAAAGTCGAGTTAAAAGGTAGGTAAGGAAGCTATAAAACAGGAAAGAATAATAATAATAGTAGTATATAATAAAGGAAAGTGCTATTTAAAGTAATTAGTAGATAGGGGAGGTACCAGATATAAATAAGAGGGTTTTCAGGCTCTTCGTAGCCTTCTTTTCCCTTTTATAACCACGATCCTTTTTTAACGATTTTTAGTTATTTTCGTGCCTCGCCTAATTTTCGGATTTTTTTCTTCTTTTTCCTCCTTAAATAGCCGCTTTTCGTTCCTTAAACGCGCTATAGTAAGTTACTGGAGCTCTGATGCTTAATATAGGTACTAACAGTGCTTATTTAGGCCCCCTTAACCCGTGCGTCTAGTGCTAAGATCGCTAGTGCTAGTCTAACTAAGCCTTCTGGTATAACTAAGACCCCCGGTAAAAAGCCTAATATAAGTGCTCTAGTCCCTTAGCTTTGTACTTTCGTTTATAGTCGTAAGGCTCCGGTTACTAATAGTTTAGCAGACTCCTAAAAAGCCTACTAAGAAATCGACTAAGGCCCCCGATCTAAATTTTATACTGGTCCCCTTCAATCCTCCTTATATATAATACGTAAAAGGTATTTATTCGGGTAAATAAAGCTCGTTTAACTATTACGTTACCGTCGAAAGGCGCTTAAACCGTTACCGTAAGTGTTATCACGGTAACTATATATACTCCTAGGTATAAGTTTTTACCCCCTAGTTATCGAGATTTACGACCGTGGATAAAAGCTCCGGTTTAAATCCGGATTAAGGATCCGTGCTCTAATATGATTCTGTTTACTAATATCCGATCCTAGTTATATTAGTATACTTCCTTTTATTAAGATACTGGTTAATATAGTGTCTATTCGTAAGATTAGAGTAGGATCTGCTAATAAGGACCGTAAGGTGCGTTTTCATCGTTTTATTCCTTAACTCGAGTGCTCCGGCTAATATTTCCGGCGTAGTTTTTAGCTAAGTTAAAGCAGTATATTAAGTAGCAGGTTAAATACCTTAAAGAGAATAATACTAAGCGCTTTTTTAATAAAAAGGAGCTTAAATACGTGGCGGGCCCTAGCGAGAAGGGCTTAACTAAGCTTAGTTTTTCGGCTTATTTTGAATCCTTAGTGGAGGAGGTGGTAGCGCGGCGTTTTAGAGATTAGCTCTAATAATAGTAGTAATAGTAAAATATTACGCCCGTCGTGTCTTCCAGAGCCCCCTAAGGGTAAGTTATTACGCCGATTACTAAAAATAGCGCTATTATTAATAGTGGCTCGGTTATAGTGGATAGTGGTAAGACTACGGCTCCGGGTGCTCCTAATAGAGCGTAGTAATAGTATTTAGGTTCGCCGGACGTTAGTTTTTATATTTTGGCTTTTAGCTTTTAGCTTAGGTGTATAGGATAGCGGTATATAATAATACCACGTTTTCTTTTACTAATTTAACTAAGCCGCGGGCGTGCGGCGCGCCTCCGGCGCTAGATTTTAACCTTTAATTTCTCCGGTCTACCCCCTCCGTGTACTCGTTATATTAAGATATACGCGGAAGATCTTGAACTTTTATCGTGGGAGTGCCTTTATTAATCCGTTTACTAGTATAAGGCTCGTAGCTAAATAAACCACCCTAAAAGTCCCTTTACCATGCTCCTATCGAACCTATGAGCGTTAAATATCTATATATCTAAGCCGGGTTTTAATCCTATAGCCGTCGTCTACTATAAGCCTAATTATTTAAGTGTTATCGTAATTAATATCCTAAGGAGATTCGGGGTTAAAGCGTATCTCTGCGAATAGGCGCTTTAATCCTATCGTTTCCTTCGCAACTTACTCTAGAGCGAGTAGCTCTGCTTCGGTTATAGATATAGTAACGGTTACTTACCTTATTACTTTCTATACTACTAGACCTCTAAATAGGCTAATAAGATAGCCTTAGGAGGATCGTCGTGTATCGATATCGTTAGTAAAAGAGACGTTACTCGCGATTACTATAGCCTATAAACTAGTGCTCGATCCGTACTAAATCGAGAGGTCCCTAGTTATATATAAGTAACGGATAGCTTAGTCCGCTGCCTTATAATACTCCGGGGAGGGGTTTCTAAGAAAGCGGGAAAGGATAGATACCGTAAAGGCTATATTAGGACGTATTATAACTGCTATATATAGTAATAATCCGATATTTTCCTAGTATAATTTAACCTCTTAAGCCGTGGCCTTATCTTCTCTTTTCCGGTATTCTATAATAGAAACGGGAATAGCTAGGTATATAATAGTAGTATCTAAATTAAATCTGGCTACGATCTTCTCGATATATAAGTCGTGACTAAGTAAAACCTTACGCCGGGAGTAATCGCGCGTGATCTTAATTCCTAGGAACCACTCTACGTTACCTTTTTCTAACACTTCGAATCTTTTCCTAATACCGTTAATAATCCTAAGGGCGTTTATAGCTTTATTCTTATAAAATAAGACGAGGATATCGCCTATAAAAAAGATAATAAACGTGTCTCGAGCTACTATATAAAATAGGTATAGCTCTTCTTTACTAGCTTTTATCCCTAAATCTGATAACGTCGCTACGAAGATCTAGAACTATAATCGAGGTGAATCTTATAAGCTATAGAGTGCTTTATCTAGCTCTAAGTACTTATCTAGCTACTTAAACCTATCTAGAAGCTTATATATAACGGGCGTTTCTATTCTATTCCTCTCGGCGTTAACGAAGGCGTTAACGATATCTAGTTACTTAATCTCTAGGTTAAATTAAATAGCTAAAGCTATAATAATACGAAAAGACCTTATAGCGAGTATTACTATATAGGTTCCCTTAATCGTTAAGCTTTCCTAGAGATCCTCTCGGATATATAGCCTTACCTTATATCTCTTTAGATACCCGCCTTAGTCGAACTTATAGGTGAATACTTATTTAAGTGGAAGGGGCTTAGACTTTGCCGATACTCTATTAATTTCCCTCTACGTGCGTTTTTTTAATAGCTTATTAACCTCCTTCTACGCCGCTTCCTTAAACTAGTCGCGTATAGGGTAGTTATAAAGCTCTCTTTAATACCTTAGTGCAGCCTTAAGGTAGTCGCGATAGACCCTGCCGTCGAGTAAGGACTTCGGTTTCTCTATTATTTTCGAATAAGCTTGTATTTTTATATCGGCTACTCCGAATATTACCGAGTAAAAGGATAGGAGCCCTTATGTCTTATCGTCGCGTACTTCTTATTAATTGAAGAACGTATACGTTAAGAGCATATCTGGCTCTACTACGTGCGTCCGTGGATTAATCCGAATAGTCTTCCCCTAAGCACGTCGATCTATAATTCGGGCGCTAACCCTTATTATATCCTTAACCTGTATACTCCGTTTACGTTAGTGTGTAGTCACCTTAGGGTCGTTAGTTCGAGATCTAGACGTTAAGGGCTAGTTAATGCTATAACCTGGATTAAGAGTAGCTAGTTCCTATGCCTTAGTCTACGCACTTCTCGCACCTCCTTATTACTCCAGATTATCTGTTTTAAGATCTAGTATATATAGCTTTAGCGTATTAATAGCAGCGTCTCCTTCGGGTACCATAGTCTATATAGAAGAGGGTTTAATTAAGAGTTCCTCCTGCTATAGCTATAGCCCGGCGCCTTAATCCTGGTTATTCCGGCTCGGCGGATTAGGTATAGCGTGTAGGGTTTAGAGTCCTATTAGCGCGGGCGGTTCGGGTAGCCTATTATAGCCGTTAGTGGTTACGTCGGTATCTAATAGTTCCGGCGCCTCCAGAATAGTACTAGCTACTCCTACCCCCGAGTCTAAACCCGTAGACTCTACTTAATCTTTAGAAGGTACGCTGCTAGATAGGCCGGCGGGCGGTTCGGCTTATAGGATAAATTCGGTATCTTTATCTTCGTAGTCTTTATAGGTTATAAGCTAGTTCCTCGCCTCCGCCTCTGTAATCTATTCTACTTCTTCGAGCTTCGAGTTATAGAATAACCGCTCGTTAAACTACACGTTACGCGTCGTTATAACCTTCTAAAGCTACGGGATCTATATCCTATAGATATTATAGGTAACGTATTCTATAAGATCCCTAATATAGCCCTTAGGTTAAATCTTATATATCTTTCTCTCCTTTCTAGCCTCCCTATTCCTATCTAAGGGATAGGCGCGGTAACCGTAGGTATAAATACTACTCTAATCCGGCCATAGATCGGCGGAATACTCTCTTATCTTAAGCGGCACGTGCTTTTTAAACTATAAGTCTAGTACCTTAATAGGAGACTTCTAACCTAGGCGCTACGATAGACTTATATTATAAAGTTACGCCGCTACTTTTATACTCTCTGGCTATATAAAACCTAGAAAACCTGCGCTATTTAGTATAGCGTTAGACTTTATAATAATAGCTTATCCTACCCTCTCGATAGCGCTATTCGGTTTATAGGTATATAAAGGCGCGATCTCTATATCGATACCCTTTATACTCGCTTATAGCTAGGTCCGTGAATCCCCTGTTATATACACGATTAAAGGCTTATTATTACTACGTATCTTATAGACGTATAGATTAAACTAACACGTAACCTATCTTTCGAACGCTTTAAGGGCGTTATAGACTATAACGCTATTTTTCGACGCTAAAGGTAGTATATAAATCTAACCGCTATACTCCTCCTTAATAATAAGGAGATAATGTATACCGTTATAACTCTCCGGTAATTTCTATAGGTCCTAATAAATACGCTAGAACGGCCTAGGCGAGCGGTAATCTAATAGTCGACGAGACACGATCTAATAAACCTATATTCGAGTATAGGTCTTACACTTAATCCGCTTAGTGCCTTATATTAGCACGTTCCTAGCGTTACGAATTAGTGTTCGGAGAGCTTCTAGTCCTAGGTGGCCGGCCCTTAAGTGCTATAGCCTCTTTTCGTTAATATATAGATAAGGGGAATCTCGAGATAGTCGAAATAGCTTCGGAAACGGCGCTCTTATCGGTCGATCGATAGCTACTACTAGTATATAGATATAATCGTAGCTTACGGGAATCACGTCTTATAGTATTAGTTAAATATACGGGTAAGAAGAAGAAAAGGATAAAATTAGCTTATACTAAAGAATAGTTATATTAAAGCGTTATAATAGCTTTGATAAAACCACGCTTTTATCCGCTATTCCGTATCGTAGTAAGTAGTTATATCCCGAATACTAGATCCTAACCTTATATAATAGAGCTTCCGAGATAATATTTATATAAAATCCCTTTACCACGATAACGTCGTTAAGCTCTAAATCGACTTTCGGAGTACCTAATAGTCTATTAAGAAGGCCCTTAAAGATCCGTTTACCTTTACCGATAATAGGGAATTCCGTTATACCGGATTTAACTATACCGTTTATCGGGATAAAAGATCCGGGAATAAGCAGGTTAATTAAATTAAGTAAGTATATCGCGCCGTAGTTATCTAAAAGGGTGCTATATAAGAGCGGGTAGACGCTAGATCGTAGCGCCGCGTAGATACCGGGAACTTCCCCTATATCGTAAATAAGGGTTAAGTCTAAGATAGTTATAATAACCTTTAAGGGGTATCCGTTACCCTTATCGCTACTCTTACCGGCGCTTCCCTATCCCTTCTTTAATAGGGTTTCTCGTAGACTTTTCTACTTTTATTACTATAGCTTTCCGGATTTATTCGATATAATTATCGCTTATCTACACGGATAGCTACTACTCGTATTTACCTATAAGAGTATACTCTACTCTATTATAGAGCTCCGGCTTCTACGAATAGGTCCTATTATAGGGGTATTTATACCCCTTACCCTTACCTTTCTTCCCTTTTCCACTACTATTATCGTCTTTATCGGAGCGGTCGCTTAGGGTAGCGTAAACGCCGTGTCTAATTCTATTAAGGCCAGGAGCGCTTATAATCGCGTTAAATTCGCGGCTATATATTAGGATATCGTTAATTACTTTATCCTTATTCTCCTTACGGATTAGTTCGTAGAACTTAGCCTTTATCTAAGCCGGGGTAAAACGCTACCTAATTATAATAAGGAAGTTACGGATAGCTATAAAACCCTTAACGTCGTTTACTTTATACTAATGATAGCGCCGGATAAGAGTATTCTACTCCGTATACCACGCTGCTACTTCTATATTAGCTCTTCGGGTATCCTAGAGGTGCTTATCGTATACTCGATAAACCTCCTTAGCTAAGAATAGTGCGCTAGGAGCGAAGTATTTCTTTAATTCCTTTATTATTTATCGTATCGTGAAATAACGGTTTTATTTCCCCTTTTTATAGCTAGGGTACTTCTTAATAGCTTCCTTAATAGCTTATTAATAGATAGAGGTTTTAATAGTCGCTTTAAGTATATAATTAGCTTTATTAAGCGTATTAATCGATCGGGCGAGCTTTTAATTATATACCGTAACCTTATAGCCTTCTAGCTTAATAAGCTCGATTAGTTCCGATATAGTAGGAGGGGTCGGCACCCCGTTAATAACCTGGGTATATTTTTCGCGTAGCTAATCGATAGATATAGGTATAACGTACTCGGGTTAGTCGTCTAGCTACTCCGGCCTGTTAGGGTCGAGTAAGGCCTAGACCTTTATACCCTGCATATATAACTTAATATAGAAGATCTAATCGGCCTATTACCTAGTGGACTCTAGCCGCGGTATACCGAGCGCTTCGGCGGTGACTTTAAGCTTCGTGGATATAGTTTATAGCAGGGGTTTAGCAAATAAGGGCTTTTCTAAGCAAGAGAGTAGGGTAGATACTCCTTAATTAGCTACGGAAGCACACGTAAAATAGATAAATATAGATAATAGATTAGCAGGAAGTTACTAGTTACTACTACCACCCGGGCTTATAACTATTGGATTAACGGGCGTATAATCCGGCCGGAGCAGAGATTTAATAGATATATAATTATATTCGTTACATAAAGGAAAGAAGAATAGGAAGGTGTGGGTGTTCTAAATATATCTACCCCTTTTCCACGCGAGGAATATAGGGCTAATCCAGCTAATAGAAACACAGAAAACAGGCTCACGTGTTTTTAGTGCGACATCAATGACATACGCGTCAGCGTCTTCTGTCCTTCCAAGATAGCCCTACGACCACACGCGTCTTAGACCGCCCTTCTTTTGAGCCTTGTCGTAGTCGATGAGACTCATTGATGCTTTTTTATTGTATACGCAAAGCCCATTTCATGCCTGTATTCATGTCACGTTCGTAGTTTTTGCCTACCCAGTCATTAGATCCCCGTGGCCTCCCTGTACAATGTAAGACTCCGGTTCGCACCAGCCGTGCAGAACATCTCGCTCCGATTCGTCTTGGGCAGCCACTTGACCGACCACAGTGCCTTCTCCGTCTCGCTATGCGTGGCCACGCAGGCAGCCCGGTCGATCGACCACACCTTGGCCTTCCCGTCCATGGCGCCGCTCAGAAGGTACTCGCCCGTATTGCTCCAGTCGAGGGAGGTGATCCACGACGCGTGGCCCGTCAGGTTGCCAACGTGCTCGCCATGCTTCATGTCGTAGAGGGCGATGACGGAAGCGTCTCCCGCCGCCGCCAGCCGGGTGCTGCCGGGGGAGAAAGCGACGGTACGCACCGGCTTGGCAAGACCTGGAGTCGTTTTTTTTTTAGCGAAGGGGGTAAAGAAAAAGGCAGACGAGAGTCAGGAACACACAAGTTGCACACATACCAGATAGAGAGTAGAGCATCCGACCCGTGTCATTGTTGAACACATACACCGCACCGTTCTGGTGCCCGCTGGCTGTCAACTTGCCGTCCGGACTCAGATCGACGCACATGCCGAAGCTGCTAGCCCCTGCGCTGCCCGTCTCATACTCCTGTATCTTGGGGGTACTCGAGTCGCCGACGTCCCAGACATTGATGCGACCATCGTATGTAGTTCCCGCCAGGTACCGGCCGTTCTCGCTCAGAGCGATGGCCCAGATCTCCCCCGCCTTGCCTGGCAGCTTGATCTCCGCATGTTGGTTCCACTCCCCTGTTTCTTTCGTGACGGTCCAGACCTTCACTACGCCGTCGAAGCCCGCGCTCGCGGCCACCAACCCGTCGCGGGAGGCGCAGATGTGGTGGCAGCCGAGTTCGTGCGCTCCGCTAATGGACTGGGAGATAGGGAAGGTCGGATCGTTCGTGTCGTGGATGCGGAGCGTCGAGGAACCGCCGGCGGAAAGGATGGCTCGTGGAGTTGCGGCTATAGAAAAGATGTCCGTGACGTGTGCTATAGCCTTGTCAGTAAAAGTATGGCACGCCACCGAACTCGACTGATGGAGCAGGACGTGAGCTTCTCACCATTGTCCACGGTGTGCGTGGTTAGGTATTGCTTTGACTGTCGGCGCGAGGATCAGTAGTGGCCCTCCAGCGCTCTGATGAGGCCAATATTACATACCATTATGGCTCATCCATCAAGTATGCGACTTATCTCTGAGAAGGAGTTCTGCGTCTGAGAGCAGCCAGATGGGGCCAAGAATAATAGTACCTTAATTAGGCGGTGCTGCTTCTGTGAGTGCAGGCAAAGGTGAGAGCTCCCAGCTTGGCGGGGGTGGGGGGGCAGTACCGAGTACCTACCAGGTACCGTACCTTAGGTGCCTTCGGTCCCCAAGAGAAAAAAAATACCCGTACCTACGAAGTATTTGCTGTCTAAGGTAGGTACCTAAGGTAGAGTAAGGTACGTATCCACTCCACAAGGTACTTCGCACTCCGACGCGGTACATAATTACGTCAGACGCTTCGGTGAGTCTTATGGGTCGTTCTGAAAGAGTCGATACACCGGCTCCTCACATCGCTATCGATTTCTTCCTTTCCCAGTGTTACTTACGATCGTCGAACGGAGACAACAGGGAGTCGAAACACCAAAGCCATACGTTCGGCGCCGAGAGATTTCCATAGCCGGGTAATCTTCTCCAAATTGTGTGTCTGACCTGTATAAACCAGGCTGATATCAATTCTCTCTTGCACATGGAACGTTCATCTGGACGCGATGAAAACCCAGGTTGTGATCGAGGTTGAAGCGCACTTTTTTCCCTCGCCATGAATCGGGGCTCCCACGCCAGATTGCCTCTGCGGGACGTCGACGTTGGGTTGGAAAACGAATAGACTTGGCAACTCGGCATCAAAAACAAGTGTGACAACGCCCACAAGGATTCGGCTCCGATTGTTACGGTTGCAAAAAGACCTCCATTCCTCAAAAATTCATGAAACAATCATCAACCAGAAAACGGGTATGGTTTCGTAATGGTCTTGTGACTAGACGTCTGCGCTATTCTGCCGACGCCGCAACGGCTATTCCCACTTCGGTCTTGATCTATCCAACACAAGCACGACGCAAAACTCCCAAACCGAAGGACGGATCACGTCTCTCCGCATCCTATCCGTTCTTTTCATCTTCTATCTGTCCCGTGTTTCATGCCGCGCATCACCAAACGGCGTCTAAAGAAAAGCAGAAGGGGAAAAAAAAGGCGAAAAAAGGAGAGAGATCAGGAACTGGTCGTTGCACAGCCCATTTGTCCGTTTGTCAGCTTATGCCATGATGCACTGCCACCGTTGACTTCTACCCGAACCCTTTCAATTACTGACGCTGATCAAGACTGTATGCCACTCAAGGTATATCCAACAATCCAGCTTACTCCGAGCGAACAAAAGAACGCCATGGGATGTATCCGACGCTATGTGTGAGAACTTTGCAGTAAAAAGCAACCAACATCTAACTGGTGACGGTGACTGACGCTATATCCAAAAAGTCTTGAAAAGTCTTAAAAAGTTTTTAAAAAAATGACGAAAAACAGGCGTGTGAATGACAGGCATTGCTTCGAGATCAGGCGAGGCCGAGAAACCTGAGGGCCTTTCGGCTGTTTCCCTTCTGCACTGGGGGTTTTCCCGGGTAAATGGGCATGAGGCGTCTCTCTTCCATGTCGCAGTCGCTGTCATCCTCGAGATCCAATGTGTCAATGGAATTTCGGTTTTCTGGTGTATTTGATAATCTATACAGTCTGCCCTGACGGCTGCGGCCCGACCTGGTCGTCCGGACAGTCTCAGCAATCGAGGGAGCCTTGTAAGAGAGTGCGGGAGAGGGTGGGCGAAGAGTGGTAGTGCGGCCAACAGGTGGCGGCGGAGAGACGGGTGGAGGAGACAAAGGAGGGCTATTGAGGCCTAAACTGGGAAAAGGTGAGAAGGCTGGGGAGAGAGGCGCCGGTGTCCGTTTGGCCACCTTGGACTTGCTCGTGTCCTCAGGGGCATAGAATCGGGAGACCTCGATTAGGAGATTCCGAATGGTTGAGATGAAAGTGGTGATTTCTGTGTCCGTTGCTGTCGCCGTGAGGAGGAAATTAGCCTTGGATATAGACACGTTCTCTGGTGCCGCTGATGGCGGCGGTGATGGTGTCGAGCGTTGCGCGTGGGAGGCTGCGGATCCTGGACGGCTAGAGTCGTTTGACACACGACCAAGTGAACCTCCTCGGATATGGGTGAAAGGTAACGGCTCGTCGGCGTTCGAGTCGACCACCTGAGCGACCTTCATAAGGTCCACGCCGATGAGGTTTTGAAGTGCCAGGACGGTGGGCAAGTGATCGGGTGGATACTCCAAAAGAAGAAAACGGACTTCAGAGTGGGTGACGAAGTACGTCTCTAGATGAGGAATGATGAGGGTCGCAAGAAGGTAAGAGTTGGTGAAAGGATTGTCGTGGGTTTGGTGGGCGAGGGGTTGCGCTGTGAAAGCCTGCATGGCATTTGCCACCAGATATCTTAGGACGTGCCTGTCAGTATCGACAACTGGCGTGAGGAGGGGGGTAAATAAAGGGGGGCCTGATCCCTTACCGAAAGTCGAGCCTCCCACTGCGGCTCACCTCGCCCGATTTCTTCCCTAGCTTCTCTAGCTGGTTGCTAATCCCGGACAAGTAGCTCTTCTTGATGCCACGCTGGGATCCAATAGCAAGAACCTGGTCAATTCGACGATGGTCGGTCCTGGGGCTCCCTGGATCGGCGTCACGGAACACGGGTTTCCAGAGCCCACCCCCCATTTCAGGGAGCAGAGAAAAGTGAAAGTGATGATACCCGTGGTCGTCGGGCGGGAAGTAAAGGTTGAGAATGGAGCGCAGAGCGTTCTGGATCGCTACAGCCGTTTTGCAAATTGTGATATCACAGTCGCAAAACTTACCACGCTGCTCAGGGGACGAGGCAGGAGACGACAGTGGCTGAGAAGGAGTGGGCAGCGCCGGAGTTCTCATCAGGTGGGCAACATGGAAGAGCTTTGCTGACTGTAGTGGCGGCGACTGGTATGCGAATGGGTCATATTCGTCTGTTTCAATGGCTTTCAATGGTGTGAGCTGCGGTTCGATGACCCTCCCGTTGTTCGCGGTAGCCACCGATCCAGTCATGGGAGAAACTGGGGTATCAGGGCCTGAGAGGTCGTCCTCATCCTCGTAGCGACTGGCAGGGTCTGAGGTTTCCGGTGGCCTTAGGGGATATGTGCCCGACTTGAACGCTCGTATGATGGAGTCTAATGTGTGATCTAGCTTGGCATCTTTGAGGTGAATGACCAGATCCTCTGTGAAAGGTAAGACGGCTTGAAACGGAGGCTCAGGTTGCAAAAGATCATCTGCGTCAGTGCCTCTGTCAACATAAGCAGTCTTCTGCTTCTTTTTCATCGGAGGCACAGGCGATAGGGTAAAGGGGACACAATTGCTGTGGGCCCAAAGAGACCTTGGCCTGGCATGGCAGGAGGGTGTCAAGGAGGTGGATTCCAAGGTACGGGACGCTTCCTGCAGGTACGAGTAGGGATGCCCGTCGTGATGGTATGCTTCCCTTTGTGCAATTGCCGGTTCAGCTTGAAAATGAGCAACGTCATCGTAAGATTGAATGCCATCTCGATACAACCGATCGAGAGACTTGGTTCTCATCAAAGTAGGCTTGCGCGTGACAGGCCTCATGTGAATAACGGAGGCTCGACCGAGAACCAGAGGATCCGAAGAGTGGACGCTGAAGTCTGACCGAGGCGACAACATGTCGATCAAAGGGTTGGCCGGTGGAGTTGATGGAGGCACGGAGAAGAAAGAATCGTAAGCTTCTCCGGCGCAGCTGGGCGATCCAGGAGGAAAGCCGGTGTATCTAGAGAAGAGAAAGCTCGTTGGCCAGTCGGCCCCTTCAGTGGACGGTTGATCGGCACTTTCAACAGCAAGTCGCGGTGCCATAACTCCAGGTGTTCCGATAGCCTCCTGGTCATCGGATGCGTCGGGGTCAGGTTTCAACCCAAAAACGTAGAAGGGTGCCGCATCACCAAACCTATCGTCGTAGCTGCACATGGGTAAGCTCATGCTCCGCGACCGTGTGGCGATAGTGAGGTCGATGTCGGTGCTGGGCTGGAGGTTCGCCGTCCGTCGGTCAAGCGCGTCAGCTGCTCGCATAGCTTTGAGTGTTGGGTCAAGGTCCGATATTTCGAGGTATTGATAAGAGGATCGGCCACGCCGATGGACGAAATCGTCGTCTAAACCAGACAAGCCGTGCTTGGCGAGCCTGTTGAAGAGAAACTGAGCCTGGGAGACGTCACCGTCCGTTTCATGCTCTGAAATGGCCTTGATACAGAGAGCATGGGCGCTCGGGGTGCCGCCATTCATGAAGACAAGCCTCTTGTTGCTTGGGGTCGAATCTTTGAGAAAGGACAAAGCCGCCTCGTTCCTCGCGATGAGAGCGTGATGAATTCGCTTGATGAACTTCTCGGCATCGAAGAGCTCGTCTGTGCCCGCCTCATCGAGGTAGTTCTGAATGGGGGGTAAAATCGATATCTGTGGCGAGGTAGGAAGTAGCCGGAGTTGTGTGGCTATAATGTCGGCAGCACCCTCCAAGGCCACCAAGCCACCGTGGTAGGCGACAGGTTCTGGCATGGTCGAGGACATGAGGTTATTGAGAATGTTGCGAAAGATAAGAGGTGTGCGACAAATTCCCTTTAATGCTCTTTACGTCTCACTCCTGTTTTGAAGACGCCGGGCCAAACGATCAGAAGCAGAAGGGCATAGCTAAAGAGATGGAAAAAAACTCGACGACGATGGGACTGGAATGACGGAGAAAGAGTTGGGAGACTGCGAAACTAGGGATAAAAGCAAGCTTTGACAGCACGGAGAGAGTTGCTGAACTGGGTAGATCCGCGGGTCTGTTTGCCGCAAGGGAGACTGTCCGATACAAGACGAAGCGGATGAGCCGAGTCTGTCTGCGTAACGAGATTTGGGGCTTAGGAGTTCAGATGAGGAGGTGGTAGAGGACCGAAGAGGTCCAGTTGGTGATGGGTAGCAGAGATCTCGGATGGGGGGTCATCAGATATACGTAGAGAGGTACCTAGGAAATTAGAAAAGAGAGAGGCATGGGAAGATTCGAGACTCCAGCAGGTACCCGTGGTGGCGTTCGTTGAAGCCAGTAGGTAGCTGTTGACAGAGGAGAATGAATCGCGGTGAGCTTGGTGTTCGTGTAAAGTAATTCGGCAAGGGAGGTCAGTAGAAGCATTTAACCGCCCTCGTCATCTTTTCCCATGCCAGTTGCCGACCTCTCTCGTGTCCAGGTGTGGTTGATGGCCTTATGGGTGCCCTACCATATCGGGTAGCTGCATGACGCTGGAGTCGGGAGGCCGTTGGAGCTTGAACTCGGGGGACAAGGGATGGTCTTGGGGGGGTCCTGTATGTACGAATATGGTGGCTTCCCCAGCCTGTGTTGTCGTTTGTTGGCGTGGCGTTGGCGAATCAGTTTGGTTAGGGGCCAGATGTGTGAACGGCTGGATGGGTGGCCCAAGTGAACGACGTGAGTGACCAGGGAGGGCGTAATTACAAGGATAGGCGATACGATTCCTCTTTCACGCTTGTTGATCCTTTTGCAAACGCAGCTGTCTTTCCTCGCCCAGGGCCCAAATCTCTTAGGTAGCCTATCTACTTTGCTTCTCTTTGGAGAGCAAGGACAGGCTTCCGAAGTGAGATGATGGGACCGGATCCCAGGAAGGAGATGAATATGTCATAGGGGGATGATGGGAGCCCCGGCTGCTCAATTCCATCATGGTCGGTTGCTTCCGCATTTTACCCGGACAGATTCGGATGTAATGGGGCAGACCGGGGAAAGCTATAGTACGGTGTAGTTGTAGGTATGACCTATTATGGGCAGGGAACGACTCGCTAATTATTACCAAGTACCTAGGCAGCGTCGAGTCGAAACGGGCTGATGGCGAGCCGCAGGCGCCGGTTTCTGTTCAGGGCTCCCTATAATAGGCTTCGTTTTCACCAGTTTGCGCTGTCAGCTTCCGAAGAGTTTTCCGCTTCTGAGCGTTTGGGGACAGCGGAGCATAAAAAGGTTCATGCGTTATTCGTCGGTCGGCACGTTGTAATCGTCCTATGGGATGCGTCTCACAGACCCCCCAACTCAGGAACGAGCACACCCTCCTTGTGCGGTCTTCTGTCCTATTGGTCGGGTTGAGCTGAGGGAGGGCGGACCGCGTTTTCGGAGCTACGAGCCAATACTTCCAAAAAAATTCGAGCCCGTTTGTTTGTGTAGGTTGCCGAGTCCAGCAGGCGGCACAATGAGCACGCATCAATAAAGCCCGCTTGCAATTGCGACTTGATTCCTTCTATTCGCACTTTGTACTTCTGAAGCTTCGGTGCCTCTTGGATACTGGTGGGGAGCGAGAACCATTGTGAGGGGCATTTGTCGTCAACATTCGGCGATGAAAAGAGGGAGGGGGAGGAGAGAAATAAGAGAAAGCAAGGGTGAATAAGACGATAGTGGTAATTATTAGTGACACAGGGATAGGCCGAGGTCTGTCACCTACCTTATGCGAGAGGCTCGATAAGGAAAGTTGAGCTTTGGATCGACGCAGGCACCCCTCTCTCTCTACCTTAGTACGCACTGTACCTTGGTACATTGGGGTTGTGCCTTCCTTTGCCTGGTTTAAAAGAAACCACCTCAAATTGCGGCTGGAAGAGTATAAGTGCAGCGTTTGTCAGCATATTAATTACCTAGGTAGGTACCTAAGGTACCCAAGGTCTGTACAGGTAGGCGCCTGGGCGGGGTTGAATCCACGATCCCGTCGTCCTTTCCCCAATCACATCCTCCCACATCACATCTGACAGCTTGCAGTGCAGGCTCGACCGCCAGCATCAGAGCTTATTATTCCTTCCAGAGGAGATGGGACACACTGATCCAACTCTCCCTTTCACTCTGACAAGGTGAGGTGTAGTACCTAGGTATGGATACGTCGTACGAGGCGCACACACACACACACACACACATCATGCACATGTTACACCGAGTCGCTCTTCACACCACCGTCAACCGTCAGCCGTCCAACGGCTCAACATGGTAGCCAATCGCTTACACAGTCCAACAATACCCCTGCGTTGCCTCGTCGAATATAGCCCGGCTTAAGGAATTATAACCGTCGAGTTATCAGTGCTAGATGATATTACTTGCCTGCGTCCGCATTCCAAATTCCTTCCCTGTGCTACGTGGCTACCGAAACGACGGGTCCTAACGGACTTGCATCGCTTTCCGCTTCAACCACGCACGTATGTAACTAGCTAGCATACCATCCCGTCTTCCGCATGGCAGAGTGTAGTAGGGTAGGTATTGGGGGTTATCATTAAGGTATAGCTCACATGCGGCGGCTTGCTGATGGCGTACGTTGTACTCAGTTACGTACCTTATGTACTTTAACCCCCCGCTCCTCGTCGCGGCCCCAAATCCTCTCTCGCAACTTTGACTAGGATGTAATTAATTACGTCTTGTCGAAAACGCGCAGCACCTACCTTACCCATCCGCCATTGAGCTCTGTACTTTTCTTTTCATTAAGGGATGTTGGGCCAGGCTCTTGCCATTCCTAGATTCCTAGATTCACAGACGTTTGTCAGTCAGTCACCTTCGTTGTTGACCGGCAAGGAGGGAAGATGAATCCGACCCTGGCTTATCGGTCATCCGGAAATCGTGGCCCCATCGCTCAATCGTTCAAAAAGTAAGGTAATTACGAAGTGCGACGCACGGGATAATCTAGACTTGGTCTAGTTGGAGGCTGTCAATCGGATAATAAATTATTACCTTACGGTACAACGTACGGATACAGAGCAATCGAAATTTGACAGACCAGACGACGATTGTGTCTGTTTTTCCCAGCATGCATCCGCGAAACACCTGCCATCCTTCGACTCCGTACATAGACCCCAAGGTCTCCATCAAAGGCGAACCATTCAATAGTTATTCTGATGGCCTCATCATGCTTCACGAAATGCAAGACCTTTCTTCAACCATGGGCGCCTTCCAAGCCGCAGTCCCAGCGCATGCCGAGTCGTTCGTATTATCCCGACCATCTCGACAATCTCGTACCTGCTTTTTGCAGATTTAATTTGAATTTGCCAAGATTCAAGATCTGGTCTCGCTGCATCGCAAATCATCGCCGGGGTCTGTTCCATGGTCTCGGCGGTCTACACTAGGTATGTAGGTATGTACTCTTCGAACGGATACAAGCTTGGGCTAGAAGGCTACACCACACTGCGGCTATTCACATTAGGCATGGAAAACACTCGATTCGTTTAAGCCTCATGCGTCGCGCCGCAGGGTGAGTGTTACTGTCCTGCAAGTTGTCGAGTCATGGTTTGGATTCTGGGCCGAGCACCTTCTTATGCCCCCAATCAAACATTTGCCTTCGCGAGGTCTAGGTATCCGTATGTCCAATAACCTTTGTGCAACGACGACTGAAATTGCCGTCCATTGTCTCAGGACACCTACCTAAAAGGTATTGTTTGCTTTTAACACTCGACCATGGATCAGCGATCTCCTGCGCACATGCAGCTCCCCACACCATGCTTCATTTTGCTATAAAAAATTGGTTTATTTTTTAATCTGTAGATTTCGTTTGTATCGCCAATTCCGCCGCCCGGCCCACCGGGACTCACTGGTGGACCGGGGGCCGTTCGTTGTTTGATCCAAGAAAAAGCAAGCGTTATGTCGATGCCTCATCTACTATGTGGAAACGGCTCATCCACTCTCAAAAGTACAATCCAGTCGTGCAGCCAAAGCCTCATGGAGAGGAATGGGGTTGGCCCTCGGACACGAGCCGGACATGGTCCATTCGTCACCCTACCTAGTCTTCCATCAGAGCAGCCAGTTCAGCCTCTTCCTCGGCAGTCAACAAGCCGTCGCCATCTCCACTCTCCTTCTTCATCTCCTCTCCGTTCTGTGCAGACTCCTCGGCTGCTCGTATCTTCTCCACCACGGCATCTAAAGCTGGCTTATGCAGTGGCCACGTCCTCACGGTGCAGTCGATGCCGACGCTGCACAGGACATCCGGCTGCCTTCCCGAGGGGTCCCGGAGGAGCGCAAAATCCGCAATCTCATCAAAGTGACCCACGAGGATGTAGGCCAGTTTCCCCGATGTCCTGTCCCAGATCTTGATGTCCTGGCTGAACCCTCCCGTGGCCACCCACGTATCCGTGACCACAAGCCCCTTGACGAAATCGCCGTGCTCGAACACGTCATCCGTAGTGAAGTTCCTTTCGCGCGAGAGGCATTTGGCGGTACCGTCCGCACTGGCAGTCCAGAGATCGACCTCGTCGCCGGCGACGTCGAAAAGCGCCTTGTAGACGCTCGTCTCGTGCTCTTCGATGGCAAGGCGCTCGGCGGCCCCGGGTGGTTGGTCCCGGTGCGACGGCGGCCCTTCGGTCGGGAGCAGCTCCGCGCCGTCCTGGCGGATCCGCCACCGCCGCACGAAGGGGTCGCTGCTGGTGCTGGTGAGAACGACCTCGTCCGCGTTCGAGAGCACCGGGTCGACGGCCAGCGACTGGAGGGACATCATGGTCGCGCTGGGGTCCTGTATGGTGTGCAGGCGGCGGCCGGTGGCGACGTCCCAGACCATGATCTTTTTGTCGGCGCCGCCGCTGATGAGAAGGTCGCGTTGGCCGAGCCGCGCGGTCACCACGGCCTTGACGAAGTCGGTGTGGCCTCCATCGTAGCGGCGGCCGGGTCTCCGGGTCCCTATATCCCAGGACCAGATGGTCTTGTCCCAGGAACCGGCGAAGAGGAGAGTGTTTCCAGGTCCCCCCGTGGCAACGCAGGTCACGGGCACGGTGGGACCTTGATATTTGGCCGTGATGCTTCTCGTCTTTGGTGGGGGGGAGGGTTCGTTGTCAGTTGACACTTGACTCATGATCTTGCATAATAGGGACGAACGGTTTGACAGTATAAGGGGCCTTGAGAGATACGAAGCGCCTGGGTGGGTAGTAGACTCACTTCGACATTTATCCGAGAGACTCTGCCGCCCGACTCTGCCGTAAAGATGGAATTGTACGGCTGCGCAGGATCGGGGATGACGGCAAGAACTTTGGAGGAAATGCGGATAGGATCGCCAAAGGTGTTTTCTTCCTTCTTGGCCCTCAGCTGACGTTTGGCCAGTTGTGTGCTAACACTTGGTAAGCAAAGATCATCTATAAATCCGAACTGAAATACTATGAATATACTGCTTACTCTGTCTCGAAGAAATGTTCCGGATTACTGGTCTCCATGTTGAGACTTGAGGCCTAAATGACACCGGCGTGCGTCTTTGTCGGGAGAGGTAAAAAGGAGGTGGGAGGGGTTTTGCAACGATGTTAAATGGTGAGATATTATGCCGGAAAGACGTTCTGTCCGGATGAAATAATTATTAATCTTCAGGAATACCGTTAAATAGAATATTCCGATTTATGGTGGCCTTCTTCTCGTGAGCGGTTGGGCGAGATGTTTGAAGTCTTTCCAGGAATACTGTCGCGGGGGAACTCTCAGGGCTTGACACTTAGTGACAGCTGCCATAGAGTGTAAGACTGTGGAGCACACAAACTGACGCGATCTGGACCCTGATTTAATTGATTTCTGGCCGTGACGCGTCGTGACGCGTGTCCGAGGATGACCATTGAACATGAACCAGACATCCATAACCTTCGTAACGGAACTTTGACCGGCTTCGCAATTGCCGTTCCCTCACCCTCAAGAAAATCATAAAATCACAACCTCGTATGCCCCCCGAAATCTAGGACAGAAGCATACCTGTCATGTCATCGAGCGTTCCCAAACCTCGGCCTCGGCCCGCCCACACCTCGGGCACCACGAGATGCGCCTACACGACTGACGGGAGGCGCCTCGTCACCGTGGGCTCCAACAATACCATCCGTGTCTACAAGACGGGCTTCGATGGCGAGCCAGCCAACATTGACGACTGCCAGGAGCAGAACGTCGCCGTCGCCGCCGCAGAGGACTTCTTCGTCGTCGGCTCCGAAGACGGCACCGTGAGCGTCTACTCCACCGAACTTGCCACTTTCGAGCGCTTTCTCCTCCGCACTTCCCTACCCGTCCGCGACGTGGCCTTGTCCCCCGACCGACAATGGTGCGCCGTTGCCAGCGATGAGCTCACAGTCAAGATTGTCGGCACCCAGGACAACGGCCAAGTCCGTACCCTCAAGGACCATGGCCGCCCGGCCAAACACGTCGCCTTCGATCCCAAGGGCGGCATGCTTGCCGTCTCGTGTACCGATGGCATCATATACATCTACTCGCTGACGGCTGACGTGCCGGAACTGATACACAAGGTTGACGGGCTCGTCGGGTCGCTGGATACCGACTCGGACATCTCCGCCAAGGTCGCCTGGCACCCGGACGGCCGCGCCTTCGCCGCTCCCTCCCCGATCCATAACATCCAGGTCGTGTCCAAGAACGACTGGGAGAAGCAGAGGGTTTTTGCCAACGGGCATTTGGGTCATGTCACTGCCCTGGCGTGGTCGCCTAATGGTGCCATGCTCGCGACGGCCGCCAAGGACGGCAAAATTCTGATCTGGGAGACCAAGACCCAGAGCGTCATCCAGAAAGCCGACTATGGCAATGTCATCGATATTTCCTGGCACCCTACAGATAATCTCATATCCTTCACCACCTCGGACGGCGAGGTCTACATCTGCCCCCAATTCGTCAACGAGCAGTTTGCCTCTCTCGTCAAGCTCCCGAAACAGCCCGCTCCTTTCATCCACGACCCCTTGGAGGAGATTTCCACCATCCGTCGTCCCCTCCAGGCCGACCGGAACGGTATTCCCGCACGACCGCGCCGGGTATCTCTCGGCAGCCTCGATTCATTTTTGAATGGCGACGACGACGACAGGGACGGCCACGGGGCTCTAGGCCTGGATGGTGACGACCTGGACGATTTCGTGGTCGACGACGACGGCGCAGGCTACACGACAGGCAGGAAAAGGCCCCTTGGCGACACCGACCCCTTCGACGACGGCGCATACGGGGACCCGGCAGCGAAACGCCGCCGCCATCTTCTGCTCAACTCGCGCTACCACGAGCCCTTCCAGCCGGGCTCGACCCCCTGGCGCGGCAACCGCAAGTACCTCTGCCTCAATCTCATCGGCTTCGTTTGGACCGTCGACCAGGACGGCCACAACACCGTCACCGTCGAGTTTTACGACCGCGAGCGCCACCGCGACTTCCACTTCACCGACACCTTCCTCTACGACAAGGCCTGTCTGACCGAGCACGGCGCCCTCTTCGCCTGCCCCCCCCGCGACGAGCCAGGCAGCGAGGGGAGCATTGGCCGACACGTCCCGGCCACCCTCTTCTACCGTCCGCACGAGACCTGGACCCAGCGTCACGACTGGCGCACCGAGTTGCCCAAGGGCGAGGCCGTCCTCGCCATGTCGCTCAGCGACTCCTTCATCACCGTCACCACCACTGCCGGTTACGTCCGGGTCTACAGCCTGTTCGGTCTCCCTTACCGCGTCTACCGTCCCAAGAGCTCCCCCATGGTCACCTGCGCCAGCTGGAAAGACTACGTCATGACCGTCGGTAACGGGCCCCTGGGCGCCGATGGCAAGGCCCGGCTCCTCTACTCCATCCAGAACGTCAAGACGGACGTCATCTGCCAGAATGAGGACACTGTAGCCTTACCCGAGGGTGTTGCTCTTAAGAGCCTCTTCTGGTCCGACAGGGGGGTACGTAGGAACATAAAAAATAACAATAAAAAGGGGGGGAGAGGGGGAGAAAAGAAACCCCCCTATTTCTCTGCTTTCATTCGTTGAGGAGAGGATTGACTAACAGCCCGTTTTACTAGGATCCCTGCATCTACGACACGACCGGCACTCTCCTGACTCTCCTTCACTGGCGCCAACCCTCACGCGCCTCATGGGTCCCGCTCCTTGATACCAAGCTCCTCCCCCGACTCGCCTCAGGCCGCAAATCTGAATCGTACTACCCCATCGCCGTGGCCGACGCCAAGTTCCACTGCATCATTCTCAAAGGCGGCGACCATTACCCTTACTTCCCCCGCCCCCTCCTCTCCGAATTCGACTTTTCCGTCCCCCTCACCTCCGGCCCGCCCAAACCTCCCCGTGCACGCGAAGGCGAAGGCGAAGACGAACACGAAAGAGAAGACCCAGAGGACGACGAAGAAGACGACCCCGACGCCGCCGAAACCCGCAAGCTGGAGCAGGACTTCCTCCTGCGCACGCTGGAGGCCGCGCAACTCCGCGACGCGGTCGAAGACGACGGGGACGGCGCCAGCGGGGGGCGGCACTCGCAACGCTCGGCCCTGGCGCGGCTCGAGCTCGAGCTCGACAAGACGCTTCTGCAGCTGTTGGCGGCCGAGTGCCGTGCCGGCGAGGAACGCGGCATGCGAGCCCTCGAGATGGTCGCCCTCATGCGGGACCGCTCCGGCCGCATGGCGCAGGCTGCTGTCAAGGTGGCCGAGCGCTATGGGCGGACCTTACTTGGGGAGAAGATCCGTGAGATTGGTGAACGGAGGGCAGCCGGTGTGGACATGGATCAGGATTGGTAAGGGGCTGGTGAACGTTTGGGGGAGGGTAGGTCATGACCATTTGGGGAGCGTTTGTTCCTTTGCATCTGCCTGCTGCATGTTTGGATCAAGCGCAGAGACAATGTGCTGTTTTATGAGGTACTCTGGCAAACAGACCAGCATGTTCCGGTCCACGGCGTTCTTTGGTTTGCTTTATTTTTCCTTTTCAGTCTGGCATACTAGGCGTTGGGCACCTTGCGACTGCATGTTAGGGGTCTTGGGTTTAGGGGCCTGGGGTCTGGGTCTGGGTTCTGGGTCTGGGGTTGAGATAATGTGTCGAGAAGTCTCCGACTGTATTGCCCAAGAAAATTATGAGAAGCTATTTTCCATATCGGGCGATGAGAGAGGAGAGGCTACACGTGCAACAACTTGGCCTGCGAAACTGCAGCCGTCCCTGACAGTCGACCATAAGCTGATTATACCAGCCGGAGTGGGTGTGCGAGACCCGGAGGCAGAGCGGGCTTTTGACGCCTGGCGCTGTTTACGGCTCCTAGAATCTCCCCGAGCATCAACAGTTCAGTTGTTTCCGAGAATAGGGCACATATAGAAGCCAATTCCGAAAACTGCTCATGCCCAGCCCTCGTTTCCTCGTTTCTTTCATCTCGGAATTGATGATGGTGGTAGGCCTCTTAAGATGACACGAAGAAGCGTGGTTATGACATGCTTCTTGGCCTTTTGACTTTGTTCTTTTATTCTTTTACTAAAAGCATAGTTAATGGATTGAGCATTATTATACCAACGCTGTTCCGAAATACCAGTATTCTCCCTGCCCATCCCGTTGCGTATGATGTTACACGGATCCTGTGGTGTCCTAGCACAGTAATATCCCATAAGCCTGCACAAGACAGCCAGATATGGAGCGGCATCGCGAGGTTGAACGGTTCCAACATATCTAGGGTGCCCTTGCGGCTGGGCCTGGCCCGCTGGTGTATGTTGAGAATTCCAAACTCCCATCCAGCCTCCGCACACCCCCAAGTCTTATTGCCCCAAAACCTATTGTTCCCACGAGCTGACGCCGTAAAACTCCGTCACTTTGTTAAACTCCGTCGCTGGTGGCACAAACCAGGCCAGTAGGCCAGTATAAAAACACGAGAAAGATAAATATAGGTGTTGGGGGTATAATCAGTAGCTGAAGTCGACATGACCCATCTGCGGTATCGCCTTGTTGTTTTCTGACGAAGAATTAGAAGTCTCGGAATTCCCTGCGGTGCTTGTTGCCGTCGCCAAGCCCGCATCTGTTGATTGCGTTGTTGCAGCAGATGCTGTGGGCTGCAATTCGTTCCCCGCCGGCGGTTGTCCACTCGGCGACCACCCCTCGTCCAAGATCTGTTGGAAGCTCCAGCTGGGTTCGAAGCGCGTGCTGTTCCACGCGTAATCGACACGCTCATACATTTCGTCAATCTGTTCCAGGCTGACCTTGCTGGTCTCGTATACCATACACCAGACGTAGAAGACAGCAAGGATGCAGAAGGCGCCCCAGAGAAAGAAGATCTTAGGGCCGATGTTGCCGTACCCGGGACCGGGGTCCACCATGTACGGCGTACCATAAGCAATGGCGAAATTGAGGATCCAGTTGGAGAAGGTGGAGATGGACATGGCTTTGGCTCTGATCTTGAGGGGATATATCTCGGATGTTACGACCCATGCCACAGGACCCCATGATGCTGCGAAGAAGAAAATATTAATGGCGCAGAAGACGATGAGGATGAGTTGAGCGGCTCGCTCGAGGTGGTCGCCGGCGGCGGCGGAAAAGGATGCTATTAACAGTTGGCAGATGGCCATGCCGATGGCACCGACGATGAGCAACTTGCGCCGCCCCCATGTTTCGATGACCAAGAGACCTGGGATCGTCGAGACAACGTTGATAATATGGAGGATGAGAGACTTCAGGTAAGGGTCTTCGATGCGGACGCCATCGAAGAAGGTCGTGCTGTAGTACATGATGAAATTGATTCCCGTCAGTTGCTGCAGCATTTGCAACCCGCAGCCGGTGAGTGTACGGCGGCCCAGGTGAGGAGAGCCGCAGAAGACATCTTTGTACGTGGCCGGGCCCAAAGAGAGCTCATACTCGTGATTGGCCACGATCTCTTGTAGCTCGTCAATGAGAGCCGGATGGGTGATATCGAGGCGCCGCAGCCGGCTAAGGGAGAGGCCTGCCGCTTCCGGCCTCCCTCGCTTGACAAGATAGCGAGGTGTTTCGGGCAGGACGAGAAGCCCAAGAGAGAGGATGACAGCCCAGATCAGTTGCAAGCCGAGTGGTATCCGATAGGCAGCTGCAGTCACCATATGTTCGGTCAGGATGTTCACAGTGGACGCTGCAAGAAGTCCAAGGGTGATGGAGAGCTGGTAGGCGCAAACGAGAGTGCCTCTTATCCATTTTGGAGCCATCTCAGATTGATATAATGGGACGAGGAGGGAGATGGCGCCCACGCCGACACCAGCAAAGAATCTAAGAGTAATAGTCCGTTAGTACCAAGCGGGTCCGACCCAGGAAGGGGGAAACCAGGCTGTGGGGAAGAACGGCCTACCTCCCAACAAGGAGCATCGGAATGTTCGTTGCACAGACTTGGAAGATGCCGCCAAAGGAGAATACGCCAACAGAGGCGATGAGAGACAGACGACGACCAATCGAGTCGGCGCAAGGAGCACCAAGAAGGGCACCGAGGGCAGTGCCGGCGCTGAGAATAGCAACTATGATGGAGGACTGGTCGGGGGTAATTATGTAGTTGCCGTTGGCGTCCGGTTCGTGGGTCGCGAAATCGCGTCGAAAGGCCGGCATGGCGAGAATGCCGTTGATCGTCCTATATGAGGGTTCAAGAAACCTGTCAGCCCACAGAGTCCCCCCTCACGGGCTAGACCTCGCATTCGCGGTTTCCCATAATCTCAACGTCGCATTCGGCCCTCTCCTTTCCCTCTCCTCCGGCTATTTCTTCTCCTTCTATTCCTCTTTCTCTTCCTCCTCCTCCTCCTCCTCCTCTGTTCTCTCTTCTCTCTTCTCTCCCTCTGCCGGCAACACCCAGATAGGTCCACAAGAGAAGCATGACAAGGGTGAAATAGACGATTGGCAAGAACGCCAGCTTACCCCGTGTCATAACCAAAGAGCAGGCCGCCGGAAGCAACGAAAAGGCCGACCATGATGGCCGGGGCTGACGAGCCGGCTACATTGTCCGGCTTCTGCCAGCCCATGGCAATCGCCATGGTGAAAAGGGCGGGCGACGTCGATCCAGGGTGTTCCGTCGTGAGTTTTGTTTAGTCGAAATCTCCAGGGACGAGAGTGACGGCCGAGGGTTGTGGACGTCGCTTCCGATTGACAACCATTTGACTGACTGGCAGATCAAGGGCCTGGCTGGTTGTCGACAGGTGGGAACGGTGGGAAGTTGGAAACAAAAGTGATGGGATGGAGACTGGACGAAACGCACGGGGTGTGGGTAAAGGTAAAGACAGGAGGAATGGGGCCCTTGGTCTTGGGTTTCTTATGGGCCAGGTGAGCCATGAGTGGACAAAACGGTCTGTAAAGTACCTTACACTGTACCTACCTAGGTAGGTACCTATGTAACAGGCCCTGTCTGTCGTGTCCTCACAGCTTGGCAGTACTTCGTACCTGCAAGCTACCTACCATCCCTCGGTGTACATGAATATATCTGCACATAAGGCACCTAAGGTAAGGTTCCTGAGTCAAGTTATGTCAGTATGGTTAAGTTCTAAATTCCAATCCTACATGAATTATTGGGGTGAATTTATCTTTGATACGGAGATTAGGAGGAAATAGTTGGAACAGAACACATAACATACAGTGCCGTACTTCAACTGATCCGGTACTGATTCAGGTACCTACGAAGTACCTTGTGATGGAGACTACTTTCCGTACCGAGTAAGTGTCAAAAGTTACTGTTCCTTCGGGTACTTCGTGCACTGACTCCCCGGCCGCCTGGAGCGTCAGTGCTCGGGATTGGTTACACCCGGAGCTTTCCCCACGAAGCCCACTGGTGACCGGGGAAGGTCCCTGGGGCAAGAGGGGGAAACCAAGGTTTTTTTCCCCTGGGGGGGGGGGGCCGGGGAGGCCCTTCAACTGCCATGCGATGGCGACCTCCGCGAATCAAAAGCTGCACTGCAATGGGCATGGCGCATCCCTTCCTTCATCCTTTGTCGGTTAGGTAGGTGGCCGAAAAGATGGCAGACATCCCCCTGTCCTGGTGCTTTACAATGTACGAAATGAAATGCGTGTGACCGTTCAGACAGAATCACCTCGGTTGGTAATTTGTCTCTCTACCTGAAAGTCCTATGTTCGATCCGGGGCTCTGGTCTAACTTTTGTGCTTTCTATAGAAGATTAGCATGGCCCTTAATTTACACAAAGGATGACACGCTCAATCAGAGAGAAGCTACATTCTTTCGCCCTTGGGGTATTTTCTGCATGTCTTCGGGTCAGTACATCGTAAACTTTATACCCTGGAGAACTTTCTTGGTTCCTGGAGTCAAGTGACTCGACGAGTCGAGGTAATACGTGGAAAGGGAGGCTGGCGGCGTCGACGCCAGTGACAGCTGCAGCACCAGCCCAATAATGGAATCCAGGACGGGACTGCCCGGCGCCTTTACCTACTCTCACCCGAGCCGGCTGTACCGTAGTGGTATGACGCTTCTGGATGCTATCGTCCTCGAGAAGGAGGGTGATGCCGATAACGTGGTGACAGTCCTCCAGGAACAACGGGGGGGGTTTATTCGAAATACCACAGATATTATCCATCCGCCAGGCTGAAGGGCGAGTCGAAGCGAGTCGAACGGCAGAGCAGGCCCATGTAGCAGAAATGCCGGCGAAGAGGAAATGAGGCGTCTGATAGCGCGTCCCGTTCCAGGGTGAAGACCGACAGCAGGCATGGCAGAGCGAGCTGCTTCTACCTGGAGTTGCGACGATGAGTGTCGGCTTGATATTACCATCGATTCGTCTCATATATCGGCTGCTCCCGACTAAAGTGTGGCGTACGTGAAGGGGGAATGCTTGCTTTGAGCCTCGAAGGTATTCGTAGTATGCGGGGAGAGAGACCAGAAGACAGGACCTTTAACTCCGTACACCATGTCGTCCCGCCCGAGTGTCTGCGAGCTTGCCCTCCTAAGATATCATATTTTTGACGTACGAGTACATACGGAGTACCTACCCATCCATCTTATGAGGTCAAGAGACCAGACGAGTTAGTGGTTGGATGGGTTCCGAGACAATGGAATTTACACTACAACGTACTCCATCGCCCGGAACACAAAGGCCTCACCGGACACCAACAAATCACCATGCCCTTCGTGGACTTTGTACTACCCCGCAAAAAAAGAGGATTACCACCTCGATCGAGTCTTATTAGTGAATTGTAACAGGGGTGTGGAGTACAAGGTATTGATTGTCTGCCCCATTCGCCATTCGAAGCCTGGTGATGAACAAGTTTCAAAGTATCGTAGCTTCGCGACGGTGAGCGCCTCAACAAACCGCGCCCCGAATATCTGTACGTACGGATCGCAATACCTTTGGCGTCCGATAGGATCACAGCGCTTACGAAGTACATTCTCAGCCGTCTGTCGATGAATGCACACCGCAACATAAGGTAGTCATGTTTGACAGTCAAGGATGCTGCTCCTTAGCTTAGCTGGGATACTCATGCCTCTAGCGTGACCATGCTTCCGTGTCAATGCCCAGTGATATCGATATCTGCAAAGTTGATACGTTGGAGGAAATTGGTGGCGGTCTCTCTGACATCTGCCACCTCCCCAGCCGATGTTAACCTCTGAGTCCAAAACAGGGGAGCTCGCCCTTCAAACGGCTTCAAGAAATGCGTGCCTCGAACGCGCCACGTATGCAAGACTAGCTAGGTAGCCTAACCGTGATTCCCTGTTTTAGTTTGCACTCATCTACGGAATAATTAAGCATCGGACGTCCGACCTGTGATCATCACGAGGGAGTTCATGGCATGGCACTGACCGACCCAGACATGCAGGACACCGAAACTTAAGCTACGAAACGCTACATTGCATGAGCACATGTCCTCCAGCCTTGGACCCCGATCCGTCAACTCGGGTTCAACATGGTTCCTCGGCCATCGTTCGGCACTAAATGCCAATCAATGGTTTCCTTCTGATAATTTTTCACCCTCCCGCGCCTCCACCTTTCAGTCTTCATGATGGCTGTCTGTTCTTGTCCGTAAGAAAAAAATACAGACATATAGTAGGGGATCCCTATAGTAGTCGTCGTCTGAAGTTGGTCGCGAAAGTGAACCTCGTCTTCTCTGCACACGTCAATGAAAACCTAGAGGGAAATACCAAGCAACCCTTCGTATTGTGTTTTATTTTATTCAGCTAAAGACGGTAGTCGTTTCAACGACTATCTGTCATTCGAAAAGAACAGCTTATGTCATAGAGATACTGTTGGGATGCCCCCAGTAGCGGAATTCACCCTCGGATATCTCTTTTTGGATTTGTTGGCCTACTCCTCAGCATTTCCTTGATAGCCGTCGACGCTTGCCTATGATAATTGACTACGGACTTTATTTGCAGGCTAAATACGTCGGTCTAGAGGACTCAAGACACAAGTTACAATAGTCGCAACGACCTGGTTTCCTCCTCTGAAAACGGAAAATGAAGCGTTGGAATACAACGAAGTCGCATGAAGCAGTTGAGGTCTGAAGAAGCCCGTAGACAACCGTGTCCAAATACATATTTAAGTCAATGGATAGAATGCCACGATGCGCTCCATTAGCGTTGGGACAGCAGTCTGAGGGCAGTTCTCTGGCTCAGTGGTAGAAAATAAGACGACTCTTGGAAGTGTAACCCAGGATTCCTCAGAAGAATCTGCTCAATGGTATTTCTCGAGGCAAATGGCTCGTTCAGCACAGTAGCACCCTATAGATGTCAAAATCGAGAAGCAATTGAGGGGGAAAAAAGGAAAGGAAAAGATTAAAGAAACAAGACAAAGTTTGGCTGGAAACTCAAGAAAAATATTTATCACGTAACCCTATACCAATACATTGGACGCAAAGTACGCAGAAGCCCAAGCCTTGGATGCGTCGCTGACTTCCTTCCCCCTTTGTTAAGACTCGTTAACAGGTATCTTTATGCTCCCCCCTTTTTCCAACTTCATGCTGTCCCCATCATCCCGTCCATCTCGCATTGCAACTTAGATCTCAAGAGTTGGTTTTTGTCCCTTTACGCGGCCGATGACCTGGTTCGGAGAGTACTTGGGGATAACCTCGTCGTCGTGTAGCATCTCAAACTCCTCGGTGGCGTCACGGCCCATGAAGTTCATAATGGCCTGCGGACCACCGGGGTGCTCGTCCAACCAGTTGGTAAGGTCCAAGACGACACCCTTCACGACGACCCAGAGGTCATCCTTCTTGTTGTGCTTGGCCACTTCCTCCATGGTGTACTCCTTCTCGGGGATCGTGAACTTCTTAGGGTCGTTGGGCTTGTCGGCCTTCTCAGGCGCAGGCCCCGTGGATGCAGAGGTCTGCTGCTGAGGAACAACGCCGGACCCACTGACATCGGACCAGTCGACGGTCACACGGCCGGGCTTGGAGGGATCCAGGTGCAAGGAGATCTGGCCCAAGCGAGCTGCTGCGCCAGCGCTGCCGCTAAGGGCCTTCTGGAACAGATAATTGCTGGCCGAGTCACCAGCCACACGACCGTAGACGACGCAGCCCAGAAGGGACGAGCCACCCAGCCGATTAGCACCGTGCACCCCGCCAGCAAGCTCACCGCAGGCAAACAGACCATCGAACGGCTTCTTCTCGCTGTTCAAGACCTGGGACTTATCGTTGATCTCAATACCGCCCATGGTGAAGTGTAGGACGGGCTCCATGAGAGCAACGTGGAAGGTGTCGCTAATGTCGAACGGCATGTTGTGGAAGAACTTCTTACCCCAGGGGTCTTTTTGCTTGCCATCAGCAATGGCATTATAGGTCTGGAAAGTCTTCTGGAGGTGTTCGGGTTTGCATCCAATCTCCTTGGCAAGCTCCTCGCCAGTCATCTTCTTCATAAGGCCACGTCCGGAATAGTGGCGGGTATGGAAGTCGAGGGTGTTGGAGGCTTTGGAATTGAGGATGAGGCGGATAGGGAACTTGTTCTTGTCCTTCTCCTTCCACATCATGCCAGAGACGTAGTCACGGTGACCCAGCTCGTCGCAGAAGCGGTCGCCATCAGCGTTAAGGAGGATACCACCTTCGCCACGCAGGGCCTCGGCAGCGAGGAACTTCCACTTCGAGCCCGGGTCCTTAGGGTCAACAAGACCAGTTGGGTGAACCTGAACCTTGTCCATATCGATAGCATTGCCGCCGATGGCCATCACCATCTTCTGGCCATCGCCAGTGGCGTGGGAACCATTTGTGGTAGCGAGGCCGTAAGTATCCGGCCTGTGTTGCTTCAGCAGAGAAGAATCGGTGAAATCGGCGGCGTAACCACCCGTGGCCAATATGACGGGACCTTCGAGAGACTGTTCCTCGCCATTATGCTCGTACTTGACGCCAGTGACAGTGTTGCCGTCCTTGTTGAGACCGGTAACGCGAGCCTTCTTGATGATCTGGACACGGTGGGGCTCGGTCTCGGCCAATTCCTCGAGCCTCTGCATCAAGGCATAGGTGATGGCCATGCCAGGGAACTTGGCATCATGGCCGCGATGGGTTCGCGGTTGAGAGTGGCCACTGTAGAAGACCTGTTAGAAAGGACGTGGGCATGGGAAAAGAGTGCGTATCTCTTTCTGAAGGATGGGCGGTCTGGGAGGTAACAAGGCGGAGAAATCATGGGAGATTGTACGTACCCGAGCCGGGAAACAAGGGTAAGATCTAGGTTGAAGACATCCTGCAACCATTCCACAGCGGCGGCGGACTTGTATGTGAGCACCTTGATCAGGTCGGGCCGAGCCTTGTCACGGGCGGACTTGAGAGTATCGTCGTAAAACTGCTTGACACTGTCGGGAATGCCATGTTCGACCTGGGTTCGCGTCAAGGCGCCGTTGATGCCGGACGTAGCCTTTGTGGAGTTGCCGCCGAAGAAGCCTTAGGTGGGGGCAAATTACTCGTCAGCAAAGCTTTCGCAGATGGCCCGAGGTGACCCGGGATGGCAGTACAAGCCGAAGACTCACCTTGCTTGTCTAGCACGACAACATTGCCTCCAGCGAGATAGATAGTGTGGGCAGCGCTCAAGCCGGACACTGGTGGAAGAAAGCGGACAAGTTAGCTAGGAGGTTTGAGTGAGAGGGAGAGAAAGCTGCCCATGACGACATGCGCCCTGTCACATGGGGAAGGTCGCATAGGCAGCAGGAAGTCACTTACAGCCACCGCCAACGACAATGACCCTGGGCGCCATGTTGAATTTAATGTGAAGAAACGACGATGAGAAAATTGGATAAGGGTGGGAGGAAGGAGGAAGAAGGAAAAACAAGAGTAGAGGGGGGATAGGCTGAATGTGTGGAAGATTCGAAGTTGTACACTAGGAATTGGGAGGAGAGCTTTAAGAGAGAGGTGGAACGGCCCAGCGTGGAATGCGACTCTCCCTGTTCGCCGAGGAACATGGACATATACCTCTGTGTATATGTATGGGGGGGCTAACAGCCGCTGACGGCGAGTCGTGCTTTTATGGACCGAGCCGAGGTCATAGGCGTGAGCTTGCCCCACAAGGTGGGGCGAAACGTGGGAAGTCGTCGGGGTTGGCCTGCACAATTGCTCCAGACACCTGTTACCACCTGAAGGGAACTGAACAATGCCGAATTCGGTCTTGTGACTTTACCGGGGCGCTACCCAATCCAGCCAATCTCCCACGATGCAATTGTCATGACCACTTTTAGTACGAAGAACTAAGGGATTTGTTGACGGTAACGGATGAATGCAAGGTAGGTTGTTGATGTTCTTATTCCTTGAGCGATACGATATTGTTTTTCGAAGCTCGAGATTCTTCTTGCTTGAGTGTACGGATATTATTTTAGCTGATGTAAGGAACACGTACCTCCCTTATGATTCCCTCGCTTCTGAGTTGTTGCGAAGTCCCGACAACTTGACGTGACCAACTTCGCCTCGCCGTTTGATAAACCGAAGTTGAGTGGGGACGGATTTCTTACATCTCAACGGCCCCTATGCTTCGTACGATACTCAACTCCCGCCTAGTACGCTATGTCAAAGGAGGCGCCGGCTAGTAAAGATCCAAGCAACTGCATGCCGAAGTCCAAGTTCAGTTGATACGGAGTAGAGGTCTCATTATTCAACTCGGTTCTCAAGAACATGGGTGACTTGGCCTTTCGGATGTGCCAATTACCATATGCTTTGTACGAGCATTGCGAAGTACCCGCAGTATGTTGTACCTACCTAGGTATATTGCTAGACCCACATCGAACTCCGCACCACAATGGGTACAAGTACTGTAGCTTTTAGCATGTGATTACCGGATGTCAGCTGGATCAGAAGTCAGCTGATGACTCGTCCAACGCCTTGGGGGATGGGAGAACGCCTTCTGGGTCACTTTTAACCTCATCTCGCTCTGACTCCTGTGCCTGGCTCTGCACGTTTTGCATGTGATAGCTTTAGACATCATCCGCTCACTCCGAATCGGATAGTTCTGAACACTTGAATGAACGACCGCTCCGGTCGGCTCAGGGGTCCCGTGTAGAACAAGGGTCTGGTTACGGATAGTCAATTTGCCCACGCCAGCATTCATAGACAAGATGGACTGTGTTTGCCTTCCGCCTGAGATGCGCGATAATAAGGAGTACGGAGAATGGCGTACCGGTACGATTACCCGTTCACCTCCGAACTCGATGTGTGTGGCTTTCAGACTACCTACCTACGTTAGGTGGGCATGTGGCTGATTGGGGCTGTGTGACAGTAAATGACGTGGGGTTACAGCATTAATCCATGTGTTGGTGTTGGCAGACCCCTTTTCGGGTCTAGGTCGGCCCCGTTTTCAGACCCGCAGAACCCCCGTTAGAGGTACCGACACCGGAGACCATTTGTACTTCGCACAGTACTATGGACTTATAAGAGCATCAAGGCTAAACTTTGTAATAAACACGATCAATTGGACACTAAAGTACCGAATCCTGAATTCTTGCGCAACTAGAAGAAGTGTCGCAGCACTTGGGAGTTTGCGAAGTGAATGTAAAGAGTGTTCTCATCCATGACCAAGTTCGAAATCTCAACATTGCCCTCATACACGTCTGTCCACCTAGGCGAGACGCTGCCATTGTAGCGCCACACTGCATACTGATGCCACTGAAAGAGATGCTGGCCGCCAGCGACAATCCCCTTTGTGTCACTGTTGTCGTCAATCTGAGTCCAGGAGATCCCGCCATTGTACCGGTAGACACTGCCATTCTTGTGAATCTGGTAGACACGGCCGTGGGCAACAGTCAGGCTGGTTGAGTTGCGATTGTCATCGATTTGCGGCCAGGAAGCCCCGTCGCGGCGGTAGATGCTCCCGTTTTTGTGCATCTGGTAGAGGGTTCCGTCCGCGGGATCAGAAAAGATGGCTGAAGTGTCTTCATTCTTGTCGATGCGCTCCCAATTATTTGTGCCGGAGAGCTTGAAGATCTGGCCGTACTTGTGCATCTGGTACAACTGGCCCCCTCCCGCGGCGATCCGAGTCGTGTCCGAGTTGTTGTCTATACATGTCCACTGCGGCGAGGACAAGCTCCATGTCCATATCTGGCCGTTGGTGTGCACCTGGTAGATTGAAGTCTGGGCCGCCACAATCTGTGTTGCGTCATAGGTGCGGTCAATCTTTTCCCAGGGGGTCCCGTCGTTGACATATCCCCTATACATATAGATTCCGTCGTATTCACGCTTGAAAAGGCCTCCATCTGCGGCTGCGATCTCGAGCAAACCGCTACCGGCGTCAAGATCATCCCATGCAGGGTGGTGAAAGGCAACGAAATCCATAAGCTTCAGCAGGTCTTTTGCGTTCGCAGGGTTCGCTGGATATAGCACGCCATTTTGGCGTAGCCAAACGACCGTTGCCAGAACCTGATAAAAGGTCAGAAACATGCAAGACTTCATCATGGGTTCTTGTGCAGACACGTACTTCTTCCTCTCTTCCGCCCACGCTCGCAGTGTTTAATACTTGTTGGGTCAAATCGGCGGTGAGGTCATCCTCGTGAAGGCTTCTATGGTGATGATCCAGTAGTTGGTGGACATGGAACGATCGACCCGTCCTCGCGAGACGATTCCCAACATTGTCTGTGGCCACATGCATCATGGGAGCCAGAAGCTCTTGGCCACTGGCAGCCGAACTCCCACCCATGAACCAGCGCGCGAGCTCAGACGATATCCCTTCACTGACAAAAGCTCCAACGAGATTGCCAGCCAGGCCGCCCAGGAGAGCACCGAGAGGACCTTCGATGCGAGTAGGTCTCCGGCTCTGGATCAAGCCTGAGGCTATGGAGATGGACCATGTTGCGATTTGACGGCAGAGCTCAAACTGCCAGTCATCTGCTGTCACCACGGCTTGGTAGGAAAGAACAATGCTCATGACTGATAGGGCTTTGCCAATCATGCCTAGCTTATCGGTGATGTCTGTTACGATCCAGTTGGCTCTGCCTGCGGCATCAATGACATTTCCGACGACCTGGCGTCACAGAAGTTGATTAGCATCTGATTATCTTACGAAGAAATTGAACTTGGAGTAGGGACAGAACAGAGAGCAAAGTAACAGACTTAGATTGACCTACCTTGGCAGCCTGCTGTGGAGTAAGCTGATCAAACGTCTTCTTGAAGACGCGTTGCGCTTTCTCGTTCAGGTACTTTTTGGTTGTGCCCCCGACAGGCTTGATGGCCTGAGCAAAGTATAAACCCCACGGGGACGACTTTGCTCGCATGTTCTCAAGCCACGTATTGCGCATATTAACGGCTTGTTGGACGGCGAGCTCATGTTGGCCGGATTGACTCCAGAGCTTCAAGATCTCGTCCGCTCCCGCGCGGACGGCCTTTGCGTATTCTTCACGCACAAAGGCGTCAGGGATCCAGTACCTACCCCAGAGAAGAGCTGTACCCTTCAGAGCAAAGAGCTGTTCTTCAATGGTTGCCCTGTCCGCTGCTGTCATCTCAACATGAGACGCGTCACCATTGCTAGAGAGCTGCGCCGTGGGCAATTTGATATACAAACCGTCCACATCTGTGCATTGGTCGAGCTCAGATGGGGTATCATCAAAACCGGTTTTCATCCATCCCAGAGTATTAAATGCAACAATGCTCCTGTTGTTTCGCGCCTCTTCAATCAGTTGCCACGTCTCCTTGCCCTCACGCCGCACGAAGTCGTGACCAGTGGAGTCAATGCCTGGCAGAAAAACGAAATCAGGCCAGCCCACGCGGACGTAGATACCCTGCCAGGGGCTTGGGAATTCCGTAGTGGATGGTGGCGGGATCCGTATGTGGCTTTTGATGTAACCAGACGTGTTGAAGCCGACCGCACTATGCATGTCCGGAGCTTTGACAGCTTTGATTAGACCAGCGACATCGTCTTTGAGATCAGTGCGATCTTTAATGTCATTGTAGCTTGAGTCCCTTTGGGCGTAGAAATTGAAGTTGCGATACTCTGTGCGAATGTAGATGCCTTCTAGCGGGCCGGGTACGCCTGGGTTCGGGCCGAATGTCAGCGGGTATTGCACTTTGTACTTGAAGAAGCCGTTGGTGTTGAAAGCGACGATTCCCTCGTTGGCATCATCATCGCTGTTGAACATTTTGTCAATCCGGCTCATGCGAGCAGAGGGCGAGACGACATCCTTGATGGGATTGCTATCACTCTTGACATCATTGCCGTACGAGTCCTTGCCTACTTGACGTAAGTGGGTGAAAGTGCAGATTTGTTAGGTCTATGAACTTGCCTTGAACAAACACCCAGCCAGGGTACTCGACTCGGACGTAGAGAGAGCTCCCGGAGCTGTAAGTGAACGTGGAGGGATCAAGGTTGTCCGAAGTCTTCATATATCCCTGTGAGTTGAAAGCGAGGATACCATTCCCAAGCTTATTGAGGGTGATTCTCTTCAAGGCATCGATACTTTGCGTGGGATAGTACGCTATGTCATTCCCGTCCAAATCATAGCCATCAAAGCGAACAAAGTCTCCATCGCGAACGCCTTGGGGAGACATTTGGGAAGCTTGATGTAAGAATCCTGAAACTTGAGGTAGAAGAAAGTTATTGAGCCTTTTGAGGAGAAGATGATGTTGGGATTGATAAAGATGCTGGTCTTCATAGGTCACGGAACGAGCCATCTAGCTGCGATAACACGGTCTATTTATATTTGGATCTGATCGGGCACGTGAAAGGAGTTTGAACCTGTTCAGTGCTATACACATAGTGTGCTAGAGTCCATAAGGTCTTTCACAGGAGCCTTCATTCTCCGCAAGCCAGGCTCTTGTGTGAGAGACCTTCTCTGTCCACACTCTTCAGCTCATGCCTGAACACAGTATCGACAGATTGCCTCACTGACAAGTGAGAAGCAACCCGTATGAATTAGTGACGGTTTCCTACCCTTACAACACTGCCGCTCGACTTTTCTCGTTGGTCGCATGAGGCCAAATGGTGTGATAATATCAGCATCACACATAGTGACGAAGAACTTCCGTGTCCTGCCAAGATGATCACAGCCTAAGTAGGAAACTTCAGCTGTGCACTGGACAAGCTGAGATAGGCCCGTGGCTAGCTGAGTGCGAAGTAATTACTTCAACGGGGACGCCGTATTCCAATTAAGACGACTACTACCCTTGGCTGCTACGTCGGAGGGGAAGGCTGCATACGCGACGAAAGCTGAATTCGGGGTTCTGTTAAACCTGCATTACGAGGGCGTAGTCGCGAAGTATTGACTAGGACGAACCTAAGAGCACTGGACTGTCTCGTGGGGAATTAGTCGTGATAGGTCGATAATAAGAGGGATTAAGGCTGTGAGCATAGAGGAATTATCGGGTCAACGGCTTCGCGTCGCGAGCTGATCGGCATTCACGCCATTGGTTCGCTTATGATAGCAGGATATTGTGGTATGGGCACACGGACCACGACGTGGCCCCTAGGGGATCCATGGCTGACTACCTACCCGGGAGGGGGGGTTTATAGGTCAGAGCTCGGACAGAGACTTTTGCTCTGACCAGAGCCAGGACAGAGGAATTTCTGTTGTAGCTATTTAAAGATTAAGGTGGTAATGGTTGTACGTTGTAAACGCGTTGAACGCGTTGGGGGTGGGGTTTATATACCGAAACTTTTGCTGACCCACTGTATATACCCACCCGGCGCCCGGGGGCTAGCGATCTAGTCACGTGATACTGACCGTCCAGTCAGGAACCGGGGCCGTCGACCCCAACATATGGGTTACATGACGACATTCGTTGGATAGTTGCGTGAAACACCAACAAGCTAGCATCCCTATTATCAACTCGTGAACGTCCAGTATCAGCAAAAGAGACAGATGCATAATCCTCCATAATGAAGCGCCTCACAACACTTTTACTACTAACTTCTTCATCTATAGTTGCAAGCCAGTTCATCTACGTGCCAAGACGGCCGACTGACGAGTCTCTCAACTCCCACCAGCCGCGCGAACAGCAGAAACCCCTCAATTTGCCTGTCATGCCTCCCTCCGACTCGAACCCCGACCCGCATCACCCACCAGCGCAGGGTACCGTCATTCTATCAGACGTCATGAGCCGCGACAAGAGCATTAACATCTTTGCCGGGCTCGCACAAGACATCGACCCTGTCACGCTCCGGCTGGATGACTCCAACAAGAACACCACTGTACTGGCTCCACTCAATTCCGCGGTCGAATCACTGCCCCGCAAACCTTGGGAAGACCCATATGAATACAATAATCTTGGAGCCGATGCGTATCAGGGCGATGAGGGTCGTGAACGAGCCAGGCGCAACCTCCGTCGCTTTGTCGAGGCACACTTGGTACCGCAGAGTCCGTGGGGGGAGAACGAGAAGGTCAAGACCATTGACGGTGACAGGGAGGTGTGGTGGGAATCTAGAGACGGCACCAAATTTGTAAGTCGGTCCCTTGTGTGCACGGGTTGATGATATCTCGTCTGTTTGGGCAGCCCGTTGACTGTTTCGCAGATTCAGCCCGACAACATCGAGGTTGTCAGTGTGGCCAGCGCAGTTGCGAATGGCGAAATCGTGAGTAATTTGACATTCGCGCATTCTATCTCAGCCGTCATCAGTATCACCCATTCAGCGCGCATCGACTAACGGCACTAGTGGATCGTTAAGGATGTCCGTAATTATTCTCAGAGGCCATGATAACTGTAGGCTAGTGCGATACGGGGGGCATAAATCGAATGGAGTTGTTGCTCGTTGTCTCCAGTTCCATGACTGATATCCTAATTATATCTGTATCAGTACGACTGTGCTCAGGATGGCTTAATTTCAAGAGACCCTGTTATTCCGACTGCACAACTTGGGAATTTTGCCCTGGTCTAGTTACGTTCCTCGCGATAACGACAAAAAAACAATGTCGACAACAATAATTATAATCAGAAAAACGATAAACATAATAACGTGGTTTAGGTGGCGATGATGATAAACATGGAGGTTGATCGTGGAGTTTCGTCGGACAACTAGTACCTTAGTCTGTAACACACATGTCCGGTATTCTTCGTTGCTAATTTGGCTGGGCGGGATTCTATCGGCAAGATCTTAATACGCGTCCAATTTCAAATCGTGTTACTGTTAGTCCTAGGAATTCATGTATATGATGGAATATCTGAGTAAAACAATGAGTAGCTTGAGCCATTTCATAAATGTAGCAGTGATGTTTCCTATAAAGCCATTCATGCCTCTTGTCGTCTCCTGCCGATTTATTGTACTGCTACGAACCGTGTATTAGTCTTACCCCCTAACACACAACCCTCTACATAGACCATCCGGCTGCTGGGATATTGAACGTGTCACTTCAAGAAGTATCGCTTACGAAGCACGCCAAACTTAGTGGACGAATGTTAAGAATCTGGCTAGGTGAATATCTGCTGTCGGCTAAATAAATCTATCACAGCCGTTTAACTGCTCGAGAGACCCCACACTCGCCCTTATACAACAGAAATACATACGGTGCCTTTTACGTACGGAGTTAGGGCCCTCTTTGCTCTAAATAGGGATATGATATCACGGCGTTAAATTGTATCACTTAATTATCACCCTCGTCGTCGTCGTCGTCGTTGGGACGTTGGAACATCAACATATATGGCCTCGTGCACTGGCCAACTCCATATGCCTGACTAAGGTGGGCACAACCACAATCATGGACATAGGTGACCTCATCCAATAGACAAGGACCCGATAAGAATGCCAAGACGCTTTTACGTTTTTGCGACCACCGAAGTCTTGCCGGCTCGCTGCCACAGGGGTTTCTATCTTTGTACGCAGACGAGTGAGCTGGGTAATAAAGGCAGCCCGGCCTCATCAATTTCCCCCCCCAAAGCGTCAGAGCTCGCCCACAATCCCGAAAGCTCCTCCGCCAACAAACCCCAACTGACCGTCGAGAACGCTGCCGCTTTCAATACTCTCCTTCTGAAAGAAACATATGTGCCTTCTCATGTAGAGGCACAGAAGCAACAAACCCTCTAGTTGTAAGTTGGTTTCGCTGGATCCGTTGCGCTCGGGTGAAGCAAAGGCTTTCCCCGTCCACAGCGCACTATCGTCAAGCACGCACTCTGGCTGTTGCTATGGCATTCTTGTCGCCACGAGGACGGTATTAGATTTCTGATATGATCGTTGCGTTAGGCGTTCGAGCTACCCGAGAATGAACGCAGAGAACATGGACGACACAGACGTGTTCGAGCGCGAGGCTGACAACCGTCGCCGCCTGGTCCAAGCCGCCGAGGACCTTGACAGGAGAGAACGAGACCAAGAAGAACGACGGCAACGGGAAGGGTTTCAGCCTGGTCCTCCACATCACAGCAACGCTGGCTCGATACCTATTCACCAGCCTGTCGCGTCGAGGCTGCCTGGGGCAATTCACACCATTCACAGTCCAGGTGGTCTGCTTGCGAACCACGGCTCCTCCGGTCCGCCCATGACTCTTGGAGCGCCCTCAGGGCCTGCCAACAACTTTGGCGGGCCCCTTCAACCGAACTCAAACCGTCCTCTCCCACACGGCGAGCCGAATAACCCGTCCCAACACCAGATGTTCGCCCCCATCCCCCACGCGACGAACCCCCCGAGCACGAGTACCGTCCCGCCAGGCGGCCCCCCTCCTGGCTTTGGGGGCTTACTCCAACCGAGGGAGCCTCACCAAGCACTACAACAGAGCCACTTTGCCGGTGGCGCTGGCCCCACCGGAAGTGGTGGCAGCGGTGCCAGCAATGGCGGCGGGCCACAAGGCGGCCAGCCTCCAACTCAAATGCAGAATAACCAAGGCCAAGGCCCTGGAGGGCTGGCCCAAGGACAACAACCGATACTGAACGTAAGTGCAACATTTCTTTATCCCAGCCCTGGCCCCACTCGATTCAGCCTCGTGGCTATCCCGATGCTTGTCGACCGGATGTCATCGCAAACGGATCGCAAGCAGAGATGAGAAAGCTATGAGTTCAATTACGTTTTCTATTCATCGGAAATCTCCGTGTCTATTGAACTCGCAGTCTACTGGCGACAATCAAGACACACAAGCCACTTGCGAGTACCCATTCAGTAGTAGCTGACTTGTGCAATTCTAGGACGCACTTACGTATCTTGATCAAGTTAAGGTCCAGTTTCACGACCAGGCGGACGTTTATAATAGGTTTTTGGACATCATGAAGGATTTTAAAAGTCAAGCGTAAGTCTTGACACTCACAACGCGCGTGAGAATCGTCCCAGCTGACTTCTTGCAGCATCGACACTCCAGGCGTGATCAATCGAGTATCAGAGCTCTTTGCCGGCCACCCCAACTTGATACAGGGCTTCAACACGTTTTTGCCACCAGGGTATCGGATTGAGTGTGGTACAGGAAGTGACCCGAACACTATTCGAGTTACGACGCCGATGGGGACTACAGTCCAGTCCATTGCAGGCAGGGGGAATCATGCTGATGGCCCGCATGCCCATCCAGGACCTGGACAGCCTCTGTTCGGTCAGCGCGGCGGAAACTGGCCGCAGCAGCCACCCCAACACAGCATTGAAAGCCCCGAGGCCGCCTTCAGCACGCCGGTGCAGAACGGCGGGGGTTTCAACAATCACCCCCAGGGGCTTGGTCCACCTTTCGACGGTCATGGTCCTGGACATCCGTCGCGCATGCCAAATCAGGCACCTGTTGGGGCGCCCGCTACAGCCGCGCCACCTCCTCGTAGCACACACACGCCAACTCCCGGTGCTGGGCCTGGGATGAACGGCAACAATGCGCAGCAGGGAGGACTGGAACGTCGGGGTCCTGTCGAGTTCAACCACGCTATAAGCTATGTCAACAAGATCAAGGTCAGTTGTCGCTTTTTTCACTTTTACTTTTCCCTTTCCCTCCCCACATTCTAACTGCTTCAACCTTCCTACATCAAATGCTGCCGCTCAAAATTTCATTGTTTTTTGGGGTATTTGTACTAAAGGGCTAACCACCCGTAGAACCGATTTCAGGACAAACCTGAAATTTACAAACAATTCCTGGAAATATTGCAGACATATCAGCGGGAACAGAAACCAATCCAGGAGGTCTACGCCCAAGTTACCACGCTCTTTCACAGTGCCCCAGATCTGTTGGAAGATTTCAAACAATTCCTCCCCGAGTCGGCCGGCCAAGCTAAAGGCACACCCGTTCGACCCAATGACGACGTCCCTGCTCCCGTAACCATGACCCTGACTCCCCAGCCGGCTGTCCGGGAGGGTCAGAAGATGCCGCCTCTTGGCAGCTTCGCGCCGCCTGCGAGCGCCAGCAAGGAGAACAGCAAGAAGCGGCCCCGGGCTGACAAGCACACACCTGCTCCTGCTCCCGCTCTCGCTGAATCTTCCGCTGCGGCGAATAACCGAGTCGTTTCAGGGCCTCCAGTACCCGCCACCACCAATAAGCGAGTCAAGCTCGCCCATAAGCCCCTTGCCACCGATGGCCTGACCATAGAGCCCTCACTGACCCCCGTCCTACCCGAGCCTATGGGCCTTTTGACTGCGACTACTACTCACCAGGAGGAGATTGCTTTTTTCGAGCGCGTCAAGAAGTTCCTTGGTAATAAGACTTCGTTCAACGAATTCCTCAAGATATGCAACCTCTTCAGCCAGAACATCATCGACCGCCAAACCGTATATCAAAAGGGCGCCGTTTTTCTGTCAGCAAACCCGGAGCTCTTGCACTTCTGGCGGATGTTTCTGGGCGTGGACCACAAGACTGAAGTGGTCAACAATCGGCCGGCACCGCCAAGTGGCAAGGTCTCTCTGAGTAACTGCCGCGGCTACGGCCCTAGCTACCGACTTCTTCCTAAGCGTGTAAGTATGGCATCTTCTGCTTCGCCGGTAGGCCTTGCTGATCTGTTCTCCCAGGAGCGCCTTAAGCCTTGCAGCGGGCGTGACGAGCTGTGCAATTCGGTACTCAACGACGATTGGGCCTCCCATCCGACTTGGGCGTCCGAAGACTCCGGTTTCGTTGCGCACCGTAAGAACGTCTTCGAGGAAGGACTGCACCGCATTGAAGAGGAGAGGCACGATTACGACTACAACATTGAGGCGAATATCAAGTGCATCCAGCTCCTTGAGCCTGTTGCCCAACAGATCAGTGTCATGACTCCTGCTGAGCGGGAGACTTTCGAGATGCCAAGTGCGCTACGTGGCTCCTCCATCCCCATCCTGAAGCGAGTCTGCAAGAAGATCTACGGTGTCGAGAAGGGTCTCGAGGTAGTGAACGACTTGTTCGCCTACCCCCTGAACGTCGTGCCAGTTGTTCTGGCGAGAATGAAGCAGAAGGACGAGGAATGGCGCTTCTCTCAGGTTGGTTTTCCACACCTGCATGTTATTTTCCGGATGCGTGTTTGCTAATGTCTGGCAGCGTGAATGGGAGAAAGTGTGGCATACCCAGACCGAGCATATGCACCTTAAAAGTTTGGATCATATGGGAATCCAAGTGAAGCAGAATGACAAGCGGACTCTTTCGGCGAAACATCTGGTCGACGCAATCAAAACGAAGCACGAGGAGCAAAGGCGGCAGCGCAGCCTCACTGGAAAGGCACCCCGTCATCAATTTGCCTGGCATTTCGATGATAAGAAAGTTATCGTTGAACTTTTGCGCTTCACGATGCTGTACGCAGTCAACAGCGGCCAGCACAGCATTCCCGAGAAGGAACGTATAGCCGATTTCTTCGAGACTTTCCTTCCTGCGTACTTCGACATTCCCGAGGACGAGTATGACGGCCAGCTTCCCAAAGTCCAGGACTCGGAGGAAGATGACACGGAGGAGGCGGTGCCTACTGAGCTTACTCATGGTCGGAGTCGCCGTAACGGTAAGAAGGCCGATCTTCTCCGCGGCGTTCTTGACCCGGGCCGGAACGGCTCCAAGCCTCGCAGCCAGAAGGAAGACAGTGCCGCCTCCGGCAGCAAGGAGACGACACCAGATGTCGGCTCGGCTAACGAGGAGGAGATGCCCGATGCCCCGAACGAGAACCGTGGCCCCGTCGTTTCAAACGAGCGCTGGCTCTCTACCGTGCCCCAACCCGTCGTCACTACGGGTGACGATTCGGTCCTCGCAGCCGATGGTGACCTGAGAGCGGACGGCTCTTTCGCTCGGCCGTGGTTCAACTTCTTCTGCAATCAAACCATCTACGTCTTCTTCAGTGTCTTGCAGACACTGTATAGGAGACTCAAAGACGTCAAGGATAGTACCGAAGATGTTTCCGCTGAGATCGCTCGTCTTAGCCGGCCCCGGGCAGCCCGAGACATTGGCTTGACGGAGAACCCAATGAACTACTTCGCGCCCGATGACGATCCGTCTACTTTCTGGCCGAAGACCGTGGAGTTGATCGAGGAATATATCGGTGGCGACATCGACGAGGTTCGCTATCAGGACGTCCTCCGCCACTACTACCTGCGTAACGGCTGGAAGCTCTACACCATTCAGGACCTGCTTAGGATACTGTGCCGACTGGCGTTGACGTGCAGCTCGACCGACTCCAAGGAGAAAACGTCGGATCTCATCCAGCACTACTTGAACAATCGGGAGAACGAGACGAATTGGCACACGGAGCTTGCAGCTAGGAAGTTTGCCGAGAAGTGTGTGAAGGATGGTGAGATGTTCGTTATCAGCTGGGTAAGCCTAATGCCCACCTCAAGTTTGCTGTCGTTGCTGCCGCCATGGATTCACTAACGTGCATTGAACCCTATAGTACCCCAGTTCGTCCGAGGCGCATGTTCGCTGGCTGCAGCGGGATGAGACCACCTTCTACATGGATGATCTAAAGCAGAAGGAGCGGTGGCAATACTATATCTCCTCGTACATGTCGGTCGAGCCCACCGAAGGCGTCCCCCGGTCGCGGCTTCAAAAGACCGTACTGGCACGGAACCTTCCTGTCGGCGAAGACAAGCTGGACGAGAGCCATATTCCAAAACCGCTGGCTTACGTCGAAGGCCTGGCGCACAAGATATGTCTGAACTCGCTCAAGATGGTGTATAAAGAAGGCACTTCCGAGTGCTTCATCTACGATCAGTCAGCGAAGGACGACGAGGCTCGCGCTCGGCGTGCCCTAGTCATTAAAGCGCACCAAAACAGGCGCAAGCAATGGATGCGGGAGAAGTACGTCCTCAACAGCAAATGGATGAAGGATATGAACCGCGCCGACGTCGAGAAGATTAACGATCAGTGGGTTCGGTGGATCGAGGATGGTGTTCCGCCTCCGGCTCCCGATGATGACGCCATGGATACCACGAAATAGACGGCTTCAAAGATCATGAGAGCCACCAATCTCACGATTCTGTTGCCCACAGGCTGAAATTGTCGGATGGGTATTTCGAGACGACCAGAAACAACTGTCGAGCACAGCCTATTCAACTTGGTCATAGAGGAACGGAGGGCAATTTGACGTGACGGAAGTCCAAAGGTGCAAAAAAGGAGGGATGATAATACCATGGCATTGTCTGAGGCTCCTATATACCTGTTCTGTCTTCTGGCACTCGGTACAGAGGAAGCTGGCAAAAGTCATGATATACAGGGTTATACAGTGGGCAACGGCGTGCACACCTAGGGCTGTGTGCTTGGCTAGGTCTGGTACCATTGCAAGGGTTGCTTTGCTTGATGCTTTGCGTGTTGTTCTTCCCCTCTGCTGGGGATTTTCTCTTGTGTCTATCTCAAGCATGTTTGTTTTTTCTTCTTCCTCTTCTGGCCCCGAAAGGAGGCAAATCGGTCTTCTTCTCATGGCGTTTTACCGCTCCTCACAACTGGGTCTTATCGCTCAACACTGAGCCGCAAGCACAGATGACACGGTTGTCATGGACGCTGACATGACAAGACACCGGGGGGGTTAAGAGGCCTCCGTGTACAATATTTAAGACGGTTTTGCTAAGCAGCTTCTCGTACAATGAATTATGGATGCCATGTTTTAATGAGTAACTGTTCGTGATGTGCTTCTCACCTACGGCAGGGTCGCTCAGCCACAGGGATTTTGACCATGATCGGCTTGTGTAATTGACCGATTGAAAAGGAAAATTCTGTCTATTAAAAGGGACCGCAGCAGTCTACTGTTGCGTGATCTCTGGATTAGGACATCGTTTTTTTGGGGCAGTCATCGTCATGCGCCATATCATCGTTGAATCATTTATACCCGATACCCCCGTCCGGCCCAGGCATTGGACGAGAATGCCGGAATACCACGAGCTGAATAAATGACGTGGCGGGGTCGGTCATGTTCCATCCCATGTCAAATGTTTTACTCCAAGCAATGGTGCTGATGATGGAGTCCAATTATTGCAGGTTCTCAATGACAAGGGCGGAGGCACCGCCGCCGCCGTTGCAGATTCCAGCGACGCCGATCTTGCCCTTCTTCTCACGCAGGACGGTGGTCAGAGTGGTGGCAATGCGAGCGCCTGAGCAGCCAAGAGGATGGCCAATGGCAACGGAGCCGCCGAATACGTTGACCTTTTCAGGGTCGAGGCCGAGGATCTTGATGTTGGCGAGGGCGACCACCGAGAAAGCCTCGTTGATCTCGTAGTAGTCGACGTCGTCGGCGGATAGGCCGGCGTGGGCGATGGCCTTGGGGATGGCGAGGGCCGGGGCGATGGTGAAGCGCTGGGGCTCGCGAGCGGCGTCGGCCCAGCCGCGGATCTTGGCCAGGGGGGTGACGCCGAGCTCCTTGACCTTGGCCTCGGACATGAGGACAACGGCGGCGGCGCCGTCGTTGATGGGGGCGGCGTTGGGGGCGGTGATGGTGCCGCCATTGGGGACGAAGGCAGGGCGCATGGCACGGAGCTTGTCGACGTTGAGGTTCTTCACCTCGTCGTCGCGGTCAACCTTGACGGCGGGCTTGCCGCGACCGCCAGGGACCTCGATGGGGGCGATCTCGGTGGTGAAGACACCAGCCTCGGTGGCTGCCTGGGCGCGCTGGTAGGTGTTGATGGCGTAGTCGTCCTGCTGCTCGCGGGTGATGCTGTACTCCTGAGCGCACAGCTCGCCTTGCAGACCCATGTGCTCCTTCTTGCCGTAGGCATCGGTGAGACCGTCTTTCAGGACGCCGTCGACGAGGGTCTGGTCGCCATACTTGGCACCGTTGCGCAGGACGGGCAGATAGTGCGGGGTGTTGGACATGGACTCGGTACCGCCGGCGACGACGATGGAGGCGTTGCCAGTCATGATGGTCTGGGCGCCGAGGATGATGGCCTTCAGGCCCGAGGCGCAGACCTTGTTCACAGTGGTAGCAACGACGGCCTCGGAGAGGCCAGCGCCTATGGCACACTGGCGAGCAGGAGCCTGTCCAAGACTTGTAGGGAGTCAGTTTGGGTATTCGCTAGCTGGCAGGGGGACGAAGAGCGGTGTCGAAGATGGGCAGAATAAGGAGAAAGGGGAAAGTCGTACTTGGCAGAGAGAACATTTCCGAAGAAAACCTCCTCAACGTCTTTGGCCTTGATCTGGGGAACACGTTCCACCGCAGCTGCAGAGAATGGCGAGGCCTGTGTTAGCTTGGGTCGGAGAACTACTGAAGAGCGAGCGAGATAGGGGAAGGGACATGACCGTTGTGTACCTTTGATGGCATGGGAACCAAGCTGAGTGGCACTCAGGCTGGATAGAGAGCTATAACGAGGAACTGTTAGCACAGTTACACGGAAAGCAACAAACCTTGACAGATGAAGATGGGCAGGAGGAAGAAGATGAAAAAGACAGTAAAGGATACACACCCTAGGAACGAGCCCACGGGGGTCCTCGCAGCAGAGACGATGTAAACGGGAGGGAGGTTGGCCATGTTGACGGTGGCTATGTGAGGAAGTTGGAAAAGAAGTCGTGGAAGGAATTCAGAGCTGAGAAGAAGCGTCTCTGTCGGTTGAAAATGTCTGTTGTCTAGGTCTCCGACACCGCCAGTTTTGTTGAGCTCTTGTTTAAGCGGTTTGAGTGGTCCAAGTTCCTTCCTTGAGCAGTCAGTCCGCCCCTCGGAGGGGGAAGCAACGTGGGGTCGAGTACGGAGAAGTTACCCTGGACAATGCCCCTGAACCGCCCCACACGGTGAGCCACCGGCGTGGCGTTAGTGTGGCGAGCTATGTTTGTATGTCTTTCCGGCCACAAAAATTCCTAGGTGGGGCCGTGCTTACGAAGTACCTTACGACGTACCTTACGAGAGTTACTCGAACTTCTCAATAAGTGGAAAGGCTCACCAAGCTCACCAATCAGCGCATAGTTACTGATCAGCCTTGGACCCACAAAGTAACAAGGGTCTTGGAACTGCGACAGCCTTGCGTCCCATACAAAATAATCTTGTACGCAACGGTGTCGGCGTCATAGGCTCATCAGGCCAATTCGCGACGACAAACGCAGCAGGTCATCCGCGCAACGCGTTATAGTCGAGGATTCTCAGTCGCAGTCCTCCCAAGTCAAGATGGATGACCTATATGATGAGTATGCGAACTGTGTCCAGTCTCTGGGTCTGAGGATCTTTCAATCTCTAACATGTGCTGCTCTCCAGGTTCGGTAACTTCATCGGGGAAGAGGCTGGCTCTGAGGAGGCCTCGGAGAGGGGGATCGATGCGGGGGACTACGTATACGGAGATGAGGCAAGCGAAGCGCCCGGGACCACGGGCCAGGAACTCATGGAAGTAGACGGTATGTGCGACCATTGAAGAATGAAGTTGAGAAGAAGTTTCGCAGCCTTGAAGTTCTGACCTGACTCGATTTTTTTTTCTTTCTCCTCCAGATGAAGGGCCTTCAAATGCGATCATCCTCCACGAGGACAAACAATACTATCCCACGGCGCAACAAGTATACGGAGAAGAGGTGGAAGTGTTGGTTCGGGAGGAGGACGAGCAGCTACTCACGCAGCCGATCATCGCCCCCATCGAACAGAAGAAGTTCAACATCGAAGAAGCCGATCTGCCTCCCGTCTTCTTCGAACGCAGCTTTCTGACGGATTTGATGAACTTCCCCGACCAAACCCGCAACGTCGCCCTGGCCGGCCACCTCCACCATGGCAAGACGGCATTCATGGACATGCTCGTGCTCGAGACCCATGACATCTCGGAAAGGTTAGACCGGAGGACAGGGAAAAAGAAAGAGGAACAACTACGGTACACGGATATCCAAATCACCGAGCGCGAGCGAGGCCTATCCACCAAGGCTGCGCCCATGAGCCTGGTTTTGCAGAGCACCAAGGGCAAATCGCATCTCCTGAACATCCTCGACACTCCTGGCCATGTCAATTTTGTGGATGAGGTGGCCGCCAGTCTCAGACTAGTTGACGGCATCTGCTTGGTCGTCGATGTGGTGGAAGGGGTCCAGGTCAACACGGAGCAGATCATCAAGCACGCCGTGCTTGAAGACATTCCCATGACTCTGATCATCAATAAGATGGACCGTCTGATTCTCGAGCTGAAGCTGCCGCCCAAGGATGCGTACTTCAAGCTCAAGCATGTGGTTGAAGAAGTCAACACGGTCATCGAGAATACCATCCCTGGCAAGGGCGAAGCCAGACGTCTAAGTCCCGAGAAAGGCAACGTCCTCTTCGCCTGTACCAGCATGGGGTGGTGCTTCACTCTGCAGTCCTTCGCCAAGATGTACGCCAACACGTATGGAAACATTAATGCCGACGACTTCGCAAAGAGGCTATGGGGCGATGTCTACTTCAATCCCCGAAAGCGAACCTTCAGTAGGAAGCCGGTGGATGAAGGCGCAAATCGATCCTTCGTCAACTTCGTTCTTGAGCCGATTTACAAGATCTTCACGCATTCGATCAGCGACAGCCCCGAGGACCTGAAAAAGGTCCTGGCCACTCTGGGCATCTCACTGAAGCCATCGCAGTACAAGGCGGACGCCCACGTCCTGTTGAAACTCGTGTGCGAGCAGTTTTTCGGTTCCTCGACAGGCTTCGTCGACATGGTTATCCAACACATTCCGTCGCCCAGCGAAGGAGCGGAGAAGTGGATTCAAAAGTACTACACGGGGCCACTCGACACCAAGGTGGCTGAGAGCATGAAGTCCTGCAACCAAGACGGGCCCCTGGTGGTCCACGTTACCAAGCTTTTCAACACGACCGATGCCAAGAGTTTCAACTCGTTCGGTCGGGTTCTCAGCGGCACAGCACGCCCCGGCATGCAGGTCCGCGTGCTCGGTGAGGGTTATTCGCTGGACGACGAAGAAGACATGGTCATGGCAACCATCCAAGACGTCTATATTGCCGAGACGCGGTACAATATTCCGACCGATGGAGTGCCGGCCGGCAATTGGGTCCTTCTCGGCGGAGTAGACAACTCCATCGTCAAGACGGCGACAATCGTGCCTCCCAAGTTGGACGATGACGAGGACGCATACATCTTCAAGCCCATCACGCATTTTACGGAATCGGTCCTGAAGGTGGCTGTGGAGCCTGTCAATCCCTCCGAGCTGCCCAAGATGCTCGACGGCTTGCGCAAAATCCAGAAGAGCTACCCTCTCATCGTCACCAAGGTGGAAGAATCGGGAGAACATGTCATCCTGGGAACGGGGGAGCTGTACATGGACTGTGTCCTCCACGACCTGAGACGGTTATACGCCGACATGGAGATCAGGGTCTCTGACCCGGTCACCAGATTCTGCGAGACCGTGGTTGAGCAGTCGGCAACCAAGTGCTACGCCATCACGCCAAACAAGAAGAACCGAATCACAATGGTTGCCGAGCAGCTCGACAAGGGCATCTCGGAAGACATCGAGTCAGGGAAGGTCCGGATTCGTGATCCCATCCGTAAGACGGCCAATTATTTCGAAGAGAACTATGGGTGGGACAAACTGGCAGCCAGGAGCATATGGGCATTCGGCCCTGATGAGATGGGTCCAAACATATTGCAGGACGATACTTTACCGTCTGAGGTGCGCTCCTCTCTCATCACACCCCCACCCCCCTCTTTTCTTCTCCTTGTCCTTGACCTCGTCTCCCTCATGCTGTATACATCTCGCTCACATCTTAGCAGGTTGACAAAAAGCTTTTGACAACCGTCAAGGAGACAATCCGTCAGGGATTTAGCTGGGCGACTAGGGAAGGACCTCTTTGTGAAGAACGTAAGTTGCCTAAAACCCACTCTAACATTTCATGCCTTTGCCCCCCTTTCCCAGCACCCGAGCCCATGGGAAGATCTAGTTTCGTCCAAGTCAGCAGACTCGGCCTCGTACTAACCCCCCCCCTCCTTCGTTCATCGTGCGTCATTGGGGACTTGTACTAACTTGTTCCGTGTAGCCATCCGAAATACAAAGTTCAGGGTCACAGATATGACCCTAGCATCCGAAGCTATCTTCCGTGGCGGTGGTCAGATCATCCCCACCTCACGACGCGCATGTTACTCCTCGTTCTTAATGGCATCCCCTCGCCTGATGGAACCACAGTATGCCATCTCGGTCACCGGCCCTGAGGATTCGGCTACCGAAGTATACACAGCGCTAGCTCGTCGCCGTGGACACGTGTTGTCCGACGGCCCAATCCCCGGCACGCCGCTCTACCGAGTCAACGGCCTGCTTCCCGTCATTGATTCGTTCGGTTTCGAGACGGCCCTCCGGATCCAAACGCAGGGGTCCGCCATGGTGAGCCTCGTATTCGACAGCTGGAGCATTGTTCCCGGCGACCCTCTCGACAAGAACGTCGTGCTCCGCCCTCTTCAGCCTGCCAATGCCCAAGCCACAGCGCGTGACTTTGTGCTCAAGACCCGGAGGAGAAAGGGACTCAGCGAGGACGTCAGCATTGCGACATTTTTGGAGCCGGAATTTTACCAGACTCTCAAGGAAAATGGAACTCTCGGTGACTAGTTTCAGGCGTCTGAGGTAGGAAGGAATGTTTTGGGGGGTGGGGGGTTGCTTTTTGGGAGTGCGTCGGTCTTCGACGACCGGCAGTTGAAGCAGATGAAGAAATCGTAACATGTACTCCAGCTCGATTTGGGATGGCCTGATCAGGTGTCAGCAATCGTCAGGTGTGCGGATGAGGGTATGCCCACCCAGTCTGAAACTCACTTCTAGTACACGATGTGTGCCAGGGCGGCTCATCAACCCATTGTTGCTGGACAGAACACTCTTGACTTTTATTATTCACATACTAGGAGAGAACTGGGAAAGTGGACGACCAATCTGTTCACATGGACAACATCCTTTGGGCGTAGGTACGGGGGTTTAGGATGCAATTAGCAAGTAAAGGCGATCGGAATATATATTATAGTAATTTCAAGGCCCAAGATCTCTGTGGCGTGAATATCTGCCCAAGAAATTATTGCTTATCAGGCGTTATGAAGCAGGTCGAGTGTAGCACAGTCCATGCTCGCTTTACACAGCCCCTAAGCACCATTCTCCCCTTACAGTGTCTTACGTTCTGCATCCACTGCTGTGGTGCATTGGGATCAAGAGCATGGTAGCCAGATCAGTGAAATCAAACTTGGTTTTCGATTCATCATGGTGTACGGGATTTGGTTGTATTGGTAACGATCATAAATCTTCCCCAATGCTCCCACCCTTTGTTCAGGCTTCGACATATCCTTGGGAATGGCTGCCTCAGTTAACCTCCGTTTTACTTTACCCCAAAATAGCGGCGCACGCGCTAGGACTCCTTCGGCGGAGGAGGGGAAATAGGATGTAGGCCGGGTTCGATCGTGGTTCGGTGGCGTAGGTGACAGGCCGCTTTGCAATGGCATGCACATCTGGCGGGACCTTTTGTTCTTTCTGATACATGTCCAGGAACATGTCCAGCCGGCCTATGTCGGAGCCATATTTCCGGAGGCATGACATTCCATAGAGCAACAAGGTTGGCTGGGTATGGAAAAAAATAAATAATAGCGAGAAGCCCGCCGAGACAATGTTGAAGTGAACTATTATCTCGTATGCTCATGGTAACTCGTCAGTCCGGAGCTCTTCGTGAACGATCAAACGTAGGTGCCTAGCAGACCATGGCATTTAGCTAGCCAAAATTTCTACATTGAGCAGCGCCCGAGGAGCTGATCTGCCGAGCAAATGAGAGTTTTTCTTTATGATATTCCCATTCTCATTGTATAGCTGCAGAATTGAATCGTCGCCGATAAGCTTGACTGTTACGATCCAGGGCTTGCCATCGGTTGGGGCAGAGTGGCATCTGGACCATGATCCTCTACATGGTGAGGAAACGAGTGACAGGAAGACAATCAGACGCAAGTTTCGAGCATTTTGTCCAGGACTCCCCTCAAGGTTTCATTCTCCATAGCCGCGGCGACGCGCTCTTTGTCCGCGAGCTGTTTGTTGACCTGATCGTCTTGGGAGTGGGTTTTCTCCTTGATCCGGACATCGACGCGGTAGTTGGGTGGCAAAGCTTGCTCTAGGCGGACCCGGATGCCCAGGCCGATGACGGTTGCAAGAGAGCAGTGCGTGATGGTTGGCGTGACCTCGACCCGGACTGTCACCAGAGTATTCGGCTCTAATGGAGTAGAAGGGGGACGCGTGATGTAGATGTCCGGCAGGTTAACAACTGCTAGTTGGCCCAGGGAGAGCGGATGTTCTGGATCCGAGATGGTCGATATCAGATCTATCAAGATGTAAGCCAACCGGTCCGCCCAAGGAGTGGGTTTCGGCTAGACTCCATTCTTCTGCGTTACGGTTCTATAACAGAAAGTCCCCCAACAAGTGGTCGAAGCTTACCATAGATTTCCTGCTCATCGATGGGTTCTTGCGTGAGCCCATCTGTGTCATCCAGAGGACCATCGAACCAGGCAACATCGTCAGTGCCGTAGAGTGGAGATAGATAATCGGGCCTAGCCAGTATAATGTGGTCGTATTGATGTTCTATGCCGGTCTTCCCTGTGCTTCTCTTCTTATTTTGTCTCGTAGGGAGCTCGGCGTGGCTGAGAATGGTTGGGTTTGCGTTCTCGACTCCTCCGTCCATGACTGCCGCTCCTTTCTAGCTAGTCAATTCAAAAAGGATCAACTTTCTCAGCTCTTATTCGTTTTCGAATCCGGGATTGATGTGTGACTCTGCGTGTTTGTCCCCGTTTGTGGGTTGGTTTGGTCTCGTGTGGCGTCAGGGAATTTCTGTGCATTTGCTTCTTCAAAGCCATTCACCCCTCCCCCCGCATGTTGTAATATTAGTCAGCGAGGCGATGTCGCATCCGACATTCCACGACCATCTCACAATGACTAATCACTGACCGAGAATACCCGACCCTCCTTGGGGCATGAGGAGGACTACACTATCTTATGGTGACACATGGTGGCGGTCATGCCAGGACGATTACGAACAATACGAAATTACCGATAAAACCACAAGGATTGGCGGAAGGCAAGAATTACGTGTAATCAATAATTAGTCCATAGTTGACGCCCCCAATTATGCGGATCTCGTCTACATATGACGGCACTCAAGTACCCTGTCACATCTGTATTGATCAACGTACCGTGCCGGCAAGGCGGCAAAATCCGAGTCGTGATAGCAATCTCAGTCCCTCGCTCTCCACCGGGGCCTGATCTCGATAATGCGATACGCAATATGCTATCTCCGATATTTCTCATTTCTATGGTTCATGCGCTGGAGCCTGACAGCCGTAAAGATAAGTACAAACTAATTATTTCATTTCCAAGCATGGGTTCGTTCGCATGGTTCGCTAAGCTTCCTGTTAGTCGGCAGTGGGAATTAAAAAAAGGAAAGGGGGGACCCGGGCGCGCAAGTCGGTACGGATAAACACGTTGCGGTCGAGGAACCCTGGATATGGCACATACCGTACGTTGTATTCGTACGAAGTACCTAATTAGAACTTTAATGCATGGAAGCGTCCTCAGAATGTCCCAGAAGCTTTCTAGAACCAATCTTCTTCGCATCAGGTCCACGTTGCTAGCGAAACGGGCCCCCCAACGAAAGGCAGATAACCGTCTGGTTGCGGTCGGTTGAGGTGGAGATACGGTCAAGATCGGGTCCATAGGGCCGCGAATGCCGCTTCTTCGACCGGCGCGACTTCTGGAAAGGGGAAACCCTACCAACGGGAAAGCAGATCTGCCCGATCGACCCGGCAATACAAAAAAAAAGGTAAGCAGCATTGCAGGGCTTGGGACGTTGCGAATAAGGCGTGCGTTTCTGGAAAACGAACCAAGAAGTTCGATGCATGCAACCCGCAAGGTTGGGTAACTCTAAAGGAACATCGTTCAAAGACGGATGCCTTCCTTATCTTGTCTTGCTTGACCTTTTCCCGTGAGAGCAGCACCCAGGGTAAGACTTGAAATCTGGACGAACGACGGGAGCGGATCGGATGTAATTACTCCGTACATGTGACGCAGCCGTGGCTTGCGTGCAATACGGAATAATCCTACGGGTTCGCATTCACCGGCTGCAGAGGGGACAGGGAAAAGCGACGGGAAGCACTCGAGTCCGAGACGGTCTACTTGGTAACCGTGCCTGGAAAAAAAAAACAAAAAAATGAAAAATTGAGGAAAGGGAAGGAGGGTGGTTGGGGGAATGGGGCGTCCAAGTATATGGCCCGAGCGGAGAACGGGTTTTCCGGCAGATAGCGACCTTATAAGGTACGTTGTAGTTGGTCAAAATCAAGTTGACCATGCCTACCTAGGCTCGGACCCTGAACCCCCTGTCCACCCCGGCTGACTTTATCTCCATAAGACACGTTCTCTCGTGCTGCGATTGCGAAATATGAGAATAACGCCATATGCGCCGAGTACTTCCTAGATATGTACGGAAAACTCGCAGTATCCAATGTCTGTGGCAAATCTAATAGTTTTCTTTTTGTTCTTACTTCACGATTTTAATGAATTCAACGGTAACTTCCATGCAGACTTTCTCCATATGGCAGGGGTCTATGGGAGTAACCGCGAAATAGTCCGAGCCGGGTTGACGGGATGCGAGAATGCGAGAAAACGTTGGAAGATGCGAGGGGATCTGGATGCGCATGTGACGACGCGATAGAAAATACATGATGTTCGAGCCCAGACCCATCGGATCTGATCAAAGTAAACACAGACAAGACACAAACGTCAGCCGGGAGAATCAGATGTCGTCTGAAACCACCAGGGTAGCAGCTCCTGGCCGACTTGAGGGAAAAGCGTGTCGCTGGAGAGGAGCGGCGGGATGGACATGTATGCTGTGAATGACGGAAGGTGAAACATCTGTCGCCTTGTCATTTTAAGGGAAAATCATCTCACTCCTTGGGTGCAGTCATTTGATGTGCAGTGGTTTGGCATCAACTCTTCCTGGAGATTATCTATACCCGTGTTAATGAGTCCGGGTGTTCGTGTTCCGCTGGGCTGGCATCCGTCGACCTGCCTTTACCGTCGATTCCTATATCGTGTTGTTCTTCCTCTTCCTCGGCAATGTGGGTACGAAGTAAAATTTCATCTAGAGGGGGAAAATATTAAGGTAGACGACGAGAGACGAGAGGGAAGAGACTCTGACATGTGACGTATGTATATACCCTGGGCATCTAGGCTGAAGGCTCACTCCCTCAGGGGGAACGCGGAAACGGGGAAATGGGGAAGGTTGTCACACAAAGACTAGGCCTTTGTCTCCAGGTTCTATGTTCTATGTACAACGTATGTAATCCGCCCCCACCCCCCCTGAACGTATTGCCCGGTTCCATTTCGGCAGGATGTCTAGCTGCATATCAGGCGACCCAAGTGGACCCAACAGCTTCCAGTACCAGTCATCGCAGCTCATCGGCCTCGAATCCGACTGGAATCGTTATCCTCTTCAGTATTTGTACTTCGTAGGTATTCGATTTGGCTCATCCTTATTACCTCAGTTATAGGGTCATTGGGCACAGAGTATTGTATTCGTAAGAAGTAGGGTCGCATCCACGCGTCCAGTGGTACCCTAGCAGCACCCAGGGTGAGCTCTCGACCTTTCGAACACCAACACTTTGACAAATGGAGCACCGTCATCCCCGCCGCCTACGATATACGATACATGGCCCCCCCGCCCCAAACGCTCGAACGGAATTGAGTTTCGACGGCAATTCGGGTTGTCCACTTGTCGGGGCGCTCGTGACTTGCAGGTCAAGACTGTTCAACGTTGCTGGCCCGCAAGGGGACAGTGGGTACCTTAAGTAAGGTGCTTAAAGCCCGTGATGGTATAATGCCGGTCTGATGCCTAGCAGGTGTCACGAAGTAAGAATGTAGCAACTTGACGGACTCTTGGCCTCCAGGGGTAGCGGAAAAATGCGGCTTAAAGCTTCGCTGAGAACCACGAAATACCCAAAGACTGCCGTGAAAGCTGGAGGGAATGATGGGTAGTTGAGGGGAAATACATACGGCTCCCGCTTCTCCAGTCAAAAAGAAGCAAGATGACGATCCATAAGACCTATGAACACTAAATTTTGGTTCCCGACATCGTGCAGGTGCAGCGGCTGATGGACTCGTTGGTCCAGTTCATGGTTGATGGGGGAATCTCGGGGAAGAGAAAAGGATCGAAGAAGTGGAGATCGGGGTACTGGATGAGCTTGATCCACAGAGACACAGAACACACTTCCTGCTCGTGATGCAGAGGCCCGCTCTATAGCTGCGTCGCCGATCGATGCAGGACAGTAAAGGTAGGTAGGTACCTTTCCGTTTCCCCCTTGAATTTGGTTCGTTACGTTGCAACTGTGGTGGCAGAAGGGTTAGGGCACACTGGCTGCGAAGTAATTCAGGTAGGTAGACCATCCTCATGCATCATTCATCGTTTGGACATTGCGTGCCTGCGGTACTTTCCGCATAAACATAACGAGATGGACACGCCTACAAGATCATTTTAAATTAATTGCAATGGCAATTGATGATAACTTCAAGCCCAGGTCCTTTGGTTTAGGCGGCAGGCATCTTGTCTCGACAAGGATGAGATATCCTTTCAGAGATGGACAGCCAACCTGCAAAGTCGTAATGCCCCTAATTTATCTGGAGACTTTATCTGCCAATATATTGCCCATGCCCTGGAGATCCTGGTGGACGGTACTAATTGTACTTTTCAAGTACTTACCTTAGTATTGGGACGGATGCTTCGAGTCCTCTCTTAAGGTACTGGATGGGGGAAACGACACGCCGAGACTAGGTACTTATGTACAGACAAGGTACCGATGGAGGTGGCTGGATGCTCAGGAACATCCTACCCCATGCAGAGCCCCTCGTCTTAGGGCAGCCACACCACTGATGAGTTGCTCGTTACAGGCGTTGACAGGCCAGTATCTCCGATGTAGAACGCATTCGTACTTCGTACGGATACTCCGTAATACCCTAATGTTCTCGGCATTCAATACCTCAGGTACCTAAGGTACCTTAGAATTTCCCGTTCGTTACCTAAGGTACCGTATGTACGAAGTACTTCGTAGCAGGGAATTACGGGGTAGGTACCTTGGGCAATTGGCGCCTTGCCGATGGGACACCATCCACCATCGTCGCCCTTTCCTTCGGGGACTTTCTACCTTACATGGAACCAACGGTGCTGTGCTGTTGCGCCTCCTATCAGTCCGCGTTCGTTGACCCTCCTTCCTTCCTCTCTTTGATTCTCTACTCTCGTCCTACTCGGTCTCGACCATTGTCGAGTCCATTACACCCACCCCCTATGTGTCGTACTACCTTGCCTACCAGCGCCGCCTAGTTTACCCAAGCCATCTCATGTTCATGCTTCGGGTCAGCCGCTGGCCGCTCGCTGGTTGTTGGATTGCTGTCAACCTGGAAATAATACTCACTCATTCCCCTTTGCTCCCCTCATTTGGTCGTGCAACTCTGCAACTCTGCAACTCTCTCTCCCTCTCCCTCTCTCTTCCTCCACGAGGCCTTTCCGAAACGTGCTCATTGAACGGTTCTGGTGACCGATCTAACCTGCGGGGAATCTCAGCCGCCAGCCATTTCCCCCCTCTTATACTGCCAATCGCCGCCATCACCCTCGCCGTCATTGACGTCTCACGTTCTTCCTCGCCAAGTCTCACACCTTAACAGCCAGCGACCGATGCCACATCTGGGAAGAGACCCATGAACTCGAACCTCCACCGTCCTCCTCCGTTATATAATTCAAACCGGTCAGCACGCGATCACAACGGTGGTGGATACTCCCCCACAACGAGGGCGACAAGACGTACATCGTACACCATTATTTCATTCCATCACACAGATCTCTACCGATACAGATTACGGATACAAGTTAACGCTTCTGTTTATCATCTTACCTTGACTGCAACGTCGACTGCCCTCCCCACTATCATCTGAATTCTGTCTGCTGGCTGGGTTGTCCTGCTGCTGGACTTGCCGGCCCAGTCCTGGGAGGGTCCCTCTCTCGGCGCCCCCCTCTCCCCTTTTCTCTTTGCCTATACTTTGGACATACCCATCCCCCCTGTTGTCCACCATCCTTACCCCCTGCCCTTGACCATACTCGTCCGTGCGCTGTCCTGTGCTTGACGACATCTGCGGGTGAGAGGAACGACTTCCCAGTGGCGTTCTGATCAGGGTGTCACCTCCAGACATTGACCTCAAAACCGACACCCTGGTTAATCGTCAACAAGGGTACGGTACCGACCCCAAACCTTCTCTGCCCACGGCAGTCCCACGCGCTCTCTCACCAAGCTAGTTAGGTACTTACCTATTACCCCAGCCCACGCCTGTTTTTCGACGTTCTTAAAATAATTAAGAATTCCACACCCACACGCACCGCTGGACATTTCCCTCCCGGCCCCGTCTAATCGCCTTTCCTGACGGGGACTGCCAGGTCCTCCGCGTCCTCGTTTCACAGATCGCCGACAATACCGAGCCGTTCTCTTATCCGAAGCTTGGCCGACCGAGATATTGCATTGAATGTGACCGTCTCTCTTTTCGCTTCCCTGTCGCGTCCGAGGCTGCGCCATTCCTCGGTCATTATCGAGCGCCATGTCCAACGACCCTACGGAGAGGCGCATCCTGCCACAGAGCTCCCAGATGAGCTCATTCTCTTTCGCGCCGCAGCAGTACCCACAGAGGGAACCTCAGAAGAGTGCGCCGCATCTCTCGCATCCCCCGTGATCCATATTACCCCCTTCGCTTCAACTAATCGAGGATTTCTGCTGCAGATTATGTCTTCGTTGATGAGCACAACCGCCACAAGCGGCTCAAAGGTAGACCCTTCCCCACCTGGCCCTCCTCATCTTATGGCCTCCATGATCAGTTTGCGGAGGTTGGGAACTGACAGCGTATACTAGTCATGAGAGCATGCGAGGGATGCCGAAGGAGAAAGATCAAATGCGATTCGGCAACGACAAACATTTGGCCGTGCACTTCGTGTTTGCGACTCAAGCTTCAATGTGTACGCCCCAAGGGACAGTATGACGGCACGTCTGACACGACAACCTACGACACATCTTCCACTGTTACTGCTGCTGCCACCGACTTCACCAACCCGGCCCCATTGCAAGACAGCTTCCGTGTCATGCCTGTCCAGCCGCAAACGCACATGGTCTCCACTGCGACCAAGCCAGCAGAAGCACATTCCATGTATGCCGCCCACGGTGCCTATGCGGCAGGGCACCACGTCTACCAGCCCGTCCATTACACCGCGCCGGCCTCGATGGCGCCGCAGAGCATACCCTACTCAACCCCATACTCAACAGGCCAGACCTCTGTCCCAGTCATGGGAGGGCCACAGCAGTATGCGCCGCCCCAGCAACATATGCCGAGCCCGCCACATCATCAAAGCTCCAAGGGTAGCTCTCCTCCCGAGACATACTCTTCCGACGACACGTACCAGCAACAAGATCTCGCAGACTTGCTAGGATCTCTCAAGATGGATCCAGCCGGCACAGGTCAGCATTTCTTTTCTTTTTTTCTTTTATTTTTTATTTTTCCGTTGTTGCCGGAGAAGAAGTAGGTTAACGAATGTCTCGACGCAGCCCCGTATCTCAGAAACAAGGCTTCTTTTCGGCGCGAAGAAGAGCCCGCCGTCGAAGACACGGACGAGTATAGGACGGCCCTCCCTCCTTTGGTTTCGGCTCCCGGTTCGAAGATTCGGATTCCGCCGGAGCTCATGCCCGATGACGAAACCGCAAACCATTACTTTGACTTATATTTCACTCACGTGCATCCTTACGTGCCTGTCCTTTCGAAGACTCTTTTCTGCCAGCAATGGAACACGGACCGGGATAACATGTCGCCTTTGGTTCTCGAAGCAGTTTTTGCCATTGGCGGACGTTTGGCAGACGATCCTGCCCTAGGACAGCAGTGGCTGGCTCTAGCATCAAGTAAGTTACACGATCCCCTGTCCTTCCCCTTTTTTCCTCCTTCGGGCGAGTGCAAGGCGATGACTGACTTGCGGTAGAACACGCCGATTCCTTTATGGACGTGCCACGGCTGAGCACTCTGCAAGCGCTCCTGATCATGCTCAAGGCGAGAGAAGCAGCACCCAAGCGCGGGTATTACTACCGGTCGTGGATGACTATCGTGCAGTGTGTGCAAATGGGCAAAGACCTGGGGTTGGACGAACACTACGCGGATCATCAGGCGGGGCAATCGTGCGGCTCGTGTCCTATGGAATGTCAAGTGAAATGTCGGATTTGGCAGACCATCTTTGTGTGCGAGGTCATGATCGGGTCTCCTCAAGGTATGACTTTACTTCTTTGTCCCCCCCAAATTTGCCCCCGAGATTGGGAACTAGGGTCGTGGCTGATCGTGATTAGGGCGAACCGACTTGGCTGTCGATCTGGACACGGTCGACTTGAGCGTTCCCCAGCCCACAGCAGATGGGGACGAATCGGAATACCAGATAGGCCGGAGCTTCACCTACTTTACCCGTATGGTGTCTAATGTCAGCAGGTTAAACTCGACGTATGGCCGCATCAAGAAGAAGAAGGCCTGGGGCGCAGATCCAGAACTCGCTCAACTGGGTCCTGTCCTGACGAGGTGGTTGGATGAACTTCCCCCAGACTTGGCCATCACCTTCCCGCCGGACGCATCCCCGCCATGGCTCGCGTCTCCGTTTATCGGCAACATGCACTCGTACTACTACCTGACCCTCATTCTGCTCCATCGACCGCAGCTGGCGTTCGCGGATCCCAACGGCACAGATGGACGGTGGAAACACCACATGATGGTCTGTTACACGTCGGCTAAAGCTCTTTGTCGTCTACAAGAGGCGGTCCTGGAGTCGTTTGGCTACACGGGTTTGCAATGCATGCAACGCGGCTTTAGTTTTACCATCTACTGCGGGCTGACGTGCATCGTGCTTCATCTGGTGAGTGTCTTCTTGGTGTGCTGTTGTGGCAAAGGAGAAAAGAAAAAGAAAAGAAAAAGAGATAAAAACCATGAAAATGACGGCAGCTGACGAGATGTGTCTACTGATCTACAGGTAGCGGTTACTTCTCCCGACCCCGACCTGAATTGCGATGCGCGTGAGTACTTCACGCGCCATATGCGTGTTCTCGAGAAAGCCATGGCGGTATGGCCGATGGCCGAGGTACAAAAGCAGGTGGACGCTGTGCGAGAAGCGTTCTCTGCCGACATCAGGAAGCCGTTCGTCCTAAAGCCAAGCTTCCCCTACGGGAGTCCGCATGTGTCGAACCAGTCGGTATCCCCTCCGGCGCAGGCCGAGTACAAGCCGCCGTCGCATCCGGCGGAGGCTCTAGGGCACGGGCTAGATACGCAGGGCATGAATGCGCATGGTCAACAAGTCAGCTACACCAGCCACCCACTCACACCACCCATCTCAGTCGGTCCGGTGGATGCTAACAGGGACTCGCCGACCGCGCAGTCGATCGTCGTTATGCGGAACCAAGTTTCGCAAGCAGGGGATATGCCGCCGGCGATGGAAGCACCGCCGGCATGGAACCCGCAACGAATCTTTGAGTGAGTTTGACGGAGTGTTCCCCGCACCATCCCTACCCCCCCCCCAGGTGTCTTGGTTTCTTTCTTCTACGTGGCCCCTTAAGATGGTAACCTCGGATGACGACTGGTGACTAATGGAGGGAAACGTGCAGTCAGTGGAACGCTTCGTTTGGGACGCCGCAAGTGCAGCCACAGGCGGCAACAACCATGTCTTCGCAAGCCGCTGCGCTCAACGTCAACGTACCTCCGGCCGGCGGCCAGGGAAGCACTACAGCATTGCAGGGTATGCAGGGTATGCAGGGCATGCAGGGCATGCCGGTCGGATCGCAGCAGATGGCGCAGCAGCACCATCAACCCCATCAACACCAGCCGCAGTACCAGGCACCACCGGCTCGGAATTTTGTCACGCCGGCGATGTGGCAGGAGTCTGTCGCGAGCGTGTACGAGGGCGGGCTCAAACGTAGCTGGGATTACGACGGCAACTCGGCGGCGAAGCGGGCGCGTTAGGATACGGCATCTGTTCGACCGGGTCGTCTCGATGGTGTGGGATGCAGCAAATGATGCTAACCCGCTACTGGACACCACAGCAAAATCCGGCACTGCGTCTGCAGTCTCTTTAGACACGTTTGAGGGGCATGATGGCTTGTGTTTTCCCTTTTTTTCTCTTTCTTTTTCCTTTCTTTTCTTCTTTTCCTCTCTTGTTTTTATGTTTCCAATTCTGGGTCCTAGTTTCCGACGCCTCTTCCCGCCGTGGGGTTGGTGGGTTCGTTAGATTTCTTTGCTGGCTCTGTTTTTCCATCTGCACAATGGTATATGTATAAGGTACAAAAAATGGCAGGGGACGGACGAAGGGATCATGGATAGAAGCGATAGTCCTCCCATCCAGGTGGGCTAGCAGGTCTTTTTGGAAAGGCAGGCGTGGAGTTCAAGGCGTCACTTATCATGCTGAACAGACAAGCAAAATGGGGGGATAATAGGACAGGGAGGAGGCTCTCGACTCGTTGGCCTTCATTGACGAACATTCTTAGATACGACGATAATCGAGGAACGTATATATATGCACAGCATTAGGTAGGGGAGGGGGTTGGATAGAGATGTATGTGAGAACTGAGGATGAGATGCAGTGAGAGTATCTGTACAAAGTACTTTCTACCAACTGCTAGAGGGGCAAGAGATTCTTCCTTATTAACTTACAAGGTACCTAATCAACAACAGCTTTACGACGGGTTGATCGTGTTTTTCAGTACCGTTGTCCCGTTATACGTGCAGGTCCCTAACAAATTGCGAGGAGTGCGATCCTCTGTGGAAGGAAAATGCAATCACCAATTAGAACAGGTCATTGACATGTCGCAAGAGCACGTGGGTGGGCTGGGCGGTCGAATTGGTGGACGCGATTCGCTGCCATCTTGGTGATGGTCTGGGGGTACGTATCTGTACTTTCCTAAAGGCATAGATATAAGAAGGGAGAGGCCCTCCCCATCCTTATAACTGAAAGTTGCCTTTCAAATAAATTTCGTGAGAACAGAGAAGGGGTTATACGAGGGCAACGGGATGAGACGGACATTCAGTCAACCTCAAGGACTACAGGACCTAGGGTAGACTATAAGCATAGCTAGTAAGCAAGAATAGAGAGACGAGCCAAAAAGGAGCGACGCTTTTTCTTTTTCTCTATTCTTCTTTTGAAGTCGGACCCAAGACTACGAGACGGAACACTGCACAACAACAAACACAAGGAGACGAACAGCCAACACTGAATGAAACACACGACACCACGACAAATCGGCAGACGCAAGTCCGAAGGAGTTACAACGGCGGTAAGACGACTAAGGTACCCAGCCAAAAACGGACGACCACGGAGTACGAGTACTCTTCTACCTCACCACTATTAGCTACCTTACCTTACCTACCTATTATTAAGAGATCTCGGTCTGCGCTGTATCCTGGACACCCCGAATCACGCAATCGTCGACAAAACACGGGCGGATCGGCCGAATTTGCTTTTCAATCAGCATTCACACGCGCACCTCGGCCACCCTTTGCCAACGAGCAGAAAACCGTGAGAACTAGGACAAAAAGAAAAGGAGAGAAAGGAAGAAAAAAAAATCGCCTGTCATGGTCCAACGCCCGAGACCGGTTCCTGGGTTCGATGACATCGCGGGCCGGTTGTGGACTACGATCCGCGAGAACTGGTACCTTGGCTTCACCTCCTTTGGTGGACCGCCGGTGCATTTCAAGATTGTGAGTTGTTTCTTTTGTCCTTCCCTCTTTTTTTTTTTTTTTTTTTTTTCTTTGTCCTGCTTCGTAGCTCCAGTGTTCGGGGTCCGGTGTTCGGTGTCCGGTGTCGCGTGTCTTCCGGCACCTGTGCGGTGGGGGTGGTCGGCCGATGCGAACCCGCGTTCTCGGAGACTTACAGGTGAACCGCTCGTTCTACATTCGGGGTTTTGAAAGTTGTCTTATTGCCGTCCTTCACTTTGCCTCATCCGCTGGGCCCTCTTTATCACATGGCTGTATCCCCTTCTCTTCCCTCAGGATCGAACGGATCAAAGGATAGATGGGAAGGGTAGAATCGCTGACTTGGGCCTTTTTTTTTTTTATACAAAACGCAGTTCCACGACAAATATGTCAAGAAGTTGAAATGGATCGATGACCAGATGGTACGTGATCCCTCTTCCCTGCAACTTTATGCCGTTTCCGAGTACGCTGACGCTTTGCTCCTTTTGTCCTCTTTCGCCTTCGTAGTACCAAGAGCTATTCAGTGTCTGTCAGTCCCTTTCCGGCCCGGCGAGTACCAAGATGCATTACTGCGTCAATCTTCTTCACGATGGCTTCATCCCTGCCGTCCTGGGGTTTCTGTTGTGGAGGTAAATCCTAATAACTTGCTATCTTCTTTCATATCCCGTTCCCTTCCCCTTAGTTCCGCCTCGGTCGGTCGGTCCAAAACGCCGAAACTAAACTGTCATAGTCTTCCCGGTGCCATCGGAATGTATGCCTTGGGCCTCGGAGTCTCCAATATCGGCGAATCCCTGCCCCGCGCCGTCTACGCCCTCCTGTCCGGCCTCAACGCCGCCACCGTCGGCATCGTCGCCCTCGCCGCCGTCCAGCTCTCGGAGAAGGCCGCCACCGACACCCTCACCCGGCTCCTCGTCCTTTTCGGCGCCTGCGCCGGCATGCTGTACAACGCGCTGTGGTACTTCCCCGTCCTCATGGCCTTCGCCGGCATCGTGGCTATCGTCTGGGACGCCCGTTGGGTCCATAGGCCCGTCAACAAGGTCGTCACCTTCGGCAAGGAGAAGCTGGCCGGGCGCCGATCGCGGGAGGATGTCGGAGAGGCGGGCGTCGAAGAAGGGCAGGGCGGCATCCAAGCGGGAGACGACGGGCAGGCGGACGACGGCACGAATCGGCCGAGTGCAGACGCCCGAGGACAAAACGAGGAGACCACCACCTCATCCTCCGCTGACACGGAACCCCGTGTCGTCCCGGCCGGCCGCCGCCTCGCCGTGACCTGGAAATCAGGCCTCGCCATCGTCATCGCCTTCTTCCTCTCCTTCGCCGCCATCATGGCCCTCCGCGGCGCCCTGCCCCGGCCCACGCCGCGGCTCTTCGCCCTCTTCGCTAACATGTACCTCGCCGGCACCATCATCTTCGGCGGCGGGCCCGTCGTCATCCCGCTGCTGCGCGAGTACATCGTCGCCGAAGGCTGGGTGCCGGCCCGCGACTTCCTGCTCGGCCTGGCCATCATCCAGGCCTTCCCCGGCCCCAACTTCAACTTCGCCGTCTACCTGGGCGCCCTGACCGCGGCCAACGCCGGACAGCACAGCGTCGCCGGCGCCGTGGTCGGGTGGCTCGGCATCTTCGCGCCCGGTCTGATCTTGGTCCACGGCACCATGGGCATCTGGAACGCCATCCGCGGCTGGCGTTGGGTCAGGTCGGTCGTGCGCGGGCTCAATGCCAGCGCTGTGGGGCTCATCTACACCGCCGTGTACCGGCTGTGGCAGATTGGCTACATCGACGAAGGGTACGAACAGGGCACGAGCCTTGCCCTGGAGCCGTGGTGGGTCGTCGTGACGGCTACGAGCTTTGTTGGCGGGTACTGGTTTAATGTGAGCCCGCCCGTCGCCATTCTTATGGGCGCTGTCATGGGGATGATCTGGTACGGGGTCGTGACGACCTAGTCGAGTTTGGCAGTTCGTGAGGATCACCGGAGAAAAAGAAAAGAGAAGAAAAGAAAAGAAGAAAAGAAAGAAACGCAAGTTGTAGCGGAAAGGGAGAAGGGCATGCGAATTTGAAACAGGGCAGTGGCCCACAAGGGAATATAGATGTATAAATAATGGCGGCGACAGAATGTCTCTTTGAGGAAGATTGGATTGGAGCAAGCTGTAGGAGGGGCAAGGAAAGATCGTGTAACGAGGGAGAAGTCATGTTGTCCAGCTTCAAGATAATATAAGTCCGTTTTTGTGAGGCCAAAATCGTGTCGTATTACATAGTGATACAGGTGGTCACCGAACGCCTCTTACTTTAATACACCTAGAACCCGGCCGACTCGGGGCCCGTGGATCCATGAGACATTGGAAAGTAGAAAAGGAAAAGAGGATTCGAATATGTCATGTCCTCTGGCGCTGAGTCTTGCCCAAGAGTGGCCGGACCGTATCCCATATCCAGGCCTCACGGACATCCTTCGCATTCGGGGCGCGGACGGCAAACTTGGCGACGGGGCGGTACTGGTGCCATTTCCGGGCAGCCGAGAGACGTGACACGTCGCGGGCGTAGTTGACGAGCCCCCAGCGCTCGGTAACGGGCTTGAGGTCGGCGAGGGAGACGAGGGCGGCGCGGGGCCGGCCGGCGAGACCCATGGTGAGAACCTGAAGCTGTGTGGAAGCCGGGAGGCCGGATCGGACGAAGCGTTCGAGGTGCTGCCGGGACGTGCGGGCCGAGGGGGGCAGACGGAGGTAGATGAAGGTTACGAAGGGGGCGGTGGTGTAGGCTACGTAGACCAAAGGGACGATGCCGCAGGCGGCCACTGCGAATGATGAGAAGACGGCCCCGGGGAGAGATGGTCATGAGGAAGAAGGGAAGTTCACTTACGTCCGGCAGCTTGAAGATATGATTTATCCTCGGATCGAATGTAGTTTGGAGCTACAACAAGACAGAAGAAAGCACAGATAAAGATGGTGGTGATCTTCCAAAAGACGAGGAAGACGATGCGGCCCGTGCCGGCATGATAGATGAGGATCTGTTCAGGAATGACTAGGGGGAGGGAGAAACGGCCAATGTCAGTTTATGGTCGACCCGGCCCAGACCACAAGGAGCTTGAGAGGGAAGAACTTGGACCAGTCTTACGCTGTGCGGCGGCCGAGGGCGGAGGTGTCCGTGATATTGTTGAAGTCGCAGGGTTCTTAGACGAGTTGACGGCATAAGATCTTGACTGCTGTCTCGACTGTGAGACGAGACATTGCGTCCTGCTTTTCAACTGTGGGAGGCATAAGGATTGAGTCTGACATCGCGTGGTAGAGCGGACGAAGAAGCCTATTGATCTAGACGATGCTGGTCCAGTAGGTGGTAAATATAGTAGCCTGAATAAAGTCATTTTGAGTTGGGCAGCGCATGGGCGTGAGTAAACCAAGCGAGGTTGAATTGATGAGCTGTGTCAGATGGGGGTTCACACTAAATAATATAATTCTATATCGGGGTAAGCATAGACCACGGACCACGGACCACGGAACGGACTATGGACTATGGACCTCGATAATAGAATTTCGCTATATCCCGTATAGACTACAGACCTCTTTCTCCCATCTCACCGGCGACGGGTCGTCGGCGTTGAGCCATGCGTTGGAGTACAGTACGATCGGGCACAACTGCCTCCCCGCCGCGGCCACGCGCCCCACGTACGATGATATAGTAAGTATTAACCTATTGTAGGCCTATTGTAGGGAGAAAATTTGGCTCATTCATCCCCATTATACCCCCGTAGGACTCCCTCGGCCACCAAGCCACACTATTTACTACGACCTTAGCCGGCGATGTTCTTCTCCAGCCACTCCGTCCACTGGTCCACAGTGTAAGACGAATCGATACCAGCCTGGACAACGCCATCAAACACGACAGTGGGGGTCACATGTACGGGCGTGAACCGCGCCAGCTTGACGATCAGCTTGACATCAGCCGTGACCCCGTTGCCGACGTTGAGCCCGCCGTCCGGGCCGGGCTTGTCAGGGATGGTCAAGAGCTTGAGCACGGCGGCCTCGTCGGCGCCGACGTTGCCCGCGATCTCGGCCAGGCGAGCGTAGGTGGCGTTGCGCGGCTCGTTGACGACGTTGACGTCGAAGAACTCGTGCTGGACGCGGAACAGCTCGGCACTGAAGTCGAAGAACTTGTCCGGCGCCAAGCGCAGCACGGCCAGCGCCGCCTCGTGGACGAGGACCGCCGACGGGTGCCACGGCTGGATCTGCTGCCGGAAGATGACCTGGAGCCCCTGGGCCCAGGTTGGGTTCTGGCGGATCTTCGGCACCACTTGCTCGAAGAAGGTGCGGTAGAATTTGCCCGAGAACGGGCACACGTAGTCTAGGTAGAGTTCCAGTGTGTGTGGCTGGAAGGGGATGTCGGCCGCCACTGCCGGCGGTTTGCTGTCCGCCGGGACGAAGAGAAGCTTGTGCCCGGCGAACTTGGGTGGTAGGGCCATCTTATTATGTGCGTGCGTACTACGAGTATTTGTGACGGGATATATGTGAGACGACTTTCGATGCCGAGTCCTCGAGTGGATGGATAATACAAGGAACCCGTTAAGACGGAAGATGAAGGACGAAGTTGGTTGGGGAATGTAAGCTTCCCGGCACTTTATAAGGTACATACTGTAGAGTGGGACGACTAAAAACGACGCCTACAGTGGGCGGGGGCGGGGGCGGGGTTGATGACACGCTAGAGTACACACGTGTAGCACGCCGGTCCGTGGGTGGTCTACCTAATGGTACGGGATACTAAGGTAATTAGGTACTGTACGGAGTACTCGTAGGTACCTTATAAACATCGATACCGCACCCTACACCGTGTTTTTAGCCACAACGCCCCGAGCAAACTCGCCAAACGTAATGTGCTGCTCAATGTCCACCTCCTCCCCCAGGTTCGGTTGCGTGAACACCGCCAATGTATTCCGCGCAATCCGTCCATCGCTCACCGATGCCCGCACCCCTCGCACAAAATGCGGCACCGCCTTGAACCGACCCCCCGTTATCTTCTCTAACGCCTCACCCGTCTGAAAGGCGATGCAGTCCCGCGGGATCCTGACCTGCACCGTCTGCCCCGTCCGCGATTTGATGTACAACCCGGCCTGCGGGTCCGGGCTCGCCGCCAGCTCCTCCAGCGGCGGCAGGCTCGCGCTCGTCCCGGACGAAGGGAGGTCCCCAGGCCCCGGCACGGCAGGCGACGCCCGCTGCTCGTCGATGAACATGGCCGACGTCAGCCCCGTTAGACACCCGTGGTCCAGATGCGTCGCGCACCAGTCATCCTCCTCCTCCTCCTCCCCCTCCTTCGTTTTATCCCCCTCTACCGCCAGAGCGCTCTGTGCCTGGGGGTAGTAGTGCAGCAGACGCGCTTTCGTCGTGTTGCTCATGCTGACTACGTGCTCTAGGTAGCCTTTCGGGTACCCGGGGATGTCGCGCTCCGCGAATCGGTCGCACGCCCTCGCCACGAGCACGGCCGTGTCGATGATGAGTCGGCACAGGGTTTCCAGGCTCGGTCTAAACCCGGGCAGCACCGTCTCATCCGGCCACACGTTGGGCGACAGATACTCGGGGAAGTTGTCGGCCGAGAACTTGGCCGTGGGCTTGGCGCAATCCAGCGACGGGTCAATGTAAAAAGCGCAGTTGGCGTAGTAAGAGCCCTTGAACGTGTCTACCTGGCCGTTCTTCAGCTGCTCTTTCCCCAGCGACCAGCCTGTTAGATACTTGGCCTTGGGATTCTCCAGCTTTGCTATTTCGCTTGTCAGCCTTTGTACGACTCTTCCAAGGGAGTCACTGAAGCGTGGACCCCATACCTAACTCGGCGGGAGGCAGGTTGCCCAGGTAAGAGGCGTAAGATAATGTCTGGCGCCGTAGATGCGCAAACTCCTGCGGGACATCCTTCACTACCAAGATGCCGAGCGAATCGGGACCGAAGGCCTCCTGAAGAGTCTCCAACGGCACGGTTCCTTAAGGCGACGATGCGTCAGCTACGGCCGATGGCGACTCGATCTTTTTTTTAAGACGTTAATATTGCCACAAATTTGACGCTATCTCACCATTCTTCAGGTCATTGAGTGACACAGTTACAGCTTGGTCAACACGAGAGTCGGTCGTCATATTCTCTAAATTTGCCCAGGGGTAATAAAATACGATGTGCGCGACAGTGACGTGAGATGATAAGTTCGAGTGTAGATAGTATGAACAATTGCCAACCAACAGGAAAAGAAAAAAAAAGAGGGTGTTATGTTTGTTATATGATAAGACGGACGGAGAGGATACTGTCGGCCACAACCGGCACTTCCTCGCCTAGAACACCTGCTATCCTTGGACTCTACTGTAATGACTGTACAGTACATATCCTCAACCCCTGAGCCAGCCTAAAACTGATGGACAACTTTACTCCGTAGGTAGTTGCGGGGGAGGGGTAAAACTCCCAACAGCACTGAACTCCGCATTGCCATCGTCATAGCAATTACCTTTTTTTAGTGGAGACCTAGAAGAACGCACTTACATAATCTGAACAAAGCTATCACGCACCTCTCAAGCTAGCTACCTTACCTGAGCTCCTCCCCCTCTGCAGCAGCCTCGATGTTTGATCTCCAAGCCTGCACTTTACACTCTCGGAGTCCGCCGCCACCCGCGCTCAACCGTGCAGGAAACTCGTCTAACCTCCCCCAATTCAACCGGTAACGAATCGGAGAACCGAAAATGGTCAAACCTCTCACCTTCAAAGGAGACAAGAAAACGAAGAAGAGGAAGCGCCCCGCCGCCAACGTCGATGCCGCCCCATCGTCCGCCGCCCTGCCGCCGACCAGCTCAACCGGAGGAGGGCTCGCAGCCGCCCGCCAAGAACCGGATGATGACGACAGCTGGGTCTCCGCCGAGGTTGTCACCGACATTGTCGGCCCCATCATGATCGTGCTCCCGACAGAAACCCCGTCTGCCCTAGCCAGCGACTCCCGCGGCAAGGTCTTCACCCTGCCGATCGAGAACATAGTGGATGGGAACCCGGAAACGGCAGAGCCGCATGACGTGCGTCAGGTCTGGGTCGCCAACAAGGTCGCCGGGACCGACCAGTTTCGGCTGAAAGGCCATCATGGGAAGTTCGTCTCACGGTCTCTCCCTGTTCTTTTCCCCCCACGTATTTCAAATTTTCTTTCCCTTTCACAGCCTGATGAATGCTGTTTGCTGACACAGGACGTACTCAAATGGCAGGTTCCTCAGCTGCGACAAGGAAGGCGTGTTATCGGCCTCCTCGGAAGCCGTCACCGCTCTCGAGTCCTTCAACATCTTTCGCACACCAGACACGCCCGGAACGTTCCAGGTACAGACCCTGCGCGACACATTCTTCGGCATTCGCGAGGCACCGGCGGCCGCCAGGACATCGCCCGCGGAGGTCGTCGGCGACGCAGATGGCATTTCATTCCATACCACGTTCCGGATCCGCATGCAGGCGCGGTTCAAACCGAAGCTCAAGATGGCCAAGGAGGAGAAGGCGAAGGAAAAGATCACCCGCAAAGAGCTCGAAGAGGCGGCCGGTCGGAAGCTGGAGGACGATGAGGTGAAAAGGTTGAAGAAGGCGAGGAGAGAAGGGGATTATCACGAACAGTTGTTGATGGTGAGAATTAAAGGGAAGCACGACAAGTTCGGATAGTTGAAAAACAAAGAAAACAAATCGGTACATATGGCGAGTATGGGCAGACGTACCAGGACCGAGGCAAAATGAATGATACCCAACTTTGGAAATATAACGGATGGTGGGACAAGTACGGATGCGGTTTGCTCTGCGCTTTGTTCACCGGATTCGCGAGAAATCATGTCTTATTCGCACCGCTCGTCATGATCAGGAGAAACGCTAAAAGGGGTATCTTTTGGTCGTTCAATTCGGCCTCCAGGCCTTCACATTGCCATCCTCCCCAGCCGTGAATACGACCTGCTCGTCATCATAGAAACAAAAGGCACGAACTATCTCTTCGCCGTGTCCACCCGGCAACCCGACGCTGGACGACTTGTCAAACATCCAGCTGTTGGGACTGCTGCCCCTAGTAAGGAACACCAACTGGAACATTTGACGACTTGATCGACATGTTGTTAGCGATTGTAGTATAGCAGAGAGAGGGGGGGGGGGAATAAAAGGGGGAGAACGGGGATTGGACTGCCCAGGGGGGGTGGGCTCACGCTTGAGATCCGACACCGATGATAGCCCCGCTACCATCCACTTTGCTCGTCACATTGGACGCATACTGACACTCCAGCTCTCTGCGGACGTCACCAAAGTCGGCCACGGGCGTCCCTTTCTCGTACGTCTCCTCGAGGTTGAAGACGGCGAACTTCTCGTCGTGTGACAGCGCATAGACCTCCGTAGCGCTCAGGAACCCAGCGTGGTGCACAGAGCCGTGATTGAGCGTCTGGATGATCACGTCGTCCTCATCTACAATACGGGTATCGTAGATATTGACCAGACCATCGGTAGAGCCGGACAGGAGAATGTTAGGCGCCTCGGTCGGGTGGAAGCGCAGCTCCGTCACATCGTCACTGTGGACTTCGGTATACCGGGTGCGTTGGCTTGGGGAGCCTCGAACGTCCCTGAGTGGCGAGTCAGAAGGCTGTTTCGTAGGAGTCGATATTCAGAAATGAGAGAGCTGCAAATGACGTACCAAAGGAGAATGGAGGCTGCGTGGTCGTATAGTTCCGTGCCTACGGCGATGGCATGACTCCTCAACTCACATGCCAATGACACGATGGGAGCCTCCGCCGCTGAGGCATTTTGTCAGCCGCAAGGCCCTGCGACGGACCACTCCGTCCTGGACGAGCAACCTACCTTGAAACCGTAGTACTTGTGCCTTCAATGGGTCTTCTCTGAGGTCCCAGATGGACACCGACCCGTCCTCCCCAGCAGTCGACACAACCGAGTTTAGCCAGTCGAAAGGCTTCAGGCACCTGAGGTTTCCGTGGTTCGTAGGAAGCAAGGATATCGGGCCATCATCGAGTCTTGCTGGGTTAAATAGAGCGAGTTTTTGGTCTGATGTTATGGCCGCAAGGCCGGAGCCAACCCGGTGGATGTCGAGGACATAAACCTCCCCAGGCCCCAAAAAATGGTGCCCAGCTACAGGTGAGAGAAGGTACATTATGGGATTTCCTGCCACTGTAGTCAGTGAATGGTATTCATGGTAGCATCACCGAACGGCATATAGGTAAAACGCCAGGTCACAGGATATGGATTTGGCCACATTAGGGCCACATCAGTCCCATTATTTCAAGGTCTGTTGAAAATATTGTCGCATCGATGAAGGGTTACGGGAGAAATGGTTCCCAATCCAAGTGTTTTAATAAGTCCTACGCAAAATTTCACAACTTACATACCTTCCTCAAAGAACGAATCACCATCAGTTTCTTAAAATGAATAGAAACTGCTCAAGTCTTCGAGTTGTGGTTCATGAAATCCTCGGGCAGCCCTATATTTCACGAGAATTTGAGTGAGCCGGGTGAAGCTGGGTCACAAAGTCGGTTAGACAGATACCGCTCTATAAAGATAACTCGATTAACAATAGCCCCGTTAAATGCAAGCTCCTTATCGTCAACGTGGAGCTTCGGACATTGGACATTGGACATTGGACATTGGACAGCTGTTCCGTTCGCATGGCGTCACAACACCAATACCACAAACCCTCTCGAGCTCCGTCCTGCACTGTCGCGCCGTGACATAACATGTTGCGAGTCTTTCGACAGCTTTCTGGGAGATAGAAAATGCCCAGCATGAAAGCCTGCACCCTGTGGTTTTTCCGTAAGCTTACGCACCGTTCCCCACAAGCGCATCACTAAGCTGACGAGGTCTAATTACCATACGCCTTAGTGCTCTTGCAGGTCGTCTTCGCTTTGGGTACCGATACGCAGCAGGTGCTTTCAAATGGAGATGGAATCGAGGGTGGGAGGAACAAGGACGAGCCGCCGCCGGCACAGTTCCAGCCTGAAACGGCCGTAGGAGAACACCACCGGCCCGATCCCAAACAGCCCGGTATGCCATAGCAGATCCTCCTGAATGGAGGACGCAGTCGCTTACGCTTCTAACAGGTGCCGACTTGGTTGACGCGGCCCTTTACGAACTTCGCAACGTTCCGATCCACGCCCTTAAGAAACCGCGACGACCCCGATCCGTTTTCGATGCCGCGTTCGAGTTCATTCTGACGGCCCTACCGACCTTCACCATCAGTGCTCCCCCGGCCGAGAACAAACAGTCGATTCGCGGACCGTTGTCCGAGGCAGTCTGTCTGCTCGAGCAGGCCGCGTTGCAAAACAACTCGGATGCCCTTCACATCCTCGCCGACATGAACTTCTATGGGAAATATTCCCACCCGAAGGATTTGAAGGTCGCCTTTGATCACTACAAGACCCTTGCCAGTCACCATGGGAACTCGACGGCGCAGTACATGGTGGGTGTGTTCTATGCAACGGGACTCGGGAACGTCGTGGCCCCCGACCAGGCCAGGGCCATGATCTACTACACCTTCGCCGCGCTCCAGGGGGATACCAGGGCGCAGATGGCCATCGGGTACCGGCACCACAGCGGTATCGCGACGGCAAAGAATTGCGAGCAGGCGACCAAGTATTACAAGCAGGTGGCGGACCAGGCCATCCAGTGGTACCGCTTGGGACCGCCGGGCGGGATGGCCTGGGTCTCCGAGGCCTATCGCATTGCCGACGACGCCGGTGGCGTTTACGGCGAAGGCGCCAGTGCTGCTAGTGCTGGCATGAACGCCATACGAGCGGCGCCGAACTCCGATGCCAACGCTGCTATCGACGACGTTATCGAGTACTTGGATCTCATGTCCCAGCGGGGAGACGTCAAGGCGTCCTTCAATCTGGGGAGAATTTACTACGAAGGCCAGAGGGGTATGAAGAGGAACCTTGACCTGGCGCGGAAATACTTCTTCATGGTAGCCAAGCGCTACTGGAAGAAAGATGGACGGGTCATCGAGAACCACAAGCCAGGGATCGAGAAAGTCGCCGGTCGTGCCGCCGGCTACATCGGACGGATGTACTTGCGCGGCGACGGCGTCGAGCAGAGCCTGGAGCAAGCACACCGGTGGTTTACCCGCGGCATCTCTCATGGGGATCCCCAGTCTCAATATGGCATGGGCCTCATGAAGCTGCACGGCTATGGGAAAGCACCCAAAAACATCCGGATGGCCATGGACCTCTTCAAGGCGGCCGCCGAGCAAGATTATGGACCGGCACAGGTCGAGATGGGTGTCCTCTACCTAGACCAGGGCGGTCCCGAGGACGTTCGGATTGCTAGCAATTATTTCGAACTGGCCGCCCGGTACAATCTGATCGAGGCCAACTACTACCTCGCCGAGATGAGCTATCACGGCGTCGGCAGGGACAAGACCTGCTCCATAGCGTTGAACTACTACAAGAGCGTGGCCGAGAAGGCGGAGCCGCTCGTGTCTACCTGGGCTGAGGCCAACCAAGCCTATGAAGCAGGCGACATTGAGCTCGCCTTCCTCGAGTACGTCTTGACGGCGGAGCAGGGATACGAACGGGCTCAGAACAACGTCGCTTACCTCCTGGATCCTTTAAAGTCGAGACTCAAGCTACCCGAGTTCCTGCAGCTGGGGACCGAGGCCGACCGCCCCAGCATGCTGGTGAACCCGACCTTGGCGCTCATGTACTGGACTCGTTCGTCCCGGCAGTCCAACGTCGACTCGCAGGTCAAGATGGGAGACTACTACTACTACGGAATAGGCACCGAGGCCGATGTGAACAAGGCCATCCAGTGCTATACCGCTGCCTCGGACTACTCGCAAAGTGCCCAAGCGCTGTGGAACCTGGGCTGGATGCATGAGAACGGAATTGGCCTTACGCAGGACTATCACTTGGCGAAGAGGTTCTATGACCAGGCGCTGGCGATTAACGAGGAGGCATATCTGCCCGTGACCCTGAGTTTGCTCAGGCTACGCTTGAAGAGTGCGTGGAATACCTTCACACACGGACCCATCCACTCCATCCAAGATGATCCGAGTATGTGCTTTGCCGCCGCTGCCCCTGCTGTGCTTGGGTTTCCCCTCGTTTGGGACCCTTACCGCCCATCTCACTACTGTTCCAGTCTATGGCTAACAATATTTCTCTACAGAACCGAAGAAAGACTGGTCCTTAAGTGAGTGGATCGCCAACTTCATGAAAGATACAGCCAGCTACTACGATGACGACTACTACGAGGACATATACGACGAAAACACCATTCCCGGCGGCGATAGCGACATCCTTGGCGACGACGACCTGACTGAGGGTCTCATCATCGTTTTTCTGGCACTCTGCCTCGTTCTGCTCCTTTACTACCGACAGCAGATCCAGCAGCGGCGGCGGCGAGCGGAGGAGACGAGACGTCAGCAGCAGCAGCAGCAGCAGGCACATGGACAACAGGGACCCGCACCCACGGCACCGGCCCATCAGCCACCGCAACAGCAGCAACAACAACAGCAGGAAAACCAGGGCTTTTTTGCCGCTCGCGATGACCCCGGGTTTAATAACTGGCTGGCGGGCGGGTTTGGCCATTAAGGAGAAGGAGACCGACAGTTCCGCATGTGACCCGTCTCGGGGTACTAGCAGGTGCCATCTTTTGTTTTATGTACATAGGCTATCCCGTATGGCAGAGAGTGTGTGTCTAAGTGAAATCATACCAGGAATGAGATTATGACAACGGACAAAGCGAGGCAGCAACAATAAAGGAGGAGGTTATGTAGAGACCTTCATCGTCTAGTGAGGGCCCCCTGTGAAAAAGGGGGAACAAGAAAAAGGGACACTGCGAGAATGGACAAGGAGGAAAAAGACCGCATGAAGCGCAGGCGTTAGGATGTGACCACATGTATCTATCTTACACTGGCTGGGCCGAATGGAAATACCTATTTTCCTTGTATATGAGTCGACGGTGAAGATCCATGAAACAAACAGTCAGACAGGTAGTACTGGAGATTCTGTAAAGTGCGGGCTAATCCAAGCTCGGAGAACAGACTAAAGAAAAGCATCCTTCTCTATTGTGCCCGATCATATATCCTCCCTCTCCTCTTACCAAAACCACCCCAAAATATCTATCTGTAGGTTCCCTTCCCAGGTGGCCGGCTCCCCCGGGACCGAAACAAGCAAAAGAGTGCCGGTCGAGCCTAACTGGTTACCCGTTTAAACAGATCAACCTCTTTGCCATATGTCTTGGCCAATCTGATAGGAAAGAAGCAAAGTCGAAAGGCTGCTTGGTATATTAAGGATCAGTAAAACGCATTCATCACAAGCATATAAGAGACGAGAGAAGTTTATATATATAAGACAGGTGTAGCAAGGGAGCAGCAAAGGAAAAGGGCTGGGATGCGAGGACATCATATATAGATATCGGGACATCGATATAGAGGTCCATAACAATTATCCCGGGCAGCCTAAGTACCACACCTATTTTAATATATCGATTAAGACGATATATACTATTATTATAATTAGAGCCGTGTACACCTCCTGCCACGAAGCAAAAACGCCCTATAGTAGTGCGGTACTATATAGTATAGTGTTAGGGGGTATTTCGGCTATTATAATAGCAGTTATTATTATTAGAAGAATTATTATAACTCTAATTTAGGGAAGGCAAATAAGGTAATAAGGTAATAAGGTAATAAGGTAGGTGGGTAAGGTAGCTAATATAATAATAGTATATAGCGTCTTAATTAATATATATAAAATAGGTGTAGTACTTAGGCCGCCCGAATATTTATCATGGACCTATATATCGATGTCCCGATATCTATACGTGATGTCCTCGCATCCCGACCCAAGAAAAATACTTAATGGCATCGAAGAGATAACAACTTGATTGATGACAGTGTCAGTGTGTTCGCACGAGGTTGCCCTCCTAGCGGGTATCATAGTGCGGAAAACCGAAGAAAACAGAAGCAGAAAAAGAAACACATTCAAAAAAAGAACTTCCGTCTGAAGGGAAGTGGGAGACAGAAAATTAAGATGCCGAGATGAATCTCAGTACAAGGTAGTCAAGCCAAAGAGGTGCCTCTTCAGAATATAGAGGCGAAATGCGAATGTAAATGTAAATGTAATGCTCAACCAAAATCAACCAGTACTTTATGTGTGTTCACTTCCGTTCACTGTATTTGACCTGGGCCAGCAGGCGCAGGGCTAGTGCTGCCCTCCATGTTACCAGTCAGCTCTGCAACACGAGCCTTGATGCGGGCGACACGCGATTCGATTGCTGCAAGTTTAGGGGTTAGTCTTATTCCAAGGTTCCACATTCGACGTATCCTGCAGGGGCCTGGCGCCGACTTACTCTCTTCGCCACTAGTTTCATCATCGCCATCTGTTGTACTAGTCGTCTTGCTCAGAGTTCTACCGGCGGCCATATCATTCTGCCGCTGGGCAGCCCGCTCTGCAGCGTTCTTCCGGATTTGGGCCCATCGATCCTGCGCAGGGGTGAGCTGCGGCTTGGGGGGTTCCGCAGCCGGGGTTGGCACTTTCTTCAACAGGTGCCGTTCAGGCTTAGGCTCCGGCGCCACGGGAGCATCCGCCTCAGGAACGCGGCGGGCGATCGGCGGCGGCACCGCATCGTCGGAATCATCATCCGCAGGGACAAAGGCAGGCTGGTCGACAAGAGGACCCTGATCGAAGCGGGAGAATTCTCGGTGGGCCTCGTTGGCGTCTTCCGTGTCCACACGCGACAGGTTATCACCAAATTGTTCCGGAGTTCGGCCAACTGCTGGGGCTCCCGGGGTCTGTTGAGCATCTTCGTGGGCTTGTACTTCGGCCGGACGCGGCGAAGGAACAGCCGACTCTGGTTCGGGCTCGGCCGCAGCCTGGGGCTGTGGCAGCGGCTTGGAAACTTCTGGCACAGGCGCCGGCACAGCGGCTGGCTCTGGAGTCGCCTGTGCTGATCTGTCATAGTGCTGCTCGAGCATGCTTTGAAGGTCGGCGGATGCATTTTCCGGCAGCTTCGAGCTTCGATTTCTGCGGCTAAAGAGTTTTCTGAAGCCACCGGCCTTGTTCTCCTTCTGGAGCTTCTTTTGCATCTTGATGTCATGGCTGTCGTCAGGCTCTGGGGAAGCCATGCCACCGCGTGCCGGCTCTACGGGATCCTTGGCTGGCGGTACGGGACCGTCCTCGGCAGCGTCTTGTCGGTCGGATGGATGGGGATCTTGCGGCGCCTCCACCTCCTTTGCCGAAATCCGAGGTTCTTCAATAGCGTCCTCAACCTTTTGGGTGCTGGCTGCTGCCGTCGCCGCCGGTTGCGCGACAGGCACTGTTTGAGAGGGGACAGGAGACGCCTTCGGGGGCACTTGGGGCTGGTGTTCATAGCCGGGGGAGTGGCCATTATGTGCCAAGTGCGTGCTGCTGCCGTTGCGGGGAAATCCCGACATACTCACGCCACGGCCGGCGTCGGAGTTGGCCAGGTACGCCTCCCGAATGGCATCCTTGTCGTACTTGCTCGCCCACTTCATAGCCGGCGACGCCTCTTTCATGATGACAGGCTGCAGTGTCAGTACACTATTGGTCTTGTCTTTCATCAGATCGGTGTCTGCACGACCTCTACGCTCCGGATGCCCCTGTTCCTGTTGCCGGGCCTGTTGCTCTTGATTTTGCCGGGCCTGTAACTGGGCAGCTGCGGCCGCGATACGGGCTTGCTGATCAGGCCCAATGCTGGTTTTGCTTGCGCCCAGGTAATTCTGATCAAGCCTATTTTTGTCCAGCGCTTGTTTGCCTGTTGACTTGCGGCGGTTGACCCCTTTGTTGCGTCTCGTCCAGCTGAAGAACCCCTTCTTCTCGGCAATATAGGCACCTTCCTGAGGTTCGGGTGCTGCGCCTACTACCATTTCCTCCATGACGAGCCATCGGCCCGACTTGATCACCGTCTCGATGACGGCACAGCGGCCAAATGCGGATTTTCTGTCGGAGGTCTCTTCGGGGGCGAGGCTGCTCATCCAAACCCACCAGAAAGCGTCGTCCAGATCAATCCGAATGATGCTGGCGAGTTCGCCAGGCTCGAGCTCGCGATCGGATTCCAGTCGAGGCCTGTGTGACTGAGAACTTTTTTGTCGAACAGTCGTCTCAATCGGCGGAAGGACCTTGTCCGGCGGGAGCAAATGGCTGGCTTGGCTATTCACCTTCTCATCCACAAAGCCAGACGAGAGGAAGTCCGCCCAGGATGGAGTAGTCGGTCGTGCAAGGTTGGTAGTTCCGGACAGCGGAGTCGTTCTTAGGCCCTGGGGTTTCCTGATGGCAGCCGAGACATCTTCATCGTCGTCTTCCTCCTCAAGCGCACTTGCAAAGCCGATATCTTCAAAGCGTGACCACGAGGCGTCGCGGAGACTGGTAGAATGTTTTACGCTCGAGACTTGAGACTGGTTGGCCGAAGAGATGGACTTGAGCACTCGGCGGCATTCTTCTGTAAGGGCCTGGACAGGGTCCTCAAAATCGGAGAATTCCTGTAAAGCTCGATCCTCGTCGCGAAACTGGAAGTGACTTGCGCGGCGCAACAGCGCGAAGGGAGTTGGCGAGACTGTGTCAACAATCATAACCACCTTATTGGTTGAAGTTTGCAACAGAATTGGCTTCTGCGGTGGGTATTCGGTTTCCTGAACGAGTTTCTGCAGCGACATGGGTAGCATGGAGATGGTGCTATGGGTATTTTGAGGGGCAAGTGACCTCAGGTAGGCGAAGAAGAGGTGGCTCGTGGCATCGGCAGCCCTGCTAAAGGTCAGTTCCCGGGGTCTCCATGCATGCATGCATGCGTTGTTGGCTGGCCGGCTGGCCGGCCGGCCGGGTGGAGAAGAAGCCGCTACAGGGAGTAGAACTCACTTTTGCCATGCGTTATAACCACCCTCGAAGCCGCTACCCGTGTCTTTCTGTTCGAACGCCCACCATGCAGCCATCCGAGAGAGCTTGCGACCACCCATACCGTTCATTTTACCGTGAGCCGCAATCGCTGCCAGGAGATCGAAGAAGTCGAAAATAATACATGATCGCGCGCCGTTGTCGACACTTAGAGGAATGAATGTTTTGAAAGAATCCCGAGCCATGTTAGAATCTGAAGTCAAGGCAAGCTTTTGTTAGTTTTCGATAATAGGCTATTGCTGAGACAACTCGAGGAAACGCCAGATCATCAATGGGGGAGAGACAAGACCACATACCATGTTCGCCGACTTTGAACAGCTCATAAGCATCCCATCCGACTACACCCCCCTGAAGTCTGCTCCAGCACCACTTTGTCACACCTGCAATAACCTAACCGCAAAAAAAAAGCCCCTTATTAGTGTTTGCTTTTGGAAAAGAGTATTTGGTGGTGTAGATTTTTCGCATCCCACGCCGACATACCATTGGCTCGGTCATGCGAAGGTCCTGTGCCAGTGCATCTCCTCGGAGACCATGGCTGCTGTCGAAGAAGTGACGAATAAAGGTGCGCACGGCGCTAGGATCGGATGTAGGGCGAAAAGGCAGTAGCAGGAATGGATGATCGAGGGCTGCATGACAAAAGGGAGCCATCTAGTCAGTCTCCGCTAGGCCAGCATTGAAGTAGAGGTTATACATGGATCAAGGGGGCCATACCTCGTGCCTTGAGCTCCTCGGTGCATCGTCTGATCAACTCCTGAATCTCCTCGGGCTCGACATTGACTCTGGTATAGGCATCTTCCCAGAGCGGCTTGGGGGGCAGCTGGTCTGTGAGCTGGTCGAGATGCCCACCCTTCTTGGACTTCAACCTCGCGCCTCCTCCAGCGCCCTTCAGGCGAGAGAAGAAGCTCGGCATATTCACGGTAATCCCGGAAAACCTGATGCAACTATTGATAGGATATTGTTCGTATAATGGAGAATCGAGGACTGTTCGTTGTAAGATTATCGAATCGAATCACAATGGCAATCGAACGAGAAGAGCCGGTGAAGACGCTGGCCGTATTGTTAAGAACGACCCAAAGTCGTAGTTAGGTGGCGTGGATGACTGGCGATGCAGTCGTGCACTCCGGGACAGAAATTAATAGTAGAATGTCAATGCTCTGATATTGGCAACGGGTATAATAATTCGATGACGATGGGGAAAGCAGCGTAGACACGCGCGTTTTTAAAGAGAATGAAAGATCAAAAATAAGGATGGTTCGAACAATTGGGAATAAATTGTTGACGCGCAACTCTCCACTTAATGAGAGGTGGAAAGGTAACAATAGCAGAGGGAAGAAAAGAATCGCGGCCAGGGCTGCCGAAGGGTATCAGGAAGAAAATGACCGGACAGGTTGTTGAAACAAGAAATCAATAAGAGAGGGTAATAAGGAGCGGAGACGAGGGGAAAAGAAGGAAAAAAAAAAAGAGAAAAAAAAAAAGGAAGGACTCGCGATCAAGTGAACAGGAAGGAAAGACCCGGACGCGCTCACAGGCGAGGCTTCTGTGGATGGGATGGGCCTGATTGTCACCATTCAGGGGTCAACGGGCGAATGGGTAATGCTGTACCTACGGGTACCTACTACCAGTTTGATTCGACAAGGGGGGACAGGGGACAGCGAAACGGGGATCTTGGCTGACCACTGATCGCAGCTCTATCGCTTGGGAAAAGCAACCAAGTATTTGTACTCCGTATGGACGTCCAGACGAGAGGGGTCGGATTGACAAGCTTAATACAACGTACATGAGTAGTACATCGAATATCCGCTCAGTCAAAAGATATCGAAGCAGTCTTCTGTACTGGAGGGCTGCTCTCGGAGGTAAGAATTTTGGGTACGGAGTGTACATCTCATCTCTGTGCCTCTAAAAGTTATTAAGGCACTCAGTAAGGTAGCGTTGGGCAGAGAAGAGCCAGGAACGACTTTGAAACGGGCAGTGTACGTATCCGTACGCAGTACAGAGTACATCTTTTGGCTCCTCGGTACATGAGAGGTGAAGACGCACTAGTCCGAGTGGAGCCAATCACCAACCCGGTTGTCACACTTAAAATGAGAGGACTCTGGACTGGCGCCGGACCGTTGGATATGGCCCGTATCCAAACGGCAACTAACTACATATAATACCATCCTAGCATCACTCAACACTGTGAGCTACTTTGTTTATGTTAGGGTCCCTGATTCCGGAAGGGGAGCATAGTCACATAGCTCCCGGGATCGCGGAGTTAGGGTATCCAACGTTTGTACGACGGACGACAATCGATGCGTGTCGTTGCATACTTTTTTTCTTTTTTGCAGAAGGTAACTGTGAACCTACTCCTACCTTACTTCCACCTACCTGCCAAATAGTAATGCCGACGAAGTGATTATTTTATACGTGAAATTTACAGGGTAGGTTGTAGACGCTTGGACCGATGAATAGAACTACAACGTAGAAAGCTGCCAAGAGGCTGAGCTCGCATCCCAACAATGATTTGGTTATCAGATTCATCACTATGACGCTCTGCCGACAGACAGTATCACAGACAGTCGGTTGGCCCGTACTCCGGGTGTGACGGCTCTGGCCGGTTCCGATGAAGCCCCACAATTCCCTGTCTAGTACCGAGTCCCCACACGGTCTCTCGTTGAGTTCCGTGAAGTTGCTCTCCTGGTTCTGGTTGACCGAAATATTAACGACTGGGAGCCTGTGCTGAATCTGCGGCCTTGAGATCGGAACATCAAAGTTTGCCCGAGTACTCCGTGCAAAATACCAAGTAATAGGCAGGGTGCGATCCGGCGCCTCCTAAAACTCCCCAAACCTCATCATCGCCTCTATCTCCAGCACCAGCTGAAAGAGTGGCCTACCTATGCACTTGCCAACTCATCTTCCCCCTCTTCCCACTTCTATTCCACCGCCTATTCCGCCTCTTCGGGGTTTTAGCAACTTGACCAAATCGATCGATCGTCCTTAGCGATACTGCCCGATGTAGCAGCTGATTGGACGTTGGGACCCGGATTGCAACCTATGAGTTGGCAGCCCTTCCAGGCGGTGCCATCAATGCATGAGGGCCCGAGCCATGAATCCATCATCCTGGGGCAACCTGCAATTGCACATAATCCCCATTCTCGCCCTCTCTCTTCATTTGCGTGCCTCACCTGTCATGGACATAATGCGCGTCATTTCCTAAATTGCTTGTTTCCCCATACTATCTGTGTGCAGTAGACATATCTAACATGTTCTAATAAAAAAGGCGTACTACGCTTCATCTTCCCACCGCTGGGTCCATTCTCTTGCATCATGCTTCCCAGGTCTGATCCCAATGATGCCTCGCGTCCCCATCTTTCATGTGCTGTCAGGGGCGCTATGCACGACTTGCGTCTCTTATAGACTTCTGCCAATCACTCTCCGGCCCCGGCCGCCTTCATCCCAAAGTCGACTTTCCAAGCCCGTGTACCTAACCAGCTTAGCAGGTTGCCCTACGGGCAACGCCGCCAAGGTCGCCCCCCCCCCCCCACCCCCCACAAAAGGGGGGGGGGAGGGCTAATTATATAACCTACTCTACAAGACTAAATAACCGTAGATATCCGAAAATAACTATAAAACGCCTACTTTTTATTGTCTATAGCTATTTATTAGTTCCTTCTATGCTATAACGATGTTTTTATAGTATTTCTTTAATAGCGTAAAAAGCTGTTTTTTATTATATTAATCGCGTTTTATCTCTTATTATTAACCGTCGATTCCTCCCTATAGTCGCTAGTTCATTCTCCTATATTTCTCTTTTACTATCTTCCGGTTATAAATAGTATCGTTATTAAGTAAGTAAGAGATATAAATAATTACTATACCCCCCGTGAACGCGTTAATACTAATTAGTAGCTTACTTTATAGGTAAGGCCACTATGCTCGCCCCTATAGGGGGCTACGTATATAACCCGATTATTTAACTATACTATATAGATAAATATACTAAGTAATATATATATAGATATTATTATTTATAGATAAAGGCTGTTTATCTTTAATAGTCTTTAGAATAGTTTAAAACTATAGAACTACGAAGATCTACGATAAGAATAAACTTATTAATAAATAGATATATTACACTTTCCTAAGTATATAAAGAAATTATACCTTATATATAATATAAAAAGAGTCTTATATAATAGAATTAGAATTATATTATATTTTATTTATATAGCTTTTATACCATAGTGATATAATATAATAATACTAAAATAGCTTTAATTTTAGTTTTATTTCTATTCGAGTTCTTATTATAGTTAATTCTCCTTTAGCTTCTTATTTATCTAAATCCTTCTTTATTATACACTTTTATTAGAGTATTCTATCTATAACTATTTCCTAATAATATATATATATATTTAATTACTTTTTAGTTTTATTTTATTTTACTATATCTTATCTATTAAATTTATCTTATCTACTGCCTTTATTTTACTGATATTAACTCTACTCTAACTTTATATAACCTTATTTTCGATAAGTACTTTATATTATACTTATATTATATTTATATTTACTTTTCTTTACCTAAAGATTAGGATAATTCTTATATTCTATACTTATAATATTTTATCTTCTTATATTTATAATATATTTTATCCTTTAGTATATTGTTTATTATATTCTTTATATTTATATATTATTCTATTGTCTATCTTTTACTTTTTACTTTATATAGTATACTATTTCTTATTAAATATCTTATTTCTTAGAATTAAATTATATCTAAACGTTTTTTACTATAGTACTATATACTATATTCTGCTTATTTTATAGCACTAAGTGTATTTTATATTACTCCTTATAATTTATGTTTATATAATACACCTTGTCTTATCTATTATCTTCTATTTATTTATATACAATATAACTTTTAATTTTAGTTTTAATTTTATTTATTATCTTTTATCTTTACTTATCCGTATTTATTTATCTTTATCTTATCCGTTACCTCTAAGTTTATTCTACTTTATATTATCTATTATTCTTATTTTATTTATTTCTTTATTTATTTTATCTTAATTTTTTTCCTATAGTTTTTATAGTTTCTATTAATATTCCAGACTTAATTCTACTTATATTATATTCTTTATTTTATTCTATATTATATTCTAGTTATATTCTATATTCTATTTTATATCCTCCTTTATATCCTCTTTTTATTCTATTTCCTATCTAAGTTTTTCTTATATTTCTTTATTCTATTTTATATTCTATTTATATTCTATTTTTTATCTTATTTCGTATTATATTATTTATTCTATTTTTTATCCTATTTCTTATCCTATTTTTTACCCTATTTTTATCCTATTAGGGGACATGGTACATAGTAGTACAGTGCAAAGCCAAAGATACGGGGGATTCGCACTAAGATCCCTCCATAACCTACCGGACTATTAGCAGTGAACGGCATACATTACGAAAGTAGCTCCATTTTACGTGTTGTACAAGTACATACTGTGTAGCGAAGTCGCGCGAAAAACACTGCAAAATCCCAAAAAACAGGACCGGGCGGTAGTACTGGTACGAACGCAAGGCTGGCTGTTAATTTACGCAAAATAAAGTGGGCCAGCTTCAGTGTAGTATAGACATCTCTGTTCCTCGTTTCCGCTCGTCCCAATCTCTTATTGCCATTGCCTTGCGCTAGCTATGCACACTTATAGATAACATGCCGAATCCAAACCACCCGAGCCTCTCCATTTCTAACCCAGTTCTGTTAAGTTCGTGGTCGCCTAGAAATCCATGAGCTCGTCTTTCTAACAATTCAGCCACTATTAGGAGAGGGCCACAATCGCTCAGTTTCGGATGCTCTATGACCGTACTGGTGTTTGTCGTTATCAGACCGGACAGCCTCACAACTGCGATATATGGTGAACCGTTGCAGCTCGGTTACATCCCAAAGCCCATGGGACTGAGATCATCGGTACGTCGAAGAGCGATTGATGCGCTGTGCTATGCATACTTCATGAAGCCACACGAAAGTGATTTGCCTCCATACGTGATAGCTACTGCGGAATTAGACAAGGGCGAATTGACGGAAACTTATTCATGTGTTCCATAATTAGCAGCAAGTCCATCATTGACTTGATGCTCTGAGACTCATTAAAATGTTCAGGGCCTCGTAGTTCGGCCTATGAAAACAGTTCCCTAGCCCGTAGATATTAAATCCATAACGGCCCAAAACGCCAGTACCCGTCCCAGATGCACAGAAGAGAAAACTCCGAGAGAATAATAATAATGACAATAAAAATCCGACGAATCAAGCAGTGACTTTGACTTCCTCCGTCTCCGCTTGCACGCCGATCTTTGTTGCCCCCCCTGCACCCTCTTCACCCTCCTCCTCCTCCTCCTCCTTGAGATTCTCCTTGTTCTCGATCCCCTTCTCCACAACCGTCTTCGTTGTCTCCGTCTTGACCTCAGCCTTCTTCGATGTAAGAGTGCTGACGTTGCCGCCTCCGAGATCCCAGTCGATCTCGGCGTCGGCTCCGTGCCTCTGGATCAGCCACTCATTGGCCTTCCGGAAGTGACCGCAGTCAAAAAAGCCGCGCATGGCGCTCAGCGGGCTAGGATGCACGCTCTTGAGGACGAGGTGGCGGGTTTGGTCGATCTTGGCAACACGGCGGGCAGCGGGGGAGCCCCAGGCGACGAAGACGACGCCCTTGGGGCGGCGGGCGGCCACGAGGTCAATGACGCGTTGGGTGAAGCGCTCCCATCCCCGGTTGGAGTGGGAGTAGGCCTCGTGAGCCCGGACCGTCAGGCATGTGTTGAGAAGCAGGACGCCGCGGTCGGCCCAGGGCGTCAGGAGACCTTGCTTATTGGGAGGAGGCGTGAATGTGGGATAGTCTTTCTTCAGGGCGATGTAGATGTTTCTGAGAGACGGGGGAGCGGGCGTGGGAGGACGGACGGAGAACGCAAGGCCGTGGGCCTGGTTGTCGTTGTGGTAGGGATCCTGCCCGAGAATGACGACCTTCACCTTGTTGAAGGGACAGTGGCGGGACCTAGAGACGAAGCGGAGGGGATCCTTGTCAGCATATCTGGCCAAGGTTGCGTCAAAACAGAGGATAAGGGCATGCATGTCATACCAGGAATACACATCCTCCTTTGGTGGGAACCACTTCCTTCCAGTGTCGGTCTCGCGGTGGAGAAACCGCTTCAGGTCGAGGAACTCTTTGGTAGCGATATCATCCTTGAGCAGGGCCAGCCAGCTCTCGTGCAGCGTGTCGATTTCCAGTTGTAGAAGTTTCCTCTGCTCCTCTGTCAGACCAGCCACCCATTTCGCCTTGTCAAAGCCTGGCGCGGGAGTCCCAGAAGCCCCTGAGTCCTTAGCCGTTTCTGTCTTGCCGAAGAAAGACATGATACTGCCATTCTGCTTGGGCTTCTTGGAGTCAGATGCCTGGTCATTACTAGCCTTGCGCTTGAGGGTCGACATCTTGCAGCAGAATCCAAAGTTGGCCCTCACGTTATCCCCAAGCCTCCGTTAAAGTGATAGAGAGAAGGAATATGTCGAGTAGCTGGAGAACGCGGTGGGAGATAATTGGGAGAGATCAGAAGCAGGGGGACGGAGTGGTGGTTGAAAAGACGGAAATGCCGAATATTGACGGATTGGTTGGGAAGAGGTAAGGTCCAATACTTCAAGTCAATCAAGACATTCAGAGGCGATATAGTCCATAAAACGGCCGGCAGGCTGTTGCAACAATTGATTACGTGTGGTCCGAGTACGGGGAAGAAAAGCCTGGTCGGTGAGGCGCGTCGCGTCGCTCAGACGCGAACACTAAGACCAATGGAGATGGCGGTGTGCATGTCATGTACGCGTCTCACCGAGAAGGACCTTTTATTTCGCGTTTTTAATGTTCCTGCAGGAACCCCACCATTTCTCTCCCATACGAACGGACGTCGGGATTTACTGAAACTGTCATAAAACATATTAAAATGTGTAGAAGTTGTCCTATTAAGAACGTAAGAACGGAGAGAGGCTTTGTAACTGAAAGTCTAATCGTACGATACAAATATTACAGTGCTCCTAATTTCCCCAACTGTTTTGCTCAATGCCATTGCTCGCCAACTCCCAATTGTATTCCGGCGCCGTCATTGAAACGATAACAGGCCTGCTAACGCCAAATAATGCTGAAGAGAAAAAGAATGAGAAAAGAATAAGAATAGCACAAGCGACATGTACGGCCGCTCTCCGCCTCTTGAACTCGTTAGTGCCCGTGGTTCTCTCTTGCTTTCGCGTTTATTGATCGAAACGCTTTCTTGCCAACCTCGTAGCTGCTGATCATAATCGCACATGCCGGCGCGACCTTCAATGTCCGTGGTATCCAACCTTTCCAGAGACCCCGGATGCCCTCTGTGTGGAAGATGTGCCATAGGAGGCGCGTCATATTTCCTCGCTCCGCCGTCGTGCTGCTGGCACCATTTCCTGTTGCTGATATTCCCCGGAACACTTGTGTCCTGGTCTTGCCCACGTCGAACGGCATCGTTATTATGGAGGCAATAGAACCCGACACAGCACCCGCGATGAAACTATCGACGAAAGTTTCTGTATGTTTGTCCCGGCCCTCTGCGTTGTGTAGCAAACCGGCGTCCGATTCTCTCATGACAATCAGCCTCCTCCGGACCGTCTCGTAGCCCCACCAGTAGATCCCAGAGAAGGGCACGTCTCTCCACAGAGTCAAAGTCAGACCCCTCCATAGAGATTTGTAGCCGTGAGCGTGGACCATTTCCTGGATCTCTCGGAAGGTATTTGCAAGGTGACCGGTCGTTGAGGAGCCCGTTGTTGCCTGCAGTCGAGTACGGAAGAGTTCAATCGGACTAACTGCGGCCGCGGCCAGCACACGCGCAACGGATCCGGCTATTAGCGGAGCTAAATCGGCCCCGAAGCGGTGCGAAATCGGGCTCTTTGAGTTGTACCGGAGCCAGTCATAGCCGGTGAAATAGATGATATTGGCAGGGACGGCCATGACCAGTGTCGGCGACAAGCCTCTCCATAAACTTGTGAGCCCCTCGTTCCGCGCGATCTTTCTTAGCCCATCCATCGTGGAGCTAATCGTTCTCCGTTCGATTTCCTCCACGGCGCATTCTGCTGCTGGCATATTTGCCGCTGCGCCTGACCGGGGCGGCATTGCGACACAATATTCGGCGTTGTTATTCATAAAGAAAACTTCTCGGCAGCAGGCTGTCACCCCAATGTTCGTCGAAGGCATGGTGTTTAGACTTTTCGTGGTGAGGATGATAGGCGAGAAACAGGTCGAATTGCCCGTGGGCACAGGCTGGGATTGCCAACGAACTCGGACGACATCGAGAGGGGTCACTGTCGAATATAGTGTGAGCAAGACTGCCAGTTCGTGATTCAATCCCCGAAGAAGAAGGAAAACCAACTACAGGCGAGGAACGTACTGAGGAGCGAGGTTAGAAAACTGCCGGACATGGCAGAAAACATCTTTTGAGTGGCCGTGATATCATCGTCTTGCCCCATCCCAGTTCCCTTCTTCGTCGGTGCAACGGGCGACATCTTGACAGAATTTTCTCGGCGGAACGTGTCCGGGAGATTGCCGTCCGTAGCCTGGAGAGTCGTGGTCATGGCGACCAAGGCCGCATGTTCCGGCAACTCAGCAGAAAAGAAGATAAGAAGAAGAACGATGGGTAAACCCCTCAGGGTTCAGTGAAGGTTCGATGAAATATTTCAGCCACAATAAAGTTCGGATGCAAAGATTAGTTTAAATTTCCAATGGAAAAGAAAAGAAAGGGTGGTAAGAACACGAGGCGAGGGCGTGGTTGCGGTGGCGCGTCGTCATCGACTGAAGTACGGATTAGTCTCCTAATAAATGGACCGAGGCCTTTTTTTTTTTTTTTCCTACCGGAGATAATTTCTACGCAGAGGACCAGAGGCGGGTCTTATCGGCCATCAAGTCTTCAGAGATCGGACCCCAATGGCAAAAAAGGAGGAGCAAGACCTCCTCGAGGGATGTGACAATGTCCGCTGGCCTCCGATTGGTCAGAAAACTAGTCTTAGTAAGCTCGGCTCCAACGACGATCCAAAATTGCCTCTTGAAGACGGGATGTCGATCTCGCCCCTCAACACTGACTGAACCTAAGGTAGGCATTGATTCGTAGGGCGAATGAACGACGTCCGATACTCGGTGTCTTGACTGAGTCTACACCGACCTCCAAATCACATACCCATTCCGATTATTTGCTTTCCATAATAAATCTCTTTATTTTCATTGTAGCCGTGTTTCTTTGAAGCCTCTTTTCAATCCATCTACCTGGGGCTTCCGTAACGGACTTTCTTTCAGATGAGATCTCATGGCATTTTAATACCTCTCGTCCCAAGTGTTCGGAGCTCATACCAAGTTCATCCGAGCCTCTTTGAAGGCTAAACATCTCAAAATGGAATCCGATCCTAGGCTTGATTCGGAGCTAGAGTCGTTCCGTCAGCAATGGCGCTCTGAGCTTCAAGCCAAGAAGCCATGGGGTCACTCAGGACAGAGGAGGACGTCTCATGCCACCACCGCTGCCTCGTCTTCACAACCAGCGCCGCGGTTAGAAGCGCACAAAGCGTCTATACCCAGCTTAGACTACGAAGATCCTAACGAAGACTATGTCCAAACTCGATCTTTTGATGAGCCGGCTGGCCCGTCCTCGTCTGGCGGGACTCTAGCGGACACCGGTACTCTGGATGAAAAAGAGCTCTTTTCGGCACTGGACCATTTTGAAGCAGCCGTTGAGAAAGAAGCCGTTGGAAGCTTAGGGGATAGTCTAAAGCTCTACCGGAAGGCATTTAGAGTGAGTCCTTCATCTCCTTGGTCTCACGCACCTCAGACGTACATCTGACGAGCCCAATCGACAGATGGACAGCCATGTGGACATGTTATACAGAAAGAAATATTTCCCAGGACCCCTTCGAAAGCCGTCCGAATCAACCCCAGGATCAGGCCTCACCAAAGTCCCAGCTAAGGGATCCAGCGCCGCCGATAATTTGGAAGCCGACCAGCCACAGTCCATCAAAGATTTGGTCGCGAGCTTCTCAGATCTCTCGATTGCCTCTGCACCCCCTCCCGTGGAGGGTGACGCGCCACCCCCATGTCCCATCGCCGATATCCCGCAAGAGGTTCTCGCTCACATTCTAACGGACCTGGCCGTCTTGGACATCGGAGACTTCGTCCGACTATCGGTCGTTTGTAAGCGATTTGCCTACCTCGTCGCGGCTGACGACCAGATCTGGAGGCGAGTGTGTCTGGGCCGGGAGTTCGGGTTCCAGGGGATGCACTATCACTGGCAGGCGGGTGTGGCGTGGGAACCTCTCCCGGACGAGGGCGAAGTCGGAGAGGAAGGCGAGTTTGTGACCATGGAAGAGCTGGCCCGTCGCCGCCGAGAAGAGAATCTCGCCATCACTGTATCACTATACCCGGAGTACGGTTCGTCGTGGCAGCGTATGTTCCGCCACCGGCCCCGCATCCGCTTCAACGGCTGCTACATTAGCACTGTCAACTACATCCGGCCCGGCCAGGCCTCGGCCAACCAGATCACATGGAACACCCCCGTCCACATCATCACGTATTACCGCTACCTGCGGTTTTTCCGAGACGGCACCGTCATCAGCCTCCTCACCACTGCGGAGCCGGGCGATGTAGTCCACCATATGACGAAGGACCTCCTCGCGCAGCACCGCGGCGGTGCCGCCCCGCATCTCTCTTCGGTCGTCCTCCAGCATGGACTTCGCGGCCGGTGGCGTCTATCGTCCGTGCTCGATCACCCCGATGGCCCCGATGGCGTGCCTAATCCAAAGGACGCCGAGGGCGAGCTGTTCGTTGAGACGGAGGGTGTCGGGCCCAAGTACATGTACCGGATGAACCTCTCGCTGCGAAGCGCCGGCCGAGGTACTCGTAACAACAAGCTCGTATGGAAGGGGTTTTACAGCTACAATAAGCTTACCGACGACTGGGCTGAATTCGGATTGAAAAACGATAAGCCGTTCTTCTTTAGTCGAGTACGCAGCTACGGAGTAGGAGCGTAGACTCTGTTCTCCTGTTTCCTTTTTCTTTCACCAGGCGTCGAACAGACTCGTTCCGATAGAGGTTCGGTTGTTGGATCTCATTGGCACACCAGCACCAGACATCATGGGAACCTCGCTCGTAAACATGAGTGTAAATGTTTCCCCCCCTTTTTTTTTCCTATTCTTTCCTTATAATCTTTTTAACTGTCTCGAGGCGTATCGTGTATCGCAAGCAGAGTTAGCACAGAGCTATTCCGATGCGGAAAGGATCCTGGATGGGATCTTTAGACCTTGGTACGTTTCTTCGCGTTTATCTTTGGGCTTGGATCGGCAAATATTCCAAAGACAGGGAGACAATTTCCGTTCATGACCCCCGGAGTGTCTCAGGGGACCTGATCATCTATAAAACACCAGACTATGGCCATCACCACATCCCATTTGCAATTCAAATGGCATCACGACGTCGATATTGCACCAAGTCCTAGAAGGTGATCAAGGAACACCATCGCAAAGCCCAACGTCAAAGCCCAACGTCACATGGCAAAAGTCTCCGTGCTTCATCTTACACAACCACAGGTTTCTAGTTAGCGTTGGAGGCTGCTGTTGTCGAATGCATAGCATATCGGATACTTCACACTCTGGTCCGCAGGACAGTCATGAGAGCTGTGTGTGATTGCCGCTGGATTTTTCAGGCCTCGTTCGTTTAATGTCAGTTGTTGCATGTTCGAGATGGCTGTTAGTAAGTCAACAGACAGGACATACAATCCCTCGTCCGTCCTGTGATAACTTGTTCATCGGCATAGGAACAGTATGCCGGCATGTTGGGCCATCAAAGTACCCAGTTCATATGAATACATGATGGGCGCATTTAAGATGGTGAATAAGGGTGTGTGTGTGTAACGGGCCCTACCTGTTGAACCGGTGAGGAGCGGAAGTCCCAGGGTTCCGCTCGACGGAAGACGTGTGCCTCATCTCCCCACGTGTGGGCTTGATGCGGGTTTGAGCTTATTGGCGGATTGGTCCGGATCGGGAAGATCGGGATGGCGTGCTATGAGGTGACTCGGGAAAATTGACGGCGCAGGATTTGGGGACGCGTAGCGCAAGTAAACTCGGGGGAAGCGCCCTAATTCAGGGGCGAACTGTCAGGATGATGACGGAGCTATGGGCGCTAGAGAGATGGCATGCTCAAAAGATGGATCTTCTTTATTTACACATTTAGACATCTTGTCAGCACGAATTTGGCCATGATATTTCGACGTTTTATCATTTGAAACGCCTATGGAGTAGGTACCATACGTGGGAATGACTTGTAGAGTTTTGAGGGTGTGTTTGTTCCTGTTGATAATTACTAATTCGTAAGTACAAAGTAATACCTACCTAGGCCGTGACTCGATAGACGACCAGTACCATTCGACTGTGGGGTCGGTTCCTGGCAGGCTGGCGTTCGGTGGGAGTGGATGTGCACTGCTTTTCTTAGTCCAACCCACTCCACGACATAATAATACAAACTATTAATCTGGGGAAATTCCCGGAAGGTGGGGGTATGGTGGTGTGAAGGGTTGAGCGTGTTTTCACGCAAAGTGTCCCCGGAGGTCGGGGTTCGGAAGAAATACGTGTAGGTATGTCATGTTATGCAATTGATATTTATGGTTGTCAAACTGGCACCGGGCTCGGAGTTCTACTCCGTAAAATAAAGACAGAAATTGCATGGATATCCGTATCAAAGAGGTACTTATCCTTGATGTGTTGTTGAGACCCGCGTAGACCAGATTACATACCAGACTAGGGTGTAGTTCGCTGAATACCGGTACTGGAGCTCGTGGGGTCGAAGCAGTAACTCCACGTCCCACGCAGGGGTCACGTTCACCCAGGAGTTCGAAGGGGTGCCAAGAGGGTGTCACAGCCGTAGGCAGGGATCACTGCAGCGAGGAGGGGTGTTTAACGTTCTGCGGCCTTGGGTGGGTCCCTGTCGCATAACGGGGTCGTTGCGTCATTCCTGATTAGGCAAATCAGCGTATTTAATTATGGGTCGCGATACGAAGACATCACGTGTAGATATCAGGACATCGATATATAGGTCTATAATAAATATCCCGGGCGGCCTAAGTACTATACCTACTTTATATATATTGATAAAGACGCTATATATTATTATTATATTTGCTGCCTTATCTACCTACCTACCTACCTACCTACCTACCTATATATCTAATTACCTTATTATCTTATTAACCTTCCCTAATTAAAGTACGATAGCTCTTCTAATAATAATAACAATAATACTAATAACAATAATACTAATAATAATAATACAAATAATAATAATACAAATAATAATAATACTAATAATAATAATACTAATAATAATAATACTAATAATAACTACTATTATAATAGCCGAAATACCCTCTAACACTATACTATACAGTACTACGCTACTATAGGGCTTTTTACTTTATAGTAGGAGGTATACACGGCTCTAACTATAAGAATATATATAGTATCTTAATCGATATATATAACATAGCATAGTACTTAGGCCGTCCGGAATATTTATTATAGACCTATATATTAATATCCCGATATCTATATATAATGTCCTCGCATCCCGGCCCTTAATTATATACTAGGTTCTATTATTTTTTTTCTCTTTCGTCCTATTTGCTTAATTAATTAATATAGGTAATATCGTATAGGCAGGACCACGATATAGTCTATAGGGGATCTAGGGGGGATCCACTCTATAACTAAGGGCTCCGGATATCGGGGACTTCGGGTATTATGATATAATAAGGGTAGATACCGGAAAAGACCGGATAGGATCTAAATAATATAGTATCTATAATAGAGTCTTCACCACCTAAATTAAGAGTATAAGAGACTCTCCTAGATATAACTAGATATAATATATATACACGAGATTTCTACTCTACTAAGTTAATTATTTAAGTGCCTTTTAACGTACGATAGTTATAAGCCCGGTTTATAACGCCTAAACGATAGATATTAATAAGGCTACCCCTATTCCACTATAAAAAAGTAATCACGTCTATATAAGCACTCTTAAATAACTACTATCGACCTAATTAGAGTAATTAAAAGATTAATTAACCTACCTATTAATTAACTAACCGATAAACAATAATCTAGTAAAGATATCTTCTAACGTATCTAACGCCGAATAGAAGGCGGCCGCTACCACCCTCGTTAACTAAAGGGATTAGGTAGTTTAGGAGCGCGCCGTACGCGGTAAATCGGCCTCCTACTAGAATAACTACCTTAATCTAAAGCTAAGCGATAAGGAGGCTAACGCCTATCTCCTCCCTATATCTATACCCCCTAATATTCGTAAATACGAAGCCCTTACCGCGGACCCTAATACGGAGGAGGCCACGGCCACTACTATCACGGCTACTCCGTTTTCTACTATCACGCTAGAGGGCGACGAGGCCATAGATACCACGGACGCTGCCGCCACGGCCGCCGGTAAGAGGAAGACGGCCGCTCGCCGGAAGGCTATAGCTATAACGAAAGAACTAACGACTAGGACGCCCACATCTATTAATAAGCTCTCTAAAAAAGGGCGCACGCACTACCTATAAGATCGCCGTATATACCGCGAGGAAAACGCAGACTACGACGCGTAGTAGAAGAAGTTTAATAAGGTATACTCCTATATCGAAAGGACCGTATACACCACGTTACGTAACCTCCTCGCCTAACTATAGGATAACACCGTAAATAACCCGCGGGCCTAGATAACTCTCCTATACGCGTATGTAGGACTAACACCTATAGACCTCTATAAGGAAGCCCTAGTCCTATACCGACGATACACCACGCCTATAAAGGCTATACCTAAGGATATAGACGCTTAGGTGGTAAGCTAGAAAATAGCGATAATATATCATAAATATATAGGCGTTTTAAAGCTATTAAGCGTGGACTATTAGGTAAAAGACGCGTTAAAAGCTATTAGACCTATTACCCAGGAATAGAGCAATAACTACCTAGTAAATAACTATGATAAGATTACGGAAAATAAGCTAATGATTAACGACTTCGTAAAGGCTCTAAGGGCGGTTTTTAGTAATATAAAGAGCCTATAATCCTCCGCTATAAAGCCTAGAGTTAGGAGAGGCACTTTTAACACCCTTAGGAACCTCCCCGATACTAAGAATACTACTACTACTAATAATAAAGATAATAAAAAGCGTCCTCGTAGAGATACGTCCTTAAAGGCTATCCCTCCCGTAATAAAGAGGCCTTATAAGATATATAAAAACACTTATACTACCGCTGCCTATTAGTACGTAAGGCCGGATATACGCCCTTATACCTAGCGTGGCCGTGAAGATATTATAAAGGTCGCGGAAAAGAAGATACGTATTTATAGTTTTAAAAGCCGCGTAGATACCGCGATATAGAAGAGGCGGGAAGTAGTAGCTACCACCGCTAATAAGATAAAGGAAGTCTAGGAAGATTAACTCTATAATACTACGCCTACTATAGTTTATAAAGACCTATCCGTTACCGCGACGGGGAGACTAAGAGCCCCCCTAACCTAAGGGGTAGCGCGTCGTCGTATAACGATACTATTAAGATTATAATAAGAATAAGGGATATCCCTTTCTATTAACTAAGCCAGAGCGCTATTCTACTACGCGATCCTAGACTTAGAATCGTTAATCTATATCTTTAATAATTACGGCCGTTTTACAGCCGTTAGACCACCTATAGTTAGTCTATTAACGCTTTAGGTAGGTACTTATAAGGCTCCTATCCTCGGATACGGAGATATTAAGCTACGTGTATAATCCCTAATAGGTACGAAAAGGCTATTACGCCTCCGTAACGTCATATACTATAAGGAATTCGTTACTAATATCGTCTCGGAACGCCAGCTACGCCTATAAGGTTACCGCTAGGATACCATAAATAATACTATTATTAGCTCCGCCGATAACCGGCCTATCTATAAACTACTAAATATCCACGGCTAATATATAATCGAGCGCGCAGAAGCCCCGGCCGCTACTACGTTCGCGGTCTTAGTAAGGCACCCCCGCGATAACCCGTATAGAAGATTACGATAACCGCGGTAACTATAGAAGACCACGGTATAATAGTAGTATAAACGCCTCGGCCACTACGGCACCGATACTCTTATAAAGATTTTTCAACGCCACTTAGGGGGTAAAGATAAAGGGACTACATATAACGGACTATAACGCGTGTGGATAGTCGTAAATACCTACGTAGATCCGGCGGATACTATCTCTTTACCCGTTAAAGCCTGGAGAGGCCCTAGCTATTAATTTTCACGATCTAAAAGAGGTGGAGTAGTTAGCGGGCGGACTATATAAGTCTATTATATTCGTTATAGACGTGTATATAGGTTATACGTAGGATTACTACTTATAGAAAAAAGACTAAGGCTTTATCCTACATGCTCTAAAGAACGTTTTTACCCTACTTAAGACCTAATTCGACGTTAGGCTACGCGTTTTATAGACCGATTCTAAGATATTTTAGCACCTAGAAGTCGTTGCTTTCCTCGCTGCTAAGGGGGTAAAAGGCTAGCCGTCGGCATTATATTTATAGGATTAGAACGATATTATAGAACGGATTAAAGGCATCGTTAAGAGAAGAGCGAGGGCTATAAGGATTAGAGCTAATCTGTCTATATCTACCTAGCCTAAGATCTTTAAGACTACTATATATCTATATAATAGAACGCCACGATATATTAACGACTAGAAGACACTATACGAAGGCTTACGCAGCCGTTAACCTAACCTTACGCACCTATAAGCTTACGGCTATAAAGTCTTTATAAAAACGCACGATGCCTAAGCTAAAAGGAACTGCCTATAAAGGCTAGAACCGAAGATATAAATTGGCTATCACGTCGGATACTAATTCTTAAATAGCTTCCGTATTTAGCTACTATACCTAATAGATATTATCACTATAAAAGACGTAGTCTTTAACGAAGACGAGATATTTAACGGCAGGATTAAAACGCTATAAGCTATAGCTTCCGCTAAGGAAATCGGGGGACGCCTATAATCTATCCGTATCACCTATACCACGACCGCGAATAGGCTACTATTAAGGGGTATAGCTGTAGACGTATTAGATCTTAAGTCGGAAGACTCTTATGCTACCGCTATTACTACGGACGAAGGTAAGGCTATCGCTATTACTATAAAAGAGGCTACTACTATTACTGTAGATAAGGTTCTAAATTTATAGCCTAATAACTAGGCTATAGATTTAGAACCTTATAACTCCGATACCACCGCTATTACTACGGGAGAGGCTACTGCTATTACTACGGACACTTCACGGTTTACCACTACGAGGTTTAAACCGTTTCCTACGCCTTTAATATCTCCTAAAGATCCCGCGCGCGCGTTCCTTATAGCGTTAGCGGTAGTTAGGGGCGCTAAGGTAGAAGAACACGATAACCACTAACGGACAGCTATAGGTGCCCCTAGGGGGTGCCTATCGGCTATACTCCTATCGGCCGCGCGCCTATTACCCGCACGCCTATCTATCGCGAGAACTATTATAAGTATATATATAACCGAGAAAGTCTAGAATAATAACGCCTAAAAGGCGTTCTTTAATGCTAGCAGGATTTATAACCCTACACGTATAAGAAAGTAAGCTATTAACGACGACGATATCGGTGCTATAGATTCCCCTTATACCTCCTAGCCGCTATCGCTATCGTATATAACCCGCGAGGATCTCCCGCCTCTACTAAACTACTACCGCGATATACGCCTTTATCCGTTACGGGAGCGGTGGTTATAGGCTAAGGGGGAATACCTTAAGGGGCACCGATAGATAGGCTATTAGTAGGAGGTAGGTAGTAATTAGGCTAATAAGCAATAAGTCCTCGTCTATAAATAGGTATACACCTATAAATTTAATAAGGAGGGCACCCTCGTTAAGTGTAAGGCACGCCTCGTAGTCTAAGGGGATTAGTAAAAACGGTTAGAGACTAAAGATAACTACGCCGTAATGCTAGCCTCGCGGTTCTTCTATATACTAATAGCGATCACCGCCCGGTTTAACCTAAAGATAAGGCAGTTCGACGCTATTAACGCGTTCGTTAATACTAGCCTTAAGGAAAAGGTATTTATAAAGATACTATAAGGCTACGAAGTACTAGGTAAGGTCCTGCTACTACGGAAAGCCCTCTTCGGCTTAAGAGTATCGCTACTGCTATAGTAAGAGGAATTTAGCGGCACGCTATAGAGGATAGGATTTACGGCCGTTCCTAATAACCCTTATATTATAATCCGCGATAGTTTAATCCTATTCTTCTACATTAACGATATCGGACTTATATACTATAGAGACCGTAAGACGGACGCCGATAACCTCGAGGCTGCCCTTAAGCGAAGCTATAGGTTATTAGGAGGCGAAGAAATCCGTTAGTTCCTGGGAATTAAGGTCCTAAGAGATAGAGCCACCCGAAGGTTATAGCTATTATAATCCTCTTACGTGGAGAAGATCGCGGTTAAATACTACGTAGATATACTCTGCCGAAAACCACTAAAGGTCCTGTTATTAACGATAAAGCCGCTAATGCCCCGCGATAGTATACACGCGTCGATTCCCGAGGTCTATTAGTATTAGGGTATAATCGGTTCTATCCTATACGCCGCTATTATAATAAGACCCGATATCGCGTTCGCCTATTCGAAGCTTTCCTAATATAACGTTAACCCCTCCTCTAACTATCTTAAGAGGGCTTAATAAGTGCTGCTATTTCTATACTATATAAGACACTATTACCTAGAATTCGGCGGGGATAGGCTTTTCTTGATAGTAAGCGACGCGTCTTTTAGGGATAATCTAGACCGTAAGAGTTCGTAAGGATATACGATAAAGCTCTTCGGCGGCACCGTTAATTAGAAAGCGGGTAAATAACCGACGGTCACGATATCGTTAATAGAATCGGAACTACTCGCTTTTATAAAGGCCGCTAAAAAGACGTTATTCGTTAGCCGGATATTAAGGGATTTAGAGCTTCGGCTGGACTAATAATAGCTATAGCTATACTACGATAATTAACAGACTATTAACCTCGTTAATAAGAAGGCATAACGCCTGCGGATAAGGCTGCGGCACGTTGATATATATAACTAGTAGGCGCGCTAGTTAATATAATAAGGTCTTCTTAAGGTTATATACGTTAACACGAAGGAGATAATCGCGGACAGATTAACGAAGGCATTACCGGAGGCGGGGATTAAAAGACTATAGCAATAGCTTAATTTAACTAATTAAAAGGATCGTATCGAGTAGTCTAAATAACTACACGAAGAGATTAAACGCGCTAAAGCGGCCGTAATAAAGGCCCCCGAGGGCGTGGTAGATCCGATGGATATAGATCCAATTAATTAGATCCGGCTAATCAGGATCGAGGAACCAATTAAGATAGAATTAAATTAAACGGTTAAATAGGGCGGATTTAGATCCCTTTTACGAGGGCGTTTCCCCTTAACTATTAATTTTACGATAGAAAAGTTAAGAGCGTTTAGTTTAAACCGAAGCCTCTAATTAGTTAGTTAACCTGGGAAGACCCACCTTAACTAAGGGGGTATATCGTATAGGCAGGACTACGATATAGTTTATAGGGGATTTAGGGGGGATCCACTCCATAACTAAGGGCTCCGGATATCGGGGACTTCGGGTATTAGGATATAATAAGGGTGGATACTGGAAAAGACCGGATAGGATCTAAATGATATAGTACCTATAATAGAGTCTTTACTACCTAAATTAAGGGTATAAGAGACTCTCCTAGATATAACTGGATATAATACACACACACGAGATTTCTGCTCTACTAAGTTAATTATTCAAGTGCCTTTTGACGTGCGACAGGTAATTTGTACGACGGACGCAAATTTTCGTGGTTACACAACGGATTGCGTCCATAAGTCTTACAACACAGGACGAGGAGCTGGTGCCTTACGGTGCCTTACGGGAGGGGGTCCAGTTTATATAAGGATGAGTCCTACCTTAGTGGCAAAAAACGAAGGCGGTTGAAGTATGAAATACACATGCTTATGGTCCACGCATGTACGGATTGTCCGTACTCCGTACCCGAACCCAGGACCCGAGGTTTGCCAATGTCGAATCCAGAATCCGGAATCCAGAATCCAGAAGCAAGAGAAAGAAACAGAGACGCTCTGACCAAGCGAAGATCCACAGTATGGGGATGAATAGTGCTAGGCGGTGTCGCAATGAATGCGCGGGAACACGCCATCGACCCGGCGCCGACCCCAGCCAGATAGGCCCAAGTGACTAACTGCGTCTCTCGTCAACGTTTTTTTTTTCTTCCCTTTTTTTCTTTTCTTCTTGTTAACCGAAGCACATGATGCACCAGACAGAAGATAAAAATACAAGAGAACCTCGACAAATACCAATGCAAACTGCAAGTTTTGTGTGAGTTTTTGCCCACAGCCCGAACGATTATTGCCGATAATACGGACACCGACTGCACGAACAGTGGACGAACGAGGCCCGCCCACGTAAAATAAACGGCCGTCTCATGACCACCAGTCATGTCAAAGGGACCGGCAATTTTCTCTTCTCTCCCTGGTCCCCCTTTTCTGCCCGCCCTTTTCTGACCGACTTATCGTCCACTTACCCTCACCCGCTCCCGCCTAGAGTGCTCCAAGTCAACTAAACTAGTCGAGATCTGGGGCCACCCCTTCCTTTCATCTTTTTGTTATCTCTCTTCTTACATTGTGCCACCTGTAATAGTGCCCGCCTCGAGACCATTTTAAGAGACGTGGACATCCCCCACGCCTCTTGTTTTTCACTCTGTCTTCCTTCATCCAAACCTTTCCCGTACGCCCACTAGATTGCCATCGACAACGCTGGATTGGTATCTCTCATATTCTCACTTTACTATACTTCGGTTCTCCTTTTCTCGGATTTAGTGTCACCCTCCCACCACCCCGAGTTGGTCACACGTTTCTGACTTGCTGCATACTGGCTGCCCTTACCACTCTCTGCAACTATTCACACATCCGATCTTATACTCTTAACCTTTGGGTGCGACTTGCCAAACCGTCAAAGTCGCTCCTACTCTCTGGGCCAACACACCTTTAGGCGGTCTTCTCTGAAACTCTCCATCTTTATCAACTCCTTCAGAAGAACCATCAGGCCGTCAACTTCGCAGGTGCACCTCCGGAAAGATGGCTCCGGATCTCAACTCCCTCCCTTCCTCCCCTCTGGCCACGGCCTCGAGGCCCGTACAGAACCAAGGTTCTACGGGGGAAAAGAAACCGAACATTCTCTACATCATGGCGGATCAACTTGCTGCGCCACAGCTTAAGATGTACAATCCGAACTCACAAATCAAGACCCCTAATCTGGATGGACTCGCGGCCAAGTCAGTCCAGTTTGACTCGGCTTATTGTCCGTCCCCATTGTGCGCCCCTTCGCGCATGAGCATGATCTCGGGTCTTCTGCCCATGAAGATTGGGGCGTATGACAACGCTAGCCAGATCTCCAGCGACATCCCCACCTATGCCCATTATCTCCGTCTTCACGGTTATCACACCGTTCTCGCTGGCAAGATGCACTTCATCGGCGACCAGCTCCATGGCTACGAGACCCGCCTGACCAGCGACATCTACCCGGGCGACTTTGGATGGGCTGTCAACTGGGATGAACCTGACACGCGTCTGGAATGGTACCACAACGCCAGCTCCATCCTGCAGGCCGGTACCTGCGTCCGTAGCAACCAGTTGGATTACGATGAGGAGGTCATGTTTAAGTCGACACAGTTTCTTTACGACCATGCTCGGGAGGGCCCCGACGCTCGCCCTTTCTGCCTGACTGTGCGTGATTAAAAACGATTCTCCTCAGCCACACCTTGGCATCTTTGTGCTTGAAGTTTTATTACGGTATGCTGACAGGACTGTACAGGTTTCCCTCACTCACCCTCATGACCCGTACACGATTGACAAACATTATTGGGATCTCTACGAGGATGTTGACATTGAGCTGCCCAAGGTCCGGATTCCCAAGGAGGAACAGGATCCCCATAGCAAGCGCCTCTTGAAGGTGTGCGATCTGTGGGACCAGGATTTCACCGACGAGCAGATCAAGCGGGCCAAGCGGGCTTACTACGGCGCCGTCAGCTACGTAGACGACTGCGTCGGTCGTCTTTTGAGCGTTCTGGAGCGGTGCGGGCTTGACGAGAACACGATCATTGTCTTCAGCGGCGACCACGGTGACATGCTGGGAGAGCGCGGCCTCTGGTAAGTGCAGGTTCTTCCCCTTGACTGCAATCAAATCTGGAATGTGCTGTTTTGGGCTAACGCGGTTGTGTCAGGTACAAAATGAGCTACTTCGAGTCTTCGGTACGCGTGCCCCTTTTCATCCACCACCCTCGCCAATTCGAGCCGCGCCGCGTATCCCAGAACGTTTCGACCCTGGACATCCTCCCTACCATGTGCGACCTTGTGGGGACCAAGCCTGCCGCCGGCCTTCCCATGGACGGCATCTCCCTGCTCCCTCACCTTGAAGGCAAGGAAGGCCATGACACCGTATTCGCCGAGTATACGGGCGAGGGCACCATCAGTCCGCTCATGATGATTAAGCGCGGTCCTTGGAAGTACATCATTTGCCCCACGGATGGCGTTCAGCTCTTCAACCTCGAGAAAGACCCTCTCGAGCTGGTGGATTTGGCCAAGATCTCGTCCAAGGGAGCTGAGACGGAGCAAGAGAAGGAGGCGGCCCAGAAGCTGGCCGAGTTTAACGCCGAGGCCAGGGAACGGTGGGATTTTGACGCCATCACCGAGCAAGTCTTGGTCTCGCAGCGCAAACGTCGACTGGTCTGGTCCGCTCTGACCAAGGGCAGCTTCACTAGCTGGGACTTTAACCCCGACGATGATGGACGAGTCAAGTATGATTTTTCAACTCCTCCTCGTTGGGATCTTTTTATTTTTTTATTTTTTACGAGGCTAACTCTTTTCTTAGGTATATCCGCTCTCAGATCCCTCTTGACCACCTGGAGCGCCGTGCTCGCTACCCCCCCGTGGACAAGTACGGCCGGGAGATCCCGCGAGCGACGATCGGCTCCACCATCTTGGTCGACCAAGCTGGCTCTCATAACCAGTAAAGATCTGGAGCTTTTCGAAGCAAAGGCTTTTCGAGGGCCTTGTGAACCTCCACGTTTTTGACGCCTTTTATGACTTTTGAAATTTACAATTTGCGCTGTGATATCCCGATGCAGCATCTAAGCGTGCGGCGTTTTGATTCGATAGCATTGGCATGGAGAGCAGCCAATCTTCTCCCTCTCCTTTTTACTTCATTTCTTTCTTCTCTCTGTTTATAGTATTTTTTGGGGGGTTTCTTCGGCCAGTACAACATGTTACTCCTGTATTTTCCAAGCCTAATCTTGCATGATTGTGTATCATGTCGACATAGCCGGAAGAATAAATTTGTGCTTCGGTGTGGGAAAGGGAAATAGGTGCCAAAATAAGGACCGGGAGCGGAAAGAGTATGGGCAAAACTATATTGTAAATGATGCTATCAAATTGTCTTGTAGAAGCACGCCACCTGAACAATATGGACACCCAGGAACTGCATAATATTTTGATGACGGGATGGGAATAGGGTTTAGGAAGCTAAAATGTTCGCATTCCGTTCGATATCATCAAGCAAAGTTCTTTTTAGCTGGATTTGTTAGAAGATGTAACAATGTTCGCATGCGCCTTCTTAATTTCATCACTGGAACTTGAACGTTGGGTATTGGCGCAGAGCCGCACCCCCCGGGACCCATTCGTCCCCAGAATTCCCCCGCGTCAGATCACGCCAGTGATACGTGACGCCCGCCCACCTCAAGTTGGACCTCAGGCAAGTAGTTGCCCATTTGGTTATGGGGCAGGGAGCAGGACCAATTCGATCGCGTTATTGCCCATATGCGCCATGACGCTGGTGCGGGACTGCAGGTACTGGGGTACACACGCACATATATACACACACACTTTCAATACCGCCGGCATATCTAAGCGGCCTAAGAATTTAGTGGTTACTTCGAACGTGCCATCTTCATGCCCAGGATCCGAAGAGAGGGAACCTGACGTACCGTACACCGAAGGATATCGGTGAGGAAGCCACCACCGACCTGTCCACTGCCCACTTTACCCCACTTTACATGGTGAACCTCGGTGAGAAACGTCGACACCGCAGTCACCAACACAAGCCCACCCCTGCTGCCATTTCTCAACCGCATCGTAAACACAAGCCTGTTCATTTCAATTGCACCCTCGTTTTTCTTCCTTATTATTTGCACGCCAATTGAAGCAAATCATTCTCGTACATGAATTCCTAAACACCCTTGCCTTTTACCGGTTGTGCTGCAGCATTCTGCCTTTACGTATCCTCCATACAACACTGCCAACGCAATCCGACACTGACGGGGATTAACCTCCCTCCGTATCGGCAAACAAATCGAGTGCGCCGCTTTCAGGTATTCTCGTGGCATAGATACATACCATGGCATACGCCTCGCGACATCAGGCCAACGCGCTAGGCCTTACCGACGACGAGATAAAGTCCATCGAGCAGACGCGTCAACGGCTTTATCAACTATCCAACAGTATCCAGAGCTTCAAGGCCGACATCGCCAAGAGCAATCCACTACCTCCCCAGTGCGTAATTCTTTTCTCACGGGAATGCATCTACATATACCACCCCCTCCTCCAACGCGCAATTGGTCTTGGTGAGGTTCCTGTGCTTTGCTAACGTAGCCTCTTCGCCCCAACACAGATCCTCACTCCAAGCACAGTACCATATTCTCCTCCGCAATCTCCAATCCCTACTCGACGTGCTAACCGAGAACGCCGTTCCCTTCGCACATACTTCGATCCATCCGGCCGTCAACTTCCCCGGTCGCACGCAAGAGAACGTCCTCCTCACGCTGCTGCGCAAGAAGCGCGAGCCGGAAGTCGAGGAACACGTGGAGCGTGGCTTGGAGAAGACGCGCGAAGTGCGTGCTTCCGGCGCGGCGCCCGGCGAAGGGGACGGCGTGCAGAGGCTCGAGGCCGTGTGGGACGAAATACGAGAGTGGACGCAGGGGCGGGTACAGAAATACGTGCTCGAGCAGGCGGGAGACGTCTATACTCGGAAGGAAAGGGAGGACGGGATCGAGAAAGTGCGGACGGGTCTGAAGAGGCCCTTGGAGGAGCCGGAGGAGAGCGAGGAAGAGGAGGACGAGGAAGGGGAAGGCGAAGGCGAAGAGCAGCCCGACGGCGATATCGTGATGGGCGATGGTCAGGGACAGCCGCGGCAACAGCCACAACAGCCACAACAACAGCTACCGGAGCCGGAGGTGTTCTTCTGGTTTGCTGCGCGCGGCGAATTTACGCTCCCTCCCAATATTGAGTTGGAGAAGGATGCTGCGAAGAGGACGCGGCTCGCAGTGGCGGGCGGGATGCCTCGTATGTGAAGTTGGCTTGGCGTTCAATATTTTCACTTCAGCCCTAGCCGGGAGGGCAGTTATGCCAAGGGCTTGCCATTACAACGTATCCGTTTGATGGATTGGAGGTTACTGTGCTGAGACATGCTGCCGGCTCTTGTAGCGGCAGTCCTGCAACTTTACCATTGACTCACTTCAGGACCTTTTCATGCGTACTATGAAAAGTGAAACTTATTCAACAGCGCGCAAGATACGGGCCAGACGATGCTAGTTGCCATTTCGCTTCAAGGAATGAGCCCCAGGATTCGACGATATGCTGAACGTGCCGAGGTGACGCATGATAGTCCACGCCGCCACGAAGTTACGAACGCTCGACAGACGCCCCTTTTCCAGGTGGCTTGCTTAGAGTTGCTGGGTAAAAGCAAATTATTGGTTCAGCGGAATTAAGGACCTTTTTTTCCTCATCGGTTGGATAAGCTGGCCTAAAAGAAAAGAGTGATTGGATTTGACGTGTGGGAGAGGGCTGGAGTATTTAAGTACGGTGTTTGGCGTCGCAGCTCTCTCTACGTTGGTTATCATTTCTTCGACTTCTCTATACGCGAAACCGTTACTTGCACAAGTCGAAGTCAGGACCCATGACATCCGATCAGGCCTTGCATAGACCGTCAATCTCGAGCGACTTGCCTTGTCCCATGGATCTGTCAATTTCACCCCCCAACTCCAAACACACAGCCGAGGCCGAGTTCCCCTTCACGAGCTTGCCCTATGAGCTTCGGCAGCATGTTTATCACTGGATCTGGCTCCAGAACCCACTTGATCCTCAAAGATTAAACCCGAAAACGGAACGAGGAACTATTTCTCTCAGAGCTCGTTTTCGGGAGGACCCCCTCTTCCTTCACTTCTTGGAATCGACGCTGTATATCACCGAGGCCGTTCGATCCGAAGAAAAAGACAACGCCAAACGCGGCACAGTGCAGCAGCCTAAGACGGGCGAGAATAAAGAAGAGCCCCGATTGTTGTCGCCATATCGTCCTGCGTGCTATCTTCCCGCGGCTCTGCTCCGCTGCAGCAAGCAGGTATATCGGGAGGCTCGGGAGGTTCCATTTCGGAAGAATGAATTTTGCTTTCTGAACCGGTGGTCGTCGGGCCTGCTGGCCGCTTGGAGAACCGCCTCTCGGCTCGCGCCATGGCAGCTGTCCGTCTTGCGTCAAGTCCACATTGAGCTCACGCTCCCGTGTCCGTACAAGTGGATCGAGCTCTGCCGCTTCTTCTCTCGTGGGTTGTGGAGGCTGCGACTTCGAGTTACTTTGGCCAGTAGGGAATACTGGGAGCTCGTGAGATCTGGTTCTCTCTTCCTGGGCCATGTGGACGCAGAGCAAAAGACGCTGTATACACCTATGAGGAGGGAACTGAACGTTCCCGAATTCTTTGGTGCGCAACCTCCGTGCAACTTGGGTCATGAATTGGCGTTGGTCAAAGGCGGCCTGCGCGGCCTGTATTCGTTGCGGGTGCTCGAAATCGAATTATCGAATTTCCCTTGGAGCGACGACGAGAAGCTCTCGTGGTGCTCTGCTCTGCAGGCTGATCTCAACCTCCGCAGAGAAGGCACAGGTGCACCCCCCGTGACAGTCACCTACGTCTCGTCGGTAGATCCCGAAAGTTCGACTGACAGTGGCCACGAGATGACATTGGATGTACTAAACACATCCCTTTTACACCGCGCGCTCATGAACGGGGTTCTGACAAGGGTTTGTTGAAGCGGAAACGAAGCAGGAGACGAGGCTATCAGTTCTCAGTCACCCCCTTTTCGACGCAGAATTCCTTGCCCTGGGTGGCTCAAAAATATGGAGGTTCTCATGTGTATTGTTGAGGTCCTTTGGTTTTTCTTACCAGTGAATCACGACACGAGCTTTCTGGCCGTACGTGACAAGCCCTGGGGAACGCATATTGATAGCAGCACTATGGAACTTCTTCCAACTTCATCTGGAGCTGTGCCTCATTTCGATGCAATTCACCTCCCTTCATTCACCTACATTATCTATGCTGTTTTTCTTAGTACGTTTGTGTTATATAAAGAGTCATCTTGAACGACCTTTCGTGCCCAAACTTACCCCCCCGACAACGGCACACGACTTTCTTCAAGGTATGGCGAACAGCCCGGCACAAAATACACCACTGTCAAGTCTCGATCAATATGCTAAGTCGAATCACTTTAGAGATATGGCGACCTTGACCTTGACTAAGACTGTCAACTACCTTACCACACCATCATTCTACCTGTGCCACAGAAACGGTATAGACGAGCAGATGATCTTGCTCCATGGCAGCATCCTTCTGGGTATCTTGGTCGCTGTATGCTGCTACCTTTGGCTATGGGAACCCAACGCACATCTTCCCGGACATACAAGTTACCAGATTCTACTTCCTGTGCTCCAATGTATTTGGCCTGCCATACGATATTTTTCTCTGGCGGTTGGGGGCATATACTCCCTGGGTGTTCGGGCGCTCCTCCTCCTCTGCGTCGATCTTCCAGATGTTATGGACAAGCGGGTGGACAGGTATTGTTGGAGGCTTCGCGGGGCCCCGGAGAGATACGTGCCCAAGAAGCTGAAGCACGTCAACCTCGCCGACAGAGAGGAGGTTGACGCATACTGGGATATGCATGCTCCCAAGTTTAACGATGTCTTCGACGTGGACGAGGCAGAGACTGTGAGGCCTGCGTGTGGGGGGGCTATGGGGAAGAGTGACGGCTGCGATACTATATATCGGAAGCAGCTTCGGCTAAGGTCCGCGCAGGCTAGGGTAATGCGACACCATTCTCGGTCGAAGAGTTGGTGAGGCCGGAGAAGAATTTATTTGGGAAGGGGGTCAGTGGATTGAGTTTGTCGGCCGAGGTCGTCGACCATGACGATGGTATTTAGGGGTCTCATTGCCCAGATGTTATATCAGGAAATAACCCTTTGCTTTCTTTGTCTCCCCGAATCCGGTGGCCATATACCAAGATACCCATGCACAGATAAAGAGCCAGATCGGATCATGGCTTCTTCCAGCTGCACCAATACTGCAGGAAGCAGTTCTGATGGCTTACTTGGCAATAGCGTCAAATTCCACGGCCAGCAAATCATGTTGTGGTCGAGGGAACCATTGTACTACGTATAATGCATTCGAGACACCCGAAGAATGTCTAGAGGAAAACGACACCACACAAGGAGCCTCATGGGTCTTGGCAAATAACCCAACGAGCAGCTTGGTAAGATTGATATGAGAACGGCAGTGAGAAACTGATCCGCGAATGGAGGCGTCTTGAACCGCCTATTCTTTTGTCCCCTGGGAAGTGAAAGAGTGACTTGACCCTGAACCCGTTGCCGGGATCCTTACGATGAGGTACGGAGTAAGTAAGGAGACGCTCCAAACCAAGGTGCCTGACGGAGCACTACACTACGTATACCGTACCTTATTAGCTCCGGTTGGTTATGACGTCAGCAGTCCAGGATGACGAGGGTCGTACTTACCTTATTACTGTCCACGGTTCAATCGTTCAATGTTGCCTTTACGGGAAGATTACGGGAAGATTACGGGAAGGCGAGACTACTGAGTCACCTATCTTAGGTAAAAGGTACGAAGCCTGTAGAATGTACATATCGCTGTTTGAGTGTGATGTTGATACATTGATCCCTGCAGAAGCTTTCCCCTTGGTGGCCCGGTATAAATGCTCGCTGGCCCTTGTCCGACCTTTCTATCTTTTTTTATTATCTTTTCTTATTTTCTTTTCCGGGCTCATCTTGTTCGCCTCTCGCTCTGCTTGCACTAGTGAAGCACACGCATCCGGGGAATGTTACACGTGTAGAAACGCGAGCTAAGACGACGGATTCGGATGCCAACACCACGCCCAGCATCTGAGTGAGACATGGATGGATCCTCCCTCGAGTCAACGTTGATAAAAACCCTGCGTTTCCCTTGACCCTTCACTCTCCGGGGTATTTATTGCGAACCTTGCTTAACGTATCTACTGGCACTGGTGCTTGTCCTGGTGAGTTTTGCGTGTGTGCTCTCTTGTATGCGGAGCAGGATGTCGGGTACCCGGTAGGTAGCTCACAGTCCATCGCACATCCCCGTACATGTCTGTGTTGGTATTATCCTCAGGTATCTTTTCTTCTTCTTGTAGGACATCACTTCGCCATCTGCGACCAGCAAGGACGAAGGGAGACCAAGTCCCTCGCTTGAATTTGTTACTTCTCTTCATTTCTCACATCGTTCTTTCTCCCCCAAACTTCAACTTCTCCATGCTAGGTACAGGTCTTCTCAGCTATATGGACAACACTGCAGGCCTCGTTGTCATCCCAGAGTCCCCCACTCCCACCCTTCGTCTTTCGACCGAACCTTGCGGTAAAGCCTGATATACTTACTGCTCTTCGACTGCCTCATATACTTCCGCCGGGCTCCTATACGTACGTCCACATCGTCTGTTGTCAACTTATCTTACTCCGTAGACGTCCAGCTATCTTCGAGCCACTTGACACTACCCCTGCTTTCACTCCTCCACAGTCGCCCGTTCATTCATCATGTACATCGTCTCCGAATTGTATACTAACATGCTCAGCTCAGCTCGAAGGGCTACAGCGGCCATGCGGTCGAGGTGGATCACCAACGCCCTCCTGGTTTTGCTCCCCAGCTTTGTTGTTGACCAGCTCCGCCACGATCACCACCACCTCAAACCCCTACGCTTACATGCGACCTCGTACATCGACGGCCTCCGCGGGATAGCTTCCCTGATCGTGTCCATCTGCCACTACACCGAGGACAACCATGCCTACTTCGTCCCTTCCTGGGGTTTGAACAAGAGATCCTCCGCCGCCCTCCAACTTCCTTTTGTTCGCGTCATCTACTCGGGACGCCCTATGATCCACGTATTCTTCGTCATCTCCGGCTTCGTTCTCTCCTACAAACCGCTCAAGGCCCTACACGCCCGCGATGTTGAACGTTGCCACGCCGCCTTGGCATCATCAGCCTTCCGCCGACCCATTCGCCTCTTTGGTCCTTGCCTTGTTTCGACCTTCATGATCGTCCTCCTCACGTATAGCGGATTTCTCTACGAGCCTCTGCCGAGTCTATCCGAGCAGTTAGAAGATTGGTGGCATGCGCTCTTCCGCAGCATCACCTGGCCGTGGTCTTGGGATTACGACCTCCGCCCGACCTACGACATCCACCTTTGGACCGTACCCATCGAGTTCGTCCACTCGATGCTGCTCTTCATGGTCCTCCTGGTCGTGTCGCCCATGCGGCGCCCCATCCGCCTGGCCGCCTTGGTCTCCATCATATTTTACTGCCTCAGCTGTGGTCGTTGGGCCGCCTTCGAATTCATTGGCGGCAGCCTGATAGCCGAGCTTCACCTCACGCAAGCTAACAAGATGTTGACTCTGACGAATCTCGCAGAGCGGAGACCCCGGCAAAACTACAACAGCAACAGCAACAACGACGACGACGACGACGACGACGACGATAAGAACAACAACAATTTGAACGTCCGGTTCGTGTTGAAGACCGCAACTTATACCGCAGCTGTCCTCCTATGGTGGTTCATCGCGGGCTGGCCGAACGAAAACGCCGAACGGACGCCGGGCATCCAGTTTCTCCTTGCCAAGACCCCCCAACCTTTCTCCTCCATCGAGCAGGACGAATGCGGACCGCAGAAGTTCTGGTTTTCCTTGTCGGCCATGGGACTCGTCTGGGCCATCACCCAGGTGGACCTTCTGCAGAGGTGCCTGGAGAACAGCGTGGTGCAATACCTCGGGCGGATCAGCTATTCTTTGTACATCGTCCACGGGCCCATCCTAAACATGGCCCAAGGTCGCGTCATCGGGCGCGTAGCGGCCATGGCCAGCGGGAATTCGGGTAGCAAGCACTTCCGCTCAGGGGCCTCCTCGGGGGGGCTCAAGGGCCTCCTCGGGGCGGACACGCCGACGCAGCAGACGCTGGTGTGGATTCTGGGCATTGTTATCATGTGGCCCTGTATCATTTGGGCCGCTGACGTGTTTTGGAGGTTAGTGGACCGTCCCATAATGGCAGGGGCGAGGAAGTTGGAAGACTGGTGTTCAGATGCGTAGTGGTAATTAGCTGGGGGGACATTCATTGAGACTGGGAGGGGGAAGTGGCAATAAGGCGCAGAGGGGGAAAGATAGAGAAGCGATCGGAGCATACAACATTGTCGTAGGATGCCTTTAAAAAGTAACCACATGCCAGGTTATAAGAAAGCGAGTCTGGCGTTTTAAGGTCGGCGTTCTCTTTACCACAAAGATGAAAGGTGGAGGGGTCCCATATTTTCCTTTTTTTCGATTTTTTTTTTTCGAGAAAAGATCTAATACATCCACTCGGTCCCCGCCAACTCTTTTTGTCCTTCTTCTTTTCGGGTAGGCTTTAGAAATCACTCAGACGCAGCAGGCCAAAACGATTGCTCGGCTGATAGAACGTCCTGCCATACAGGCTTCACCCGCTCCAGCAAGTGGGCTTTAACCTCCTCACCGCCAGAAGCGACCATCTCGGCCACGGCATCGTCAATGATGCGGGCGAGCTTGTGGACGAACTCGGCGAATTCGTCGTTGGTCCAGTTGTGGAGGAACTGCGTGCGGAGGGCGCCACCATCGGCGTCCTGTGAAGGGTCGTCGGTCTGGGGGACCAGGCGGCCCTTGACGCCGGACCAAGCGTCCAGGTAGCAGACCTCGGTACCCCAGAAGAGGACGGCGGCCTCCAGCCAAGGGAGGGGCTGGCCGGCTGGACCGGGGGCTACGGAGTTGAAGAGAAACTCCCAGCGACGGAGGCCCTCCAATTTTTGGTCGTCCGGGACGGCGGGAGGGCTGTTGTTGTTGTTGTCGTTGTCGTCGTCGCAGGTGGTGGGGAGGTCGATGGAGAGGTCGAAGCGGGCAGCGGTTTCGATGAAGAAGTTCTCCTCGCGGCGCACGTTGACAAGGGCGTCCACGAGCCAGTCGAGGAGGCGGGTGGCCGGGTCCGGGTTGGGGGAGTCGGCGGGCGGGGCGAGATCCGGGATGGAGAGGAAGGAGAGGAGACGACCGGCGCCCCGGATATAGGCGTGGATGTAGAGGCGGTCGTTTGCCAGCCAGCGGCTTAGGAGGGATTTCGGGGTCGTACCGGCTGCGGCGGAGGTAAGAAAGGGGGACGTGGTTGCGCGGGTGTAGGCCTCCGGGGAGGAGGTGAGGAGGGTCTGAGTGAGGGAAAAGGAGGCCATGGTCTTCCAGGAGAGGCGGAGAAAGTAAGGTGATAGTGAGTAACTGGTTGGGCGGATAATAAAGAAGTAAAGGATCTGCTATGTCAAGACCAATGCGAAGAACGAAAGAGAAGAGATTTATGAGTGTGCGCCTCGAATGTTAAAATTCACGTCATATAATCATGAGAAATTTGCGGCTTTTCTCTTCTCCCACACATTAGCGGTCTTGGCCGTCGTACGCGATCCTTGGCTTCTATTCTTGCCTGCCTATATACGATACCAACCTTGGAACTCTTGGCTGGTGAAGTCGACAAATTTGTTCGGCATTTTGTGTTGTTTTCCCAATCATTCGTCAATATGTAGAAAACAATACTTGACTGAATGAATGTTCACGTGGTTGAGGCAGTTTAGCGGTTTAGTGATATTAAGGTACCTAGTGATGTTAGTGACGTTAGTGACGTTACCTTAGTGACCTCCAATTTCCACTGATGAACATGCCTTTCCCTCATGTTGCCTTGTATATCTTTCCTATCGACTCGCCTACAGTCATAGGAGGTAAGGGACTTTTGGAGACCGAATGAGTCACGGGCCCAGGAGAATTGTTCCTTCATTCGCCTGTTATCTCCCTTCGGACCAGAAGCCGCATCGGCCATCGGGTGGCAGCATGGGGATCATACCTAAGCAGTAATCAGTTAACATGAATTACTGATAGGGGAACTTTTGAAGCTGTGCCCTGTGACTCTTAAACATCTTACGCCCGTTGCAACCCGAGATATATATATATTCAACCACCGATGGCCTTGGCTGTCTGAGGACATAATTTCCATCGTCGCCTTTTTTTCCCCTGGCATCCGTTTCTCGATCTAGGTACTCGGTATTCGCGTCTCCCGACTCCACGGCTCCGCATCTCGACCGTCGACCGACGTCATTGGGGAACGTCGGCGGCATCACTACGCGACTGACACACACCTACGAAGTAGTCCTAACGACAGCCCTCCATAGCGGTCCCGAATCCCTCGCGTGGGTTCTGTTCTGATATTTCCCAATAGAACCAATCATCTGAAGCCAGAGAAAGGGGCGGAGAAAACAATCAAGAAATCATGGACGCCCGATGCCAATGCGGTCAAATCGCCTTCAAGACGCCCCTCCCCAAACCTCTCGCCCTCTACATCTGTCACTGTTCCTCGTGTCGTAGGCAGGCCAGTTCTGCCTTTGGCACCAGCGCCATCTTTCCTCGTTTCAGGTTGCCTAATATGGATCTGCTAAGCGTCTATGCGTGAGTGGTCTCCTGGTCATCTTCCTGCCGCTCATCTCAGTATGCGGTCTGTAGTCTGTGGTGTGTAGTGCGCAGTGTGCAGTGTGTGGGGTGATGCGATGATTGTGTGATAGTCTCCATGTGGCACGGTGACACAGGGGTGATTCAGTGGCGATCAAAGGACACGGTACACGGGGTTGACATTCAAGATATCTAGACGGCCCACGGCCTCAGGACACACCCTTTACTGGTAAGGTGCCTTGAACGATTTCAGTTCCTCTGCTCATCACATGTTAAGCGTGGTTGATGTTGGAAACGAACAAGACCTGTCTGACTGAACGAACCCCTGAATAGCTACTTCTGTCGAAATTGCGGCACCCGCCTTATTCATGCAACGCCGGTAGGTTCTATCCTTGACTCGTTTCTTCCGTCTGCTCCTCACCACCACTATTCCTTTTTTCCATACGCTGGTCAATACTCAAAGCCCGGTGTTTTACCCAACGGGCGAGCCTTCGATACCACACATACACGTACACATACATACACATAGCATACAACAATCTAGGTCAGCTCCTAACACAAGATAAATCACTCTCGTGCCGCAGAGTAAGGACGTCGTCTCGGTCAAGGGAGGCTGCATCGAAGGCCTAGATTGGTCCAAGGCAGTACACATCTGGACCAAGTCCGCCATGGTTCCCATTCCGGAGGGCTCCGAAACCCACTCGGAAGACAATACGAGCAGCAGTTTTCGCTCCGCTTCTACCAGCACTTCATCCTCTGCTGGCTCGCCCGAAGCCCATTACCGCGAGACCCAGGAGATGTTGGATCAGCCTAACGATGAGCCCGCGCCATCTTCCGAGGCTGATCGTGCTGGTGGTCCTGTTGTCGGAGCTTGCGAGTTGAGCGGTTGAGGCTCGGAGAGGGGAGGGGGACATTCTCCTACTCGATTTCATAATACGTCTTCACCTCCACTCAGGATACATGTATAAAACCTCATCCTCGTGTTCTTTTCCTCCCACATACCTTTTTTCTTTGCCTTTTTGTTTTCTTTATTTGTTTGGTTTATACAAGAGAACGACGATAGGATATCGAGATTACCGCAGGCTTCGTTATATTCGTTTACTCATCACAAGACACATTTTATGTTCGTTGTCCCTCGTATGTCAATATGTCGTTTGTCGGGGACTGGGTTGCCTCATAAGTCCCGCACACATGACCGATTCATTGAACCCCTTTTTCCTCATCTAACCTGCAATAGGACGGGCCTATTGTGCTCTTGAGATCTCCTTCTGCCACCAGTCGCGCAGCATCTACTCCACTACAGCCCTCCCCAAGCCCAACATCAGCATGCTTAGCTGGGTCGAAGACGTACATGGGAAACTCGAGAAAAAGGGTGCGCTTGAAGTATGTCGGCACGTGTTCGTATAATCGCGGAGAAAAGGGTATTAGAATGCTCGTCCGTTGAAGGTAGCGGCTATACGTTTCCCAGTCATTGTCCTGCTCGTACCTCTCCTTGGCACTGGGCCGTTCCACAAGAGACAGGCCCGAGACGAAGAGGATCAGCGTCATGAGGACGACAGGACTGAGGATCGTAGCATAGAGACCCTGCGAGGCTTGATTGCTGACATAGCGGCCATCGGCAGCCGAGACAGCCACCGTGTAGATGGCTGAGAGGGGGGGTGTTAGCTATGGGCACGATCGGGTAAAACAAAGACAATATCCTGCTACTAGTACGGAGAAATGGACGTACAGAACTGAAGGAGAATCTCGCCAAAGTAGTTGGGATGCCGGGAGAAGTAGAAGAGGCCCGTGTCGCATATGGCCCCGGGTTCGGGATGGCGAGCATGAAACCGATACTTTTGGGCGTCACTGACCGACTCGATGACCAGCCCGATAGCGTACAGGACCACTCCGGCGATGTCACAGCCAGTTCCAAAGGGGCGCTGTAAGAAGCGTGCAATGGCTGGCGAGTTGAGAACGGTAACGGGCAGGGACACAGTCCAGACCCAGATCATCTGGAAAAGCCAACCGCCGAGGAAAGGGAGAAAGGGGACGCGATGGCCGCCGAAACGGTCGTCCTTCCCCGTCCCGAGGACGCGGAAGAGGAGAAAGCCTGACAGCCGGGCTGCCCATAAGACGAGAAGCATGGAGGCGATGATCTGGCGAGTATGCCACGCGCCACTGAGGACTAGGGTGACGACGGCGAGGACAATGAAATTGGACCCCCCCGCAAAATCTTGATGGATATAGTCAGTTAGCCGGGTTTGATATTGACGGTGCCTCCATTATTCAACGTACCAGTGAGCTTGTCGCAGTCAAAGAGGAAAGCAATGGTGAAAAAAAGGAGTTGGTAGATGAGAGTAACCAGGGCTGTTACGGCTAGATAATAGCCATCGAGGGCGAGGATATCTGCCACAATCATGGCGAATGAGGCTAGATATAATAATATAATAATCGATGCTCTCAGCTCTCAACGGACTGCTCTGGGAGGCTTTATCGCTGCTGGAGTTCGAACCCGGCGACTTTTCAACTACGCATATCCAAGGGAGAAGCAAAGCAGCCACAAGTCAGAGAAAAGATGGCAAATCAAAGAGGAGTTCGGAAATGCGAATATAGTATGGATATTGATTGACCATCGGTATTGTTCTCTGCATTGAGGATGGAGATAATAGAACGGAGGCTTTTTTTGATGGAGTTGGTCATCAACTGGTAGATGGCAGGACCGAAAGCGGCCAAGTAACAGGAACATATCATCATCAAAGTCGAGCGTTGGACCAAATGACCGTTCAATGGGGGATGGATATAGCCGATCTGGATCAGGAACAGGAACGGCGGAACGGGTTCGATGGATATTGGGCATCTTGACTGTCGTCATCGAGTTTCTTTGATTGGGGATGAGTGGGAGGGGAGGAGGAGTATTACGTGTAGGAGGGGAAATATGGACAATGACGAAGCGATGGCGAATGTGGAACTCGTACTATGTACTTCTCTGTGCAGAGAAATATTGACTGGTGGGCTGTACACGATACCCGTATTTATGGCAAACGGTGACAACGACGGGAGAGCGACTGGCAGGCAAAGAGTCGATAAAGTCATGTCCCCACACCACCGCCCCAGTCTACGGCATTTCCCTGGCAAGCCCTCGGACTCGGACTAAGGATCTACGGATAGAGGTCATACAACTGGATCCCGATTTTGTTCGACTTGCTTTTTTAAGCCCGCTCCCTTCTTTTCTTTCTTTTCTCTTGTGTTCTTCCCCTTCTTTCCGGCGACTCTAAAACATGGGTGGCCGTTTCTGTGGCCAGCGTCCTTAAGGCCGTGCGACGCATGATTGCGCTATGCTCCATCCTATACCTTCGGCAACTGTACCTCCTATTCAACCAACAACCTCATTTCATTATTCCATCGTTCCCTAATCTCGGACAACCCCACCAGTCTCTCTCATGGTGGTCGATCTATAAATTTGAGACTTACGGTCGTGTTTAAAAGTCAAATTGTCAAGTTGAGTATGTTATCAGCGCTTCGAGATCGAGTTGAGGGTTCCATGGTACCTTACCTACCTTACCTTATCCACTGTGCGAGGTGAACTACGATGTAGGTACGTAGCAGGAACACAGCCTATTGGCCGGTAGCGCAGCGTAGTGGGGAATCCGTTTCACAGCACTGTTTCGAACCCCTGAGAACTTGTCACAGCCTTTGGTGCAACGTTTCGACGCCGCCTCAAATCTTCAATTTTACATCAACTCTTGTCCTGCCCTGCTTCGAGATATGGCTAGAGCTTGTATCTAGGGTAGCTACGAACGCAGCCCCATATGGCGTCTTTTGTCCATTACCGTTTTACTTCTCTATGGGGACCCAGTTGTCTCTCAATCAGCGCAACCATGGCGACCCATCGGCGAAAGGGAGACTGCCCTGCCTGTTTTTGGCTCATATCCCGAGGGGACACGGGGGACACCGGCTTCTTGCCCAATATTGAACTTACAGATATAATCCATACCTAGTCGAAGACATTATTACGAGCTCCCCAAACTGACACCACCTTCAAAGTACGAAGACCTACCACATACGATTACTGGGCCCACGACCCCTGGGCCACTGAAACCTCGGACGGAAAAGAGGCCCAAACCGCACCAGATCACCATCGTCTCAAGCCTCGCTTGCTCCAGACTTGATGCCAAGCAATCCCTACCCCTTCACCCCTTCACCCCTTCACCCCTTCATATCATCCGCCCTTGTTGCACATGGTCGTGATCCATGATTTCCTTGCAATGTCGTCCCATTGTCTGGCCCCGCTCCCGATCCCTCGTTGGGCTAATTATGACCTCCCCCACCACCACCATCAAGATCTATCTAGGTAGGCCTACCCTTAGCCCAATTGTGATGTTTTCATCTTCTTCTCGCACTTCAAGAGGTGAACTTCCTTCTCTTCGCTGTCGTTGCTTTCGTTTCTTGCGTGTGCTGGCGCCGTTAATCATTTTGCGCTCGGATTTTCTGCCTTTCGAAGGATGTCTGAGGCTTTACTTCGTCTTCTCTCGTTTTCTTGACTAGTGCTTCTCGTCCGAGCTGTCTGTGACTGCGGCGCTTTCGTTCTTTTAATACCCAGGCACCTTCGATTCTCTCCTTGTCGCCCTTTTCGCTCGTTTGTCTTATCGCCGACGGCTGGTCTGTTGAGGTACTTTACAATTTGATCACGGCCTACGGATAGGTAGAGATACCGCGGTTCCCCTCTGATTCTTTACGCCTGAACCCCGCCGAACGAACTCTTCCGGGAGGATATTTATAGCGAGACCGCCATGAGGCATCATCAGTCTTTCGTCGTGGCGGCCCTGCTCGCATCTGCGCAGGTGGGTTGATTTCTTTAAGCAACTCCCCCCGGTCGACGGACTTTTAGCATCTGACCCTACTCTCCAGGCTGCCGTGTTCGGCCGCTACAAACAGCGAGTCGGCATCTTAAGGGAGAGAGATACTGTCGAAAACATCGTCCCGGTCGAAGATGGCCATGGAAGCAACGTACCTACGGTCACCGAAACCATTCGCCAGACTATCACAGTGGGTGCCGATGTCGCTGCCGTCACCGTACATGCACCGGCTGCCACTATAACGCATACCATTACCATGATGCAGCCATGTCCCGCTCCCGTGGCACCACCGGTTTTTGATACGCCCGTCGGTGACGGAGGGGTTGGGGGCGTCATCGCCGTCCCTCTCCCGAAACGACCTGTCTCTCCTCCTCCCGAGGCCGTTCAGCCCCCTCCACCGGGGGAGGCGCTTCCACCGCTGGAGGGCATTCCCCCACCTGAAGCCATCCCGCCTGTGGAGAGTATTACCCCTCCTGAGGTCCTTCCGCCCTTGGAGAGTATTGCTCCTCCTGAAGCCAGTCCGCCAGTGGAGGATATCCCTCCCCCTGAAGCCATCCCCACCGAGGTCATACCACCTCCCGAGGACGCACTCCCACCTCTTGAGAGTATTTCGCCTCCTGGCGCCATTCCCACCGAAAACCCTCCCCTAGTCGAGGGACTCCCTCCTCCCGAGATCGCCCCACCTTCCCCTTCCGAGGAGGTGCTACCGCCCCTGGAGAGCCTTCCTCCACCCGAGACTGGTAAGTCTTCTGACGGGATACTCTTTGGTATGACAGGTTTTAGATTTACTGACGCACCCAAGTACCCGAAGAGCCTGAACAGCAGCCCGAGCAGCCCGAGCAGCCCGAGGATCCCGAGAAGGCAGTGCCAAGCCAAACCGAAAGCCCCGTCGAATCGGCTCCAACGCAAAGCGCCTCCATACCGCCTCCGGCCTCCGCGGTGACCCCTCCTCCCGCCGCCGAGGTGACACTTCCTCCTGCCGCCGATATTACGCCGCCTGTAGTCGTTGCACCGGCCCAGCCCGCAATCGACATCGACCTCGACGGCATTACATTGGAGACCCGACTTTCTCTTGGCAACCTGTTACAGCAGACTGCGAACTTGCAGGCACGCGAGACCCCGGCTCCTTGACCGTTCCAGGTTGGCAAGAAAGGTCGCTGTTCCGTGAGACTTAGAGGGAGGTTGAAAAGGGAAAGACGTTCTATCCCCCCTGCGTAAGAGAGGACAAGCTGTATGGTAGGAATTGACAGTCTCCTCTGAGGGCTAGGGCTGTCGGAGTTCGTTTCCACGACAAGTTGGGGACGCACATAAAGGAACGACATCAAAGGGCCTTCTGCTTCTGCAACTTGTTTTGTTCTTTATAAGCTTTTCTTCTTGAATACCATGGTGGCATCGATAGGGGGGTAGGACGATGTGGCAATCTCACCCCGGGCCCAACCAATCCAGTACATATATCCCGCGAGGAATACTTCCGAGCCTTTTATTCTCTCTTTTTTTATTCTTCAGCCCTTCATACCAACTAGCGAAGGAAAGAAAATCATTGTTCTATGTGACGCGGGTATCATGATCAAATCGAATCCCACTCTAGCCGACTTTGCACGATGTGAGAGCGAAGACCCTTTTCACACCCTCACATCATGTCTCGGCGTCCGCCTTTGGCGCTAAACGCAACTTCTTGGTCTGCGGCTTACTTAACTTCTGTTGTTGTTGTTCTTGTTGTTGCTGTTCTTGCTGTTGCACCAAAGGGCTACTGTTCACATCCTCATTTTTGCGCTTTTGAGCGCCCTTCACCCCCGCCATCCGTTCATCTCCCTGCTGCTGTTTCCGATTTTGTTTCCGATTTGGATGGTTTTGGTTCTGCTTGCCGTGGAGCACATCGCCCTCCCGACCACCCACCTCCACAATGTTCACCACACCCTTGTAAGAACTCCTCTTGAGCCCCTCGTTGACCACGACCGCGCGTGGGTTCACCCCCAGCGCCTCGCTCCCCTTGTCCGGCGCCAGTCCCCAGACGGCCATGAGGTTGATCACGTCGGCCGGGGCCCGGAGGCCCATGGCGGAGACGGCCTCGGAGCTGATGACGAAGCCGCGACCCCTGGTGGCGCGCACGAGGCCCGAGAGATTGGATATGAAGTTGGCGCGGGCGAGGGCCGCATCAGGTGCCGCTGCAGCGCCGCCGTACCCTGAGCCAGAGCCAGAGCCAGAGCCAGAGCCAGAGCCGGCGAGCGAGGAGCCCAGCAGAACCTGAGAGTAGCATATCTCGAAGCGGACGCCGCGCGATACCGCCGCCATGCACGGCTTGGGACGGAAGAAGAAGGGAAAGCGGGAGGTGAGGTCGAGGGAGATGATGGACGCTTCGGGGAGGGAGAGGCAGGCGGCCGAGAAGGCTTTTTCTGTTGTGGGGCGGACGGCTAGGATATCGTATGCGGCCGCGACGGCAGCGAGGCGGTAGTTCTTAGAGGGGTCGGTGAGGGTGACGGTTGCGCGGTGAAGAACTCTTGGCCTCTTCCGCCGATATGTGGAGGTGGGGGTGGTACTGCTGTGGTCTGCGTTGTCATGGCGGCCGTCTTCGTCGTCTTGGAACTTGGGGAGTGGATTGATGACTTGTGCGGGGACCGGACCAGAGAGGCTGTGGTTCAGAGCGACGACGTTGTACCCCAATGTAGCACTGAAGGCAAGGGTATGCTCGAGGACAGTGGGGTCCTGGGTTGGATTCCATAGGATGTTGAGATCGTAGAGCATTGTGACCGATAGCGATATGACTGGGTTCGAGGGGGGAGGGTAAACGGGCGCAAGGTGATCGTTTCTTCGGTTGGGTAGCGAGGGACTGATGTGAGTGTCTGCATGCACTAACAGGCCATGTGCATCGCAAACGTGTGCCTCGTCGATCGATCAGGGCTGCACAGAGGACGCAGCTGGCTAGGGTGCGAATGTTGCGTCCGGCCCGCTCAGGGCCTTGGGAGCTTGGGGGCTTGGGCTGGCTTCCCGCTTTGATCTATGATCGTCTTGGTCTGTCAAACTGGTCACCTCCAGCCAGACTGGTGCACTTGGTAGTAGCGTTTCCGAGATGCGGGAGCAGAGGACAGGTGGTGGTTTGAGAAGCAGGGGAGCAGAGCAGAGAAGAACAGGGTAGAGAGGCTGACAAGCGACGTGAGAGTGAAATGCGTTCGGATAGGACCGTTGAAGTCGCATCGCGTGTAGCCGTACTCGGTTAAAAAAATCGCGTCGTGAAAGTTTTCGGAGCTTACTGTCTATTACATAAGCTTATAGAGTAGCAGTGAGGGAAGACCTGCGACCAATTGGAACGCCTCCTGGTCCCTGGCTAAAGAAAGATAGGAGAGCCCACTGTGGCAAATGTGGGGAAGGCTGGGGGAGCCGGGCCCCCGCAGGGCAAGCAAGTAAGCTCGTTAAGGTACACTAAAATACGAATAAAGAGTCAAGTGATCTTCACATCGTACCTTTGTGCTTACGTTGTATGAGAAATACCCAAGGTACCTACCTTAAGGTAGGTTAAAGCAAGACATCTACAGAGTACCTAAGCTGATGCAGGTGCTGGACCGTAGCATAAGGTGAGGTCGTACGGAGAGCGATAGCTCGAGAATGCGTGGTTTTCCCGCACGTACAACAATATCCGACTAAGTGATGATCGCATTGAGGTGACATGCCCGTCATACACGTAGCGGTTGATCCCCACGGTCTTGGCCATCGCGGCTCAACTCTTATGTTGGTGCTTTGTACCTTTGTCAGCCCTAGATATCTACCTAGGTACCTGGGCCTCGTCTTAAGATAAGGTACCTTACCCACTTCCAAAGTGTGTGGGAGGTGGGGAGGTGGGAGGTTGTGGCTTGGAAGAGGACGGGGAAGCTTCCGGCCGAGGATGCACTGCACTGCCACCTGTCTTTAATGTACCTTAGCGTGTAAGATCGCAAAGTCGTCTTTTACCTCGGCCAATCGGGAGGTACTGCGCTACTGGGTGGGTACTCCTGCACGAACCCTCTGGGCTCCGCTCTTGACAACGTCCTCCGTCAACCTCAACTTCAACCTCCGTTCAACCACCTCCGTCTACCCATAATCCGAGCTCCGCAGTGCAGTGCACGCGCCTTCACCACGAATAAACTCGACTCAACTCGGCTGCTTGACCTTGCTATCCCTATCTTTGGGTCCCGATCCCCGCGACTTTTGCCGATCGACCAGTTGTCGTCTCCCGTCCGGTCGTTTACGAGACCAGGCTTACTCCGTACACTCCGTGCGCGTCCTATCCCTCGATCGAGTCCGCGACCATCTCTATATTGCCCTACATCCGACCCGAAGGCGCAAAAGATTCAAGGACGTCCAGACGTCGAAGGGCTTTCGTCGGCTCTTGTGGGGCTTATATTTGAAGAGGGTGGGAACCGGGTCTCTGGATAAGGGATCTTTAGGAAAAGCCGAAGGCCAACCGACATGTTTTTCTTTTTCGTGTGTGGTGAACACACCTTTCGCAAACCTGTCGACGGATATGAAGGAATCGTGTGTCAATGTTATAACTGCGGCAATATGGCGGGTCATGTCATCAAGAGCCATCCCTGGTTCACTTTCTGCTGGATTGTACGCTCTCTTGCCCCCTTCCTCCCGTCCCCTTTCCTCTCACTTTCCCCCCTAGGTGATATGGTTTGCCCGGGATGTCAGAGTCCGCGATGAGTTTTGCCACCTCCCTTTTTGCCTCCTCCTTCGGACCCCCCTCTTTTCTGCCCAACCTCCTGACCCCAGAATCCACCTCGCACTTAGCCAAATGAACCAAATGAATGGCTCGAGCTGACGAATCTGTGTCTCAACAGCCCGTTCTGCCATTGTCTATGAAAGGCCAGGTCGATGTGGTCTGTAGCATCTGCAGTTTTGCTCAACCCCTAGAGAACAGGCCAGATGTTATTGCTATGGCGAACCGAGGTGGCAACGGGGGCCATTACCCAGCTGCTCCACCTCCTGGCCATGCTCCGCAGGGTTGGGGCCAGCAACCAGCACCCCAACCTGGTTTCCGATATTAACCCAAGCTATTTTTTGCTCTCCTATTACCCCGGAAGCGCGGCGACGCTCGCTAGGGACACGCCTTTGCAAAGCTTGAGCCGTTCTTACTCGCCCAGCTGAGCTTAGCACCAAACGGCCACGCTGCGAAATGGCGCGCCAACTGGAAGTGTGGTAGGTAATGAAAAGAAAAGAAGAAGAAGAGAGGTTGGCCAGCGTGGTCCCGTGTGGCTGAACAGCTGCTTCTGCTTGTTCTCGACCAATTTCCCCCCTGAAGAACAATGGTGATCAAGCAAGCACTTTGTCCGGCCTTTCCCCGAAACCTCGGCCTCGGCCTCGCTCTTCGCAACCTGAGGCTTGCCTCGGATAGCATGGCTGTGCCCATGTCTCTGGGTCCGGCGGATACGCAGACCCTTGTCTAACACAATTCCTTACCTTGTCCTTGGGGGTGGGGTGAGATATAATCGGTTGCTTTTCCACCCTGTGTTGATGTTTTAAGGGTGCGGGGTATGTTCTTCATGTTTCATTGTACGAATTGGATGACGTTGCAGATAAGGGGGAAAGAAGGAAGCTATACCAAATAAGCACATGAGAGCCGCGATGTTGGGAGCTTCACGGCCTGCATGTGTGGGCTCCGCAACCGCAAGAAGCAAGCATCGGCAGCTGAGCAAGCTTGGGCCATAGCTTTTTGCTCATCAACTGACCACCCACATTCTCGTCTCGAGCTCCTGCGGGGAACCCCCCCAGAACCTCGCGGTTAGGGCTCCTACTAGGATGGTGATGTGAAGCTTGTCCCATGGGCTGTGTTCGCTGCCAAGATTGCGGCGGGGTAGAGTGAAGGTGTGTGAGGGGAGAGGGAAGAGGGAAGAGGGAAGAGAGATTCGGGCGATAATGGCTCGCTCAATGTCACCTCTTCGGGACGCTGTGGGATTCCGTCACCCTCCCGCCACAACGTACACCGGTCTCGCACTCTTCCCAAGCTCCCACGGTCGCTTCCCCCAAGCCCCTTAGCGCCGTATCTTTTGTATATGATCTGTTTTCTCACCTCCACCTCGACCTCCACCTCCACCTTGTGCCTCGTAGCCGCATCTTGTGATATCTAAGACCCCTCGCCCGCCCCCTCCCCTCCTTGCCTTGCGCAATTTTCTTCCGTTCGCTATGCCTCTTCAGGGTAACTCGTCCTTCGACGACACAGGAACATTACATGACTATTATAGTCGACGTTCAGTAGCATCCAGTCAGTCACCATTTCACCCACAAGTTGAACATCTCTCTAGCTCGGGCAGTCAGTCCCCCTTGACAGCCACATTCTACTCCGGTCCCCTTCCGCAGCAGAGAGACGAGTCTGGGAATAGCAACAGCACTGTCGAGATCACAGAGCCTGGCACACAGATCACTCGGCACTGCTCCTTCATGTGTTTCGACCCCGTCGACGGATCTCCACGTCAGGACTTTACTATTGCTCTCCAGTCCCATATTCTCAATATTCCTGGCGCATACCTCTCCGATTCTCTAGGCGCAAGAGCCGCACACTTGTCGCCCCAGCAAGCGTATCCTTCTTCTCTACAGCAGCTACAGCAACAGCAACCCGCCGATACCAGACCTCCGGTCCACATCCCCCGCATCGGGCCGCGAGACATGTCTACTAGTCACCCGCCCCGGGCTCGTGCCACACGCACCTATAGCGCGCCGTCCATCCCGCCCATATCGACGAGAGCGCAGCCCCAGCTTCGTATGCCCCCCCAGCCGCCGCCACTGTCCATGTTTCCCAACTTCCCTACGCCGACTACCCCATCACCGCTCTCGTATAATCCCCTCATGCAGACGCCAACGCTATCGTCCCCGGCGACCACCCGACCTCCGATGCCGAACCCGCTCAACCTGTCCGCGGAAGAGAACGTGTTCATCTACCAGCGGTTGCCGATGCGGTCGCCGGCGACGGCCGAGACGGTAGTGCGGCATTTCCAGCGTCGACGGTTCGTGTACTTGGACCTGGCCGAGGCCACTGACGCCAGGGTGGCTGACATGCCTATCGGTAGCCCGGGGAGGGAGCGCAAGGTGCGGGTCGCGCAGCTCGCGAGGAGGATCAGCAAGAAGTGGGAGCGGAGGCGGGCGTTATCGCTTCCGGCCAGCCGCATTGAAGTCATCGTCCAGCGGCATCGTGGGGAGGAGCGTCTGAGCGTGTTTTGGGTGAAGGTGCTGGATGAGGTCGAGGTATGATGTCCCGGGACTTTCCTTTCTCTCCCGTGATGGGTTCCTGAAATCCTGAAATCACTGACCTTATTTTTCCCTTGCAAAACAGAAGGCGGATTTATCATACAGTACCGCCTCAACGCTTTTGTTGGTCCTGGTCGTTCAGTTGCTCGTCGGCGTCGCGTTGTCACACGTGACATCCTCATGGCTTAACCGACTTGGGATTTTGCTCGTAAATGTGGCGGCATTCACCTGGGCTGTGATGAGGGCGACGGAGATGATGCATGAGAGTTACATGAGGGGATTGGCGGATGAAGAGGAGCTCTACAGGGCTTGCGGCTAAGGTCAGCCGGAGAGGTGATAAGGGGAGGAGGCAGGAATGCCTCGATCTTCATGACTTATGTGTTTGGAACTTCTTTTCTTGCTTTTGTGTTGCCCTTCTTCCTCTCGTTTCCCCTGTTGGCTCTTTTTGTCTTTATTTTCTTCCCACTTTATTTTTCTTATTTTCTTATTTTTCTTTCTCTTTCTCTTTTTCTTCTCATGCTGTTTTTGCTCTTTGGAGGCGGCCTTATTCTGGGACCTTAGTTTTGAGGCTCTGTTCTCATAGTCGTAAGGAGTTTAGCTGGGAAACATTATGACGAATATGACAATAATTCGCACGCTTCCGTACCTTATTCGAGAGAAATATGCGATTTCTCCGTGAGCCAATGGATTGACGACGTTTGATGGGAGAGAGAGCCGAGGAAGGGTTTTTTGATGAGGGCCCAAATATTGACTCGATACCCAGATTAGTAATCGACTCGAAGAAACTGACATTGAGTTCATGACGTAATTACATTGTCAGATACAGCGTAACTCGAACCGTCAAAATAGGGTCAAAATTGAGGGGTTGAAATCGTAGATTGATTAAGACAGTTTTTATGCCAATTATTATGTAACCTGCAGGACTGTGTCTGACAGATCCTGCCCTTCGTCAAACCCGTGCCCGTTACGTAACCGTAAAAACTATGGTCTGTTCAACGAGTGCCGGTCCTCCGCCCCCCCTGTTCGGTCCTCCGGGTACACTTAAACTCTTTCTAGACGAAAAATCCACTTTATCTCCACTACCCGAAGATAAGTGGGTTTCCTAGGTACCCTAATATAAGTAGATAAATAGAACGCGTATAAGGACTCTGCCTCCACGAAGAAGGCCTCCACGAAGAAGGCCTCCACGAAGAAGGCCTCCACGAAGAAGGAACCCTAGCCCTAAGGAAACGTACCTAGGTATTTCGGGTAGTGGAGATAAAGTGGATTTTTCGTCTAGAAAGAGTTTAAGTGTACCCGGAGGACCGAACAGGGGGGGCGGAGGACCGGCACTCCTGTTCAACATACATTGCCCACTTATTACAACCCGTACTCTGTACTTCTTACTTTGTACATTATGTACCCTATATCCCCACAGTTCGTACTAGTAAATCTGAATCCCCAATATAACTCCTGCGTACCTACTTGGAGCTTCAAACCCCGTTTTTCATCACCAAACCAAGAACCGACGAAAACTTCAAGATCCTCCTTCTTTCCCATCGTCTTGAGATTTCTGCGGGCATCGTTACCTCGCCGATTGGTCATTAGATTATAGACGCTCCTAACCAGTAACCGTTCTTTAATTTCCCATTGCTTGGCTACCGATATCCAAGGCTCGATACTTAGCTCAACCAGC